TCAACTAAGATTATAAAAACTATATACTCCCGACGTATTACTTTTCAGCAAGCGTAATCAAATATAATTTACAAAAATGAAGCACGCGTATATTCCGAAAAATATTAGTTTCATTTAAATGAATCGCGAAAGTATTAGATGTCTTTATTTAAATGTAAATAATTTAATATGTAAGTGATGTTACATTGATAGTTATAAGTCACGGTGTTTTAATACAGGCGTATCGTGTGGCAGGAAACAGACGGCGCCGGCGATCTTTACCTTATACAATACTTCAATCATATACTAGTTGTATATTACGACTTTATATGTACTTTGAAATTTTGAGTATTAAAAATTTCCGAGATAAATCGGAACAGAAACTGATGATAAAGAAAGATTGTCCATATACAGTAAAAAGAAATCCCTACTAATATTATAAATGCGAAAGTAACTCTGTCTGTCTGTCCATTACGCTTTCATGCCTAAACCAATGAACTGATTTTAATGAAATTTGGTACAGATATAGAGTTGACCTTGAGAAAGAACATAGGATAGTTTTTATCCCAGACTTTTGAAAGGTTCTCTTGGTAACGCGATATAACCGAACTCCACGCGGGCGAAGCTGCGAGCGGAAAGCTAGTAGGAAATATTTAATAGGTATATGTATATATATAAGATTTTTTAACACCCACATTAAAACAATATAAATTTCTTATACTCATTAAAAGAAATCATTATAGACATCTACACTTCTAGAAATTACTTTATTTCAATGCAGAATATGTTAAACATGTTCGTTATAAAAGTATAAACAAACCGTCGAAAGTAAAATACGATAGTCTGAAATCGACTGAAATAAATACCTACAGTGAGATCTATTAGACTACCATATTGATTTAACGATTGAAATTTACATTATAATTTAAATAAAAAATGAAAATATTTTACATAAATAGTACCTGCGTACATTTAAAAGATGCATTTAGATTTAAATTTAGTCAAACTAGTCACTGTAAATCATAAAAAAGAATACTAACCAATCATTGGATGATTCATTTCACAAATAAAAAACACTACTAATTTAAAAAAAGGTAGTTAATAATGAGATATGAAAAAACAAATGTCCTTTTCTTTCAAACACTTCAGACCGTTCTAGAATAATTCAAAAATAAATGTAAAAAACCACACACAATGCTTAAGAATTTTCATTATGGAACAATTACACTTCTTTTAATTACAGTTCTTTATTCTTATTCCATAAATTTGAAAATCGAATAAAACACAAACACTTGGAAATTTAAAAATGAAATGATTCTATTTGTTTATTTTGAGCGCGAATTAATCAACCAATAGGATCACTTTATTCGTGTATTCCAATAGGAATAGATGGAACGTTTTTAAATAACGAACCGCTATTGGTTATTTGAATATAGATTAGAAATGTTTGTATTTTAATTGATGTTCCAAATTCAATATACGGAACAGCTCACGAACTATCAATTAAGCGTCCCAGGTATAAGAAAGCGGTGAAAGCGCTGAATTAGTATGCGGACGGTAGGACATGGATTTTGATCTAGACTTTTGTTTTCCCAACATCGGTGATGGATTAAAAATTTGTATACAAATAAAATACAAGCAATTCTGTACTCTATTCTATGCTACTAAGGTATATAATTGTTTTAATTAACTTTTAATATTACGTACGTATATTTTTTATTATAGATCATTGTTCCAGCGGATTAATTAGCTTGATTACTTAATTTAACCTGATTTGAAATCACAAACTACTCATACATACAGCTACAGTAAATATTGTGATAACCCAATCATTTTAGTACGAATTTAATTATACAGATCATATTTTAAAAACTTTTTAAACTGACGATATCTTGTTAACTATACAAAGTACATACATTTAGAAATCTATCATAGTAATTAAACAACAATTATATTATCAAACACAATATCTTATTCAGATCTCCGACCAATAAAGTATGGCGCCAGATGAATTTAAAATTAATCTGACATCCGGCCGACCGAATCAAACTGTTACAACATCTGTTTAAAATCTAGAAGACCCACAAACGTGGACTTTGCATACTATTAATTTACAAATAAAAAAAATAATCCTTTTTTGTTTTACGGAAGCGCACTTCATTAATTTCGTTGCTGTAAATACAGTACATTCATTATATGCAATTAATGATCTTATTACAAGCCTATAAAGTGTAAAATCGTTTGTACGTTAACATTCTCATTGTGCTTTGATAGTCCACGCTAAACAAAGCGATATTATGATTAATACATACTTGTAATTATTATATACATACATATCATAATCACGATTCCGAATAGGGGATCGCACGCTTACTTTTTAAAAATAGAACTCTTTAAATCGCGTTCCATTTTTAAAAAAGTTATGATTAATACGTACTTGCGATTTTCAGAAAATGTACTTCAAATATGAACTTATGATTCAAATTTTAAAAATCGAACAGTTTTATATCGTATTCGATTTTTAAATCTCAAACACTTAAGAAATGTTACTCTAACATTTGTGAGCAGTTAGTGAGTAATTTAATTTTCTTTTACTATCTCTCTGCATTCCTGTGATAACGGTTTTAGTATTTTTAGTTATTTACCATAAACAGTGAAACTAATAACGTAGCAATTTTTCTTTTTTTATTTTGACGCATTCTTGAAATGCCTCATGAGTCATTTGACCTTCCACGTGCGTTTGTATTATGATTTATGACTATCAAGAGATTCATGTTTGTATCGATAGGAACTTAAGGATATATTATGATATTATAAATAAAATAGTATTTAAGAACAAAATAAAAGAATAAGTTAAACTGAACAATTAGATTCCATTAAGAATTTATGGAACAAAATCTCTTCTCCATACATTAATTCATAAATAAACATACCTTGGTCCTTGGATGATTTCATATTATACTAATTCCTAACAAAGACAATCAATAAAAAAATGCAACTGTCTAACTCAATTCATAAACACCATCGTATTCAACAAATTATATTTTAAAAAATTTGAAATAAAAACTCCTTTCACCTCAACCTCTTTAGATTACTTTGTTAGCTTTAATGTTAATATTAGAATATTTCATTTAAACTAATTTGTTTATAAACACGATATGTATACGTACATATTCATGTGAAAAGGGGGAATAAAGTTAATAAACTGATAAATATTCAACATTAGCATTAGGTAAATGGTTCCGAATGTTAATAGGGCAATTCATTATATTGAAACATTTTTATTAAAGAAATATATATGTATATAAAAACAACAAAACTTCTAAAACTCGTAAAGACATTAACTGTACATCTCAAGTGCATATTTTATGACACACTTTTGTAAACTTTACTAAGATGATAAATCATTTAGCCTGTGGGTGTGCAGGCATTGAACCTATCGGACGCATTGGTTACCAGCCATAAGTGGAAATACAGCGATAACCTGTCCATTCCAGACTTAGACACGGGAAAATCATTACTAATGCAACAACAAACAAACTAAATTTAGCAGAACAAACCATAAGATAGAAATGTAATTTACCGAAAAAATCCTCCCATGTCATTGAATGATCCGAGTCGGCGTTCGCACCGTCCATTTTCGTTAACACTATTCCAAATTACATAACTCGATTACACTTATAACACGAAACTTAAAACGTACTCCATTTTTATTTGTTGACAAACAAAATGTGGCGTGGTGAAACACGTCTTTCCGCGACGCTGTCGGACGGTGACTGGTGAATGAAAAAGTTTAGATTTGGAATCGAGTAACTTCTCCCCCTCCCCTAGCCTCACGTATTTGAATGCACAAATTTCCGTACATATTAGTTTCTCGTTTCATAATAGCTTAACTTGAAATTATAGCGTAGTATGTGAACAAAATGTTATTTATATTAACAGGACAATAATATGTGCTTAATATGTTAAAGATTCATATACTTAACTAACTTTATTATTGTTCAAATGTATGTTGTGAATATCATGTGTACTTAAATATATCGAAGTAATTTCCAATAAACTCAAACAATAAAATAGTTATTTTATTTTATTCAATAATAATGATAATATATGTAATACGACTACGAAAACTGAGAACTTTGTTATTAACTGACTCTTCAAAAAATATACAAGGATTATCTTGCATTATTGTAAGAGACATTAATTCGTATTTGTTTCAAATATATGTAATCTTTTAAACTTTTCAAACAAGGCAATAAATACTTAAAGTAGTGACGTTTAACAATTTTTTATTAATGATTATTATAAACTTTATTACAATAAAAAACAGCTGTGCAGTTTAAAACAGCTGACATCAATGTAATTTTGTTTAAAAGTATTGTTATTAGTCTTGTCACCAATGAAAACTACGACAGTATCAGTGTTGCTATTTTAACCATAACAACTGATGTTGAAAATTTATATAATTTTATATATAAACTAAAAAGAATAAATCGATATCCAAAATGAAAAGTAGATTCACATTTTAGTATATATAATCTAAAAATTATTTGTTATATAACTTTTTAAAAAGTTGTAACTGTTTCATAATATTATTTTACTGGCAATATTTGACAGAATTGATCCGTTGACTGCTAACAACATGGCGAACTTTCATGGAAATCATCACAAGTTGTAATAAATAACGAATTTTAATAAAAATTGAAGAAGAATTATTAACAGTACCTGCGGTTCGAAACAACACATATAAAACATTCCCTTGGAAAAGATATATCTACAGAAAAAAACACAATAACACGCAATTACTGGTAAAACTCGTCTGGTAACTTTTTTATATTATTAATGTGCAATTTCATTGTATTTTGTCTCAAACTATCACTAAGTTTGACGAATATATATTACTGAACTGGGTTTTGATGAGTAATTTCCTTGTTTTTGCATAGAATTCTGTATATAAGACAAAAAAGATATAGACGTTAACTTGAAGATTCGATAATCTTCTAGTGGTGTCTTTCTGTGAGATGCCGCGGCGCGTTCAGGAGTTGGAGCTACGTCCTAGTCCTAAGAAAATGAAGGTTCTAGAACCTCCGCCAAGTTTGGACGTGAGTTTCTGTGACGACGAAGCACTCCCGCCTGGAATAATCTTCACTGATGTCTTACAAAAGAAGTGGCGTATTGGTAAACCCGTTGGTAAGACTAATTTTAAAGTATTAAATAATATTACATACATTTTAAGACATGTTGCTAGTAATTTGTTATAAAAATATCTTATACTTATATTTTTAATTGTTAAGTTTCAGACAATGTGTAATGGCTATGTTCGATATGAAATAATGTTTTTCCTTAATCAAAGATCTAAAATTATTAGTCTTATTATATTAGCATAGTGAAAATTTTTTGTTTCTTTTGATCGCTAGTAATTTTAAAAAAATTTCACTATTTTTAACATGAAGTTACATTGAAAACATAACTTTTACCTTATTACTTAAAGTCTGAAATTATAATGATTTCTAACATTACCTAACTTAACTGTATTGTGTGAAGTGTTTATTTAAAACATTTGTTAATATTGATGATACAAAGTCCGAAATAAAATTTGTGTTCTTATAAATTTACAAAGCTCCAATATAAACAAAAATATAAATTAAAGGAAATATAATCATATTTGTTGCAGGAAGAGGTAGTTTTGGACGAATATACTTAGCGTCAGACGAAATCGACAAAGAAGTTACAAAATTAAATGCCAGATATGTTGTAAAGATTGAACCTCACACCAACGGACCTCTTTTTGTTGAAGTACACTGTCTCATAAGGACGGCCCAAGTCACTAAAGGTATGTGAATTAATTATTTATTTATATGTATATTAAATATAAATAGAAAATCATGAAGAGTTAGAAATCTAATGAATTTGGAGAATTGTTTAAAGGTTATTGAACTATTTTTATACTTAGCACTTATATTAATATTACAATATATCGTTTTTATACTAAGTTTCCCTGGTGATAGTAAACCACGCATATTCCAAGTCTTTATTTTCTGTATATGTCATATCTTCATTGGTTTTTCAGTAGTCAACAGACAATTGGGTTAGATAATATGTTGAGTCCATTCTCCCCTTTTTCGTCATACCTACATTTATACTACCATAACAAGTACTTAGTCCCATTCAAACTCCAAGAGTATATTGGTGTAACAACATATAATATATAAAGAGTATTACTAATATCTTTGTATAATAATTTCAGTCAGAAACTGGCGTCAACAACACAAACAGAAACGTCTTGGTATGCCGGTATACATTTCAAGTGGATCATTCACCGATGAGAATTCAGGGACTAAATATAGATTTCTCGTTCTGCCACGGTACGACGTGGATTTACAGAAAATCATATCGAGAACTAAAGTGTTGGATCTCAAAAATGTTCTCATCATCGCCATACAGATACTTGATGTATTGGAATATATGCACAATCAGGGATACACACATTCAGATATAAAGAGTTCAAACTTGATGCTAGGGTTTGATGGTAATAAAATTAACAAAACCCTGGTCAAACCTGCGCCATCTTATCAGAAAGACAATAAGCAATTAGTCCTTCTATCCAGAAAACATAGGAAGACTAAAACCAGTAAATCTAGAACCTCAAACTATTATGATGATGAAGATTTCATTCTACCTGATAGGCCTTCGTTAGAAAGTCCCGAAAACAGTCAAAGATTGGCGTCCGTTAAAAGAAAACTAAGAAAAATGTTATCAGACAAAGATACTAGAACACTTAATAGGCACCACGCGTTCAATTTACGACAATTATCAAATTACGTTAATTACGAAGATTTAAATAGCTCGGTATGTTCCGATCAGTCGTATCAGAAACTTCTAGATGATTACGGCAACCAAACTATTATTATATCTGGTAAAATAAAGAAAACTATGGCAGAAAATGGTGATTTGGTGTCAAGTTTAAACGAAGTGTATAGAGAAGCTGTTTTATCACAATCTAACGGTCAGATATATTTGTTGGATTACGGTCTAGCATCAAAATTTCTTGATTCCAATGGAAATCATAAAGATTTTAGTATGGATGCCAGAAAAGCTCATGATGGTACTTTGGAATATAGTTCAAGAGACTCTCATATTGGGGCTCATTCAAGGCGATCTGACTTAGAGACGTTAGGGTATAATTTATTGGACTGGCTAACCGGTACATTACCTTGGAAAACCGCTGAAGTTTTACAAGAACCGGATCTAGTGCATATACTGAAGAAAAACTATATGAGCGATATTAAATCGTTACTAAAAGCGTGCTTCAAAACTGAATTCTACCCTCAATTCATGGAAAGATATCTCCAATACGTCACAAGTCTGGATTTCACCCAGAAACCAGATTACGACTATTGCAGGAGTTTATTTAGGAGCGAACTACTTAAGCACAATTACGTATTAGATAAAGAATTATCTGTTAACTTCATGGATTCTCCCATGTCGCCAATTAATCGTAAGCTTTGCTATTCGAAGAGATTCGGACGGAAAAATACTCCGCCCGACTTCCTAGCGAGAAATGGCATTAAAAAGGTATACGAAAGGGAAAATGTATGTTCGTTTGAGAACGATCTCAAACTGGAATTACTTAAACAAACTTTAAATACGTCACGCGATAGTATAAGAAAACCGTGCGCATCTAGAAATTTCTTTATATCCGACGCGGACTTAGTGGCTAGATTGAAGAAATCGCTCATGCCGCACGATATTTTTGGTAAAAAACTGTCTCCCAAGAATTTAAGATCTAATAAAAAGAACATCAAACGCAAAGGTGTCAAGCGACATAGGAATAGCATCGGTAAATTCGGAAAACTAATGGGTTCCGCGCGACAATTCACTTGGGCTGAGATATTAGCACAGAACCCTGAACATATCATACGTAAAGATCGCACCGAAAAAGACGATGATGTATGTAAATACAAAATACCTGACTACCCATCGGATAACATAGATTCACAAACACCTCTACTAAATAAAGATTATTTAGTCAATTTGAACCCAACGTATGCCATGACCGAAGTAATCAATAACTTGAAGAAGAAACTAAGCGGAAAACCTATCAAAGAAAATGAAGAATTACAATCACACTTAGAAGGATACACTCCTGCTATGATAAGAGTGTACAAATTGAGAGAGAAAAGATTATTGAAAGAAAAACATGAAGCAAACAAAAAACTAAGTAATGAAGTTGTAATCACAACGAGATGCACAAGATCTATGGCAAATAAAAATAAAACTAATCTCAGCATAAACATTAAGGAGACGGACAAAATTAATGTACCTGAAGTCACAAAATCTCCTAAAAGAAGTACAAGGAAAACTAAAGGAAAAAGTAGTCCTAAAGTTACAGAAACAGTAGAAATTACAAAATCTAACACTAAAAGTAGTAAAAGCACTAAAAGTAAGTAATCTATATAATTTATCTGTTTATAATATTCAATAAAAGCTTTTTCTAAATAAATAGTGTATACATAGCTGGAATAATAAAATAACATTCAATTTGATTTTGTTTTTTTTTGTGCTAGTAAATTTTTGTAACGACTAGACTGATTTCGAAGAGAATTTCACTTGTTTTATACTTTTTTTTAGAAATGTTATTTTTGTTTATTAATATTAATAAAAAAAATACTATTTCATGTGTACGGATTTAGGCCACAACTTGTTCAATTTATTTCTTTATATTAGCTTACAATATGTATTAATATAAATCATATGAATGTAATAATTTTCTTTTCAGAGTCACCAAAAAAGGCTACCGTTTCAACGAACAGAAGACGGTTGAGAAGTAGCAAACGTAAAAAATAAGAAATAAGATAAAAAATAATTAGAATAAGCTTTAATGAGAAACTTGCATTTGAATCATTATATGTTATGTCGAAATTGATTTTCCAAGAAACACTAAAAAAGTTGTAAAGAATTTATATAAAAATATGTTCACAACAAAAAACGTTAAAGACTGTCTCGTAATAGTTAAGGATACTTTAATATTATTTTCCTCAATTTTTTTTACTCTTGTCAACTTTAAAATGAACGAAATAGTGAAATTGTGGGCTCAAATAAGGTTGTAAAACATTTGCGCCCGATGAAACACTTCACGGTATTCGTCAGTTGCCATTACTTAGAATTAGATGTTTTGTGATTTCCTTTAATATTTAAGATAATAAAGAATCGAGAAATCTCTTGTTTGATTTTTTTTGGTTTTATTCATCCTGAACTATTTATCTTATAATTCAACCGAAGAAGACATTTCATTTTTAAATTTATGTTAATTTAACAAAACTTAAATTTATGCATACAAAAAAATAATGGAAATTCTAAACGCTATCGCCTTACGAATGGTGTCTCAACTGACGATCAATAAGAAAGGTTAATGCTTCTATATTGAATAAAGTTATTTGAATTTGAGAATAAAACATTGAATTTTTCCATTACAATATATAAATATTTATTATATGGCAACAATAAACGCATGTCAATGTGATTGCAATCAAGTCAAATGCAATCGGAAGTTTTGAAACACACTGATAATGATTTTGACAAGAATCAAGTTGGACTGGGATAGGAGATAGTGATTGTTAGATTACATTTATTATCGCTATGATATAACATTCATTCATTTAATCAAATGACCCCGCGCACGTCCACTACAGTGTTAGTGACATGTGCTTAAATTAGCAAGTAATATTAAAAATTATAATAAATGCTAATAATTTATGTAACCTGCATCGGAAGGACGAGTTGAAATAGTTGCTTGCAATGGAAAGTGAACGGAAAAATGTAGTTCGTGTTGGTTCGAGAAAAAGCGAGGTGTGTAAATAAAAAAATAATACGTTATATTTGGTCTATTTCCCTGTTTTCTTGTTTAATTTCTTGTGTTTACGCAACTTCCTCATGCTATGATTATTTTACAGTTAGCGCTTATACAAACTAACTTTGTGATAGACAGCTTAAAGAAAATCTATCCAGAAAAAGAATTCACCATAGGTAAGGGAAAAACGCCAATTGTACACCATCAATTCTCAAACATTACTTCTGGTATATAACCTCAAAGATCATTTTAAAGCTTAATCAAGTCTATTCCACTTTAACTAAGTACTTCTTAAACTTCGAGAGTTGTAAACAGATTTGTAATAAATTTTGCAGTTTACTTTCTATTAATTATGAAACACCAATAACACTCAGAATACTATGTATAAAAAATACTAAATATTTCAATTATAAGAAATAATCACTTTATTTTAGTTTCGATGACAACATTAGGTGACAGAGTGTTAGATATCTCGTTACCAAAAATTGGTGAGAAATCATTATTCACTAAAGACCTAGAAGAAGCATTAAGGAACAACACTGTTGATTTTGTTGTGCATTCATTAAAAGACTTGCCGACTACCTTGCCAGATGGACTTGCTATTGGCGCTGTGTTTGAAAGGTGAAAGCCATATTACAGAAATTCATTTTGTTACTCATAACTCCATATATCTTTTTTGTACATAATAGAAACAATTAAAAATATGTCTATTAGTATTGAATTTTTTCAAATTTGTGCCCAAGAAGTATACTTGAATTATTATAGAATGTAAACACTTATATGTGTAAAAATAATTATAAATCAGAAGCAAGTCTTAAAGATTCTATAGTATTTTACTAGATTGTACTAACAGAACTACTATTGATTAAACTACCATATTACTTATTTCTTATATTAATTGTGCTTTTTTCTTAACAGGGAAGATCCCCGAGATGCTCTTGTATTAAGGGAAGATATCAAAGAAACAACACTCAGTACATTGCCGGCTGGATCTATCATAGGTATAAACAAAAATAACTAAATTTATACTGAAAATAACTTTAAATATTGTTTTAAATGTGATTTATAAACTTTGTTAATCAATTGAGAAGATTTTATATACATATAAATATTTGTATCGCAGCTATATATATAAACAATTTTATCTTGATCAAATGCATTCATCAAAGATAGTTATAGAAGAAAAATTTCATTAAGAAAATCATTTCAGCCTGAAACCTTTGAATTATTTCTCTAAACTCACTTTATCATGAAACCTATATGTCTTTACCTATAATGTGAATTTAATAATATAATATTACTTACAGGTACATCATCTTTACGTCGAACAGCACAACTAAGAGGCAGTTATCCCGAACTATCGGTACAAGATGTAAGGGGCAACCTTAATACAAGATTGAAGAAATTAGATAGTGGAGCATATTCAGCGTTACTGCTAGCAACTGCCGGCTTAGAAAGAATGGGATGGGAAAAACGAATTACTAAGGTAATATAATATAATACTTGACAGTATATTAATGTTGATTATTGACAGTCCATCAAGATAATATATTGCTTATCAATACTTTAAACTATTTAATATTAGCTTTCCGCCCGCAGCTTCGCCCGCGTGGAGTTCGGTTATATCGCGTTTCAAAGAGAACCTTTCAAAAGTCTGGGATAAAAACTATCCTGTGTTCTTTCTCAAGGTCAACTCTATCTCTGTATCAAATTTCATTAAAATCAGTTCAGTGGTTTAGGCGTAAAAGAGTAACAGATAGACAGACAGAGTTACTTTCGCATTTATAATATTAGTAGGGATACCTTCAGTTGAACATATGGTTCTGCATAAATAATAAGATATTCCATATTAAAAAATAATATGACAACCACAAAATAACTTGACAAATGACTAAAATATATGGAACCAAAGATCTTCTAATTACTAAAATATCTGATAATTATAACTTGTATGTAAAGTAATGATTATTTCCAGATTCTTCCATGTTCCGAGATGATGTATGCTGTCGGTCAAGGAGCCCTTGCAGTGGAATGTCGATCTGATAATACTGAAATTTTAACATTATTATCCCCGTTCAATCATGTAGAGACATATTGTAGGGTATTGGCGGAGAGGAGCTTCTTGAAAACATTGGGTAATTAATTTTTAGTATAATATTAAGACATTTTTGTTCATTAAATGAATTATTAGTATTTAAATCTTTGATGATTGACTTGACTTAGCATTATTTTATAGTGCTTACTAGCTGACTCGGCAAACATTGTTTTGCTATATAAAAGAAGAGATTTGAAATAAAAAATGTTAAAATTTAGGGTTGTATGTATTTTTATTACCACATTATAAAAAAAAGAAAAATAGTAGCCGATTCTCAGACCTACTGAATATGCATATAAAATTTGATAAAAATTGGTAAAGCCGTAACATAACATAATAATTGTGGCATGGATATTTTATTTATTAGATAATATAGTACTAACAACACTAGTTCTTATTTTTTACATTCATTATATACTGAAAGGTATAAAATAAATATTTTTAGGTGGCGGTTGCAGCGCCCCAGTTGGTGTATCAACAAAGTTAAAAGCTTTTGATTCAAGTTGGAAATTAAGTATCACAGGCGGAGTATGGAGTTTGGATGGAAAAACAAAAGTTACAGACACATTGGAAAATACATTTACACAAATAAAAAAGTCACAAAAACACAAACTCAGTCCCACAGAAGATAATGTGAACAAAAAAATTAAAATCGACGATAATAATGATAATATAATACATCCATTGGCTGAATTAGACAAAATAATAGAAAAAAATAATGGAAATTCCAATTGTGAGGAATCATCGAAGGACATAACATGCAGGTTATTCTGTGGTCTGATTGAGAATAATAATATACCATTGGACGTGATTGTGAAATGTGAAGATCTCGGCAAAGATTTAGCTAATAATTTAATATCAAACGGTGCTTTAGATGTTATGAAAGTAACACAGGATCTAATAAGGAATTCTATTAAGAATTCATGATATATAGTTAAATTGTATATACTATTGTATATATTATGCCATTTCAGCGTATTTATTGTTCAAATTATGTATTGTTTTCGTTGCAAATTAAATATATCTATTAAATCTTTTGTAAGCAATCTGTTGACTTATGACTGAGTTCTACTATGAAACGGGACCTTATATTTATTTTATTGTTGAGTACTTACCGGGTTATACAATTATTATGGTACTTATTGTTGTATTGGGTTTTATGTTAAATAAATTGGTTCATGACAATTAACTATGTTATTTTTTACATCCCGTTATACAATTACGTGATATTAACGTAATAAAAATATTATTAACTTGCATTGATTAGATTAATTTACATCACCATAAAAAGTTTCGGTATTATAGAAAGTTTGAGACAAAAAAAACAGAAATCTATAATTTTATTTTTGTAATATATTCGCGCGCTCTAATTAAGTATAGCACAGATTATGACATACCGTCGCCATATACCTACTAATTAATTATTTAATAATTTCTTTATTCGTATTATTTGCTTAATATTATGCAATCATCGTAAACTAAAAATATATTTATTATTGCGCTCATTACGTCACAATATGCAGGAAATTAATAATAACCAAACAATTTAATTGAAAATAAAATAATGGAAAAAAAGAAACATTAAAAATCTTTTTCAACTTTTTTCCTTTCGAAATTCAATTTGTTTACTTGTTTTAATTATTTTGTTATTCTTCAAGGATGCCTTTTGTTTGTTAAAGACTTAACTAGATTTATTTTTCGAATTTCAAAAATATTTTTGTATATTACTTTCAGAATTTGTTGATTAAATAATCTTATGTATATGAAAAAATAGAGTTATTATAAATTAATGAGTAGCAGTTAGGTGACTCGTCATCGCGCAATGCTTATACATATAAATTACATTTTTAATCCATTAACTCACTGTTTTGATTACTTTTTCTTATCTTGAACAAGTAATATACTTCTGGAAATTCTTACTTATTTTGAAACATCGACTACTAACGATTTATACATGTAGGTTTGTATATGATAGAAGATTTAATGTACCGAACACACAAAATCACTTTTATAAAATACTAGCTTTCCGTCCGCAGCTTCGCCCATGTAGAGTTCGGTTATATCGCGTTTCCAAGAGAACCTTTCAAAAGTCTGGGATAAAAACTATCCTATGTTTTTTCTCAAGGTCAACTCTATGTCTGTACCAAATTTCATTAAAATCAGTTCAGTGGTTTAGGCGTGAAAGCGTAACAGACAGTTTCTTTCGCATTTATAATATTAGTAGGGATTTATTTTTAATCATTTAATATATTATTAAGTTAATCAAACAAAATAGAGTTCAGTAGTTTAGGCGTGACAGCGTAACAGACAGAGTTACTTTCGCATTTATAATATTAGTAGGGATTCTAAATATGATTATGTTCAGGATCTTGTGGTTGAATTTTCCTTGCTTTGTTGTCATCCGTTGAACGACGAGATCTTAACCAATTTGTCACATAATCATCTGGTTTATACAGGGTGACTGGTGAATTACTATCAATATTTTAGGAAAATACTCGGTACATGATTCTCATTCGAATTATGTAAAAAAAATAGGCACTTAATTTTTGACCAAATTTCCGTATAAATAAATAAAGGGTGGACACGTTCCAAGTGTTCCTAGTGTGGACGCGTGCGGCGGCGTGCTGATACAACACCACGCCGCCGCACGCGCGTGTGTGTGTGTGTGTGTGTGTATACCTAATCTGTAGGGTGTTCACAAGATGCGTAATTAATTACATAACTTTTGGTTAACTTTACTTAGAAGTTTATTAATATTTATGTTATATTAATTTTTATTTGGTCATATATGATCGTCAAATATCACGTCCTCAAGTATCGATAGTAATTCACCAGTCACCCTGTATAATTGTAATGGTGGGCCATTCATACTTATAAATAAAGATTTGCTAGATTTTCAATTATCACTCTATTTCTTTGTTTATTTAAAATAATATTCATATTACTGAAACCGCGCTCTCAATCTGCCGAACTGCAAGTATTTATGTATCGAATTAAGATTTCTACATTTTAAGGAATTACCTTGCCTCCGGTATAATCTCTAAACGAATCGTACATCGCATCGGTGGTTAATAATGTGTTTTATAATGACTGGACTTAATTTTCTCTATAGCCTTTCAATATCTGCTAGCCACTCCCTAGGGAGTCCCTTCCCTATACTCGAAATTCACTTATCAAATTATTTTCTGTGTGTAGTCTTCTAGTCATATTATTAGAGAGATTTACAAGGAATTGATCGATGATGCTTCCATGAGTTTGTTTCCTTTTTTAACGTCTTTGAGTGATTCCAAATAGCGAATAGTTCGACGGATCAGTTTGTCTATTCTGTACCCACATACTTATGTTCTGTAATGCTTTAGCCAAAACTGAAAGTTCATACAAAACGTCATACAATAATGCCAAGTTAATTACAAACTGTTTAGACAGATATTTTTTTCAGACCAATGTATACACTCTGATCAGTTTTTGAATGAGTTTCAACAGTTGCGGCTTTACTTTTTTCTTCTAATGTATATTATAAGGAAAATTTAATTCACCTTGAACCAGTTTATGAAAATTCGTCAAAAATTGGTAAAGATCTACAATTCTTTCAATACGTCCGCGTCAGCCAATTCTTATTATAATAAATCATATTTAGTTCCGGAACGCGTTCCTGTCCATAAAGGAAGTAGAGGTATGTAAGTAAGTATTCACCATATGTTACTTTAAAACTATATCTCTTATCACTAGAGCCCGGATAAATATGTATTAAAAATTCTAAAATATGTACATAAAATATGGATGAAAAAATCAAAAATATGGATAAAATATGGAGTATAAAATTAAACACTTTCATAATTAAACATTGTTTTACTATAAGAAAAAGGTCACTCGTGACTTACACCGTTAAGTTACATTTAAAAACCGATGAAAAAAGTAGCGAAATATTTATTTCAACAAAAAATAACAGTTTTATTCAACTTCCATTACACTAGCCTTATCAAATTGGTTGCAATGCAATACACAATGACGTGCTTCTTTAAATTATTATCAAAATTAAAACTCTGACGATTTGGTCGAAATATAGCCTTATATCTGCTGATTGGTCTCATCTCAAGTCTCGTGACGTGATGGGTGTATACTTAAACATGCTTAATTCAGTAATTTCGTAAGTCAAGTCTACAACCCTCGAAACTTTCGCACAGAATTTTGTTAATTTTTTAGCGTATTTAATCGTTTATTTTTATCCAAAGCATTAGTAGCGGGACGTAAATTTTATGTATTTTTGTGAATATATGGATGATTGTTACATTTTCTTGTAAAATATGGACTTAACTTTGAAATATGGTAAAATATGGAAAATAAAAAGTTGGTTTTTCATAGCCTAAATATGACAGTCCATGTAAAAAACACATTCTAAACCGAAAATCGCATAAATTAAAAATATGTATTTACATATTAATCCGGGCCTTACTTATCACCATAAATGAAGATAAATTTTGAAACGAAATAGTTTAAGTTTGCAATGTTGAACAAATTTGTAAGACCTTAACATAGTTAAGTGACGTATTGTGAATTTTACTAGCCAAAAAGTTTTTTTTTTATTAACAGAGAAAAATAAAGAAATAGTTGTGCCCGTGACTTTATCCTCTTTGTATTGATTTTTTCATGTCAGTTATAACAGTAGGGATAAATTGTCTGTAAAAATATCATCAAAATGGGTCATGCCGTTTCAGAGTTAAACAGAGTTTTATAGCAACAAATAGTCAGGCCGATTTACAGAAATAATAAAAAATTTATTTTTGTATATACCTATACGTACCGGGAGTAAGTACATAAGTTATGGAGTAATAAGTGAAACAAAAAGGTTAGTACTTATAAACACCAGTAAATATTATTTATTTATATAAATTGATCGTAAATTATGTCAGTAGTGTTGAAATTGTAATGAAGGATATTTGTAAAACATGATGTATTATGGAAAATGATGATTTATAAAACTATATAGATATATTTTGTGATTGACGTGGTTGATTAAATGAAAATGAAATACACTTATTATATCAAAGTCCTATTTAAATTGTGGAACGTATTTAAAAAACTTAAGTTCTCCTGCTCATTTTTTTTTCACCTTCACACTTTCGTCTTTTAATTTCTGAATAATTGTAATAAAAAAATATTTAATAGGTATATCGCTATCGCTTCATTCGCGCTGGAAACGTGGAATATTTTGTCAATATCGTCGTTTTTATTTTTTGGATAAATGAAGCATGTTTGTTGTCTTAGATATATCTAATCTAAACGTTGACTTAATAGATTATAGAAAAATTTATAAAAAAGTGTTTGTATGTGTGCAAGTAACACACGGTAGAAATGAAATTTCTGAAAAGTCCTGCTTAAGAAACTTATTGGAAAGTATTAAAAAAATAAGCAGTCTTTTCATGTGATCTCTCTGAGTTAGAATTACTGATAACTATTCTATTTCTATCATTTTCAATAACTTTTTTTCTACCAGTAGGTATTCACGATTCTTTTCAGCTTTACTTTTTTACATAATAATAAAATCCTATTTCCTACTATAATGTTATATATAGTAGAGGTAGGATGTACAATTCCTCTCTGCCTGCCGCCGGATCGTCGCGGATGTATGCTTCGGCGATTCCCGTGGCGATCCACTAGGGGGCGCCGGAGAGTGACCGCTGGTAGGTATAAAACCTTTCACCGCGTTAACAACAAAAATATACAAGCAGTTAAACGCTGACGGAGTCGCGGGCACAGCTATCTATACTTTTCTGTTGGAAGTTACTATTCCACGCGGACGAAGTCGCGGGCAAAAGCTAGTTAATTTATAAAAGAGATTAAAATATTGACACATAAAAAAATCATGAAAAATCAACACATAGGTACTAAAACTTTCGAATACGCAGGCGTAAACAAATGCATTAAACACATAATACTAACGTAGACCGTTGAGTGCTCGGGTCTGTAGCAAGATATATAGATATATGTATAATACACTGTGCACGTCTTTGCACGTATAAAGACCATATTTTAAACAACCAACCAACCATATATACTAGAAGACCTGGCGAACTTCGTATGCCCTATAATCAAGAAATATCTGTTAAGTTTTTTTATTTATATTTTTGTAGTTTACCTATTAAAGCCATAAATCTCCGTGTTTTGAAGTGCGAAAGTATGATTGACATATTAGTTAGTTGTCAAATCTAATGTCAAAAAAAAAACACGTTTGTATTAACAACTACTAATAAATTAAAAATTAATTTAAAAAAACATTGTTCAGCGGACAAAATTGTGAATCTAAACAATTCCCAGATCCCATTGAACACATAAAAAATTTCATCAAAATCGGTGCAGTCGTTTGAGAGAAGTTCAGTGACATACACACTCACAGAGAATTATATATATAAAGATATATGTATATATACATATATAGATATATACATATAGATATACTATCATAGTTCGGAGTTCCCACTCCTTCTTCTACCTGGCAATTTCTCAGCTATAGCCAGGGTTTGCCTTACATGTTGTGAATAGTTTGGCTATTTGTTTTTACGACCGGCAGCCTGCATGACATTAAATCTCTTTTGGGAATCAACATTAATCAGTGATGTCTAAATAGTCTTAGAAAGTAGGTACATATGACTTGGAAAAATCACATTGGTACTTGCCCGGGCCAGGATCGAACCCGCGCCCTCGGCAACGAGAGGCGGGACCTTTAACCACTAGGCCACCACTGACTCACAAGAGTAAACATATGGCCTAGTTTAAGTAGATGATAATGGGACGCTACGAAGAGTTGCGCAAATATGAGACAAAGAACGTCTAACTGTTCCATCTCTATTCTCTAATCGGTTGAATTTTATACGTGATGTGTTTGTTTCTATGGACTTATTTCTTTTAATCGAGTTTGAAATCACTATTCTAAAGAATTTTCACTTCAAACATGTATAACTATTAACTTTTTTTAGATTTGGAGGTAAAATAAATTTGCAATATTATTAGAATAATCCTCTAAAGAAACTAGAATTGATAATGATCACATATGATATTGCTGCCTACTGGAAAATAATTTTTGATGTTCATACATTAAATAATAATACTAATATATTTGTACAACACATTTATTCATAATAACACCGCAATCAATACTCAAATACTCTGATTGTCTGAAACTACATAACAAGGCCCTAACAAGTCCTTCCATTCAAAAAAACAAAAAAAAAACACTACTAACTACAATCTATAACTTTACAACAGTTTAGGAGGGAAACAGAAATACAAAACTAATTAAAAGAAAAACTTTTTTTAATCTACAACCACTATGAAGGAACCATTAAAATAGCATGTATTTGGTAATTCATTTATTTAAACTAATTATTAATTCCGATTCAATCTGATGCTATACGGCTGTTCATTCAACATCTTCTTCGTGTAATCCGTTGCCGCTTGCATTCATTGCAGCTCGGAGACGTTCTGATACCTCGGGAAGCTTCTTCAATAGAAGATGGAATAGATTAGCCGGCATTGTTTGTTGCAGGACCTAAGACATAGAAAAAATATATGAATAACTTTAATATTACTCCATAAACATCAAAATCATAGTAAAAGTTATAAATTTTAATTAAAATTCATCAAAAATAATCATACATATTATACAGTAATACCCCGCTTTACGCGAGGTATACGTTCCGAAGAAAATCGCGTTAACTGAAATTCGCGTATATTGAGGTTCATGATTAAACACAGTCAAAATTTAATACACAAATATAAAAATTATTTTAATCAATCACTTTAATCCTAAGAACACTATACAATACATAGGTACTCCTATTTTTTTTCGAAAAAATACATGTATTGTCTTTTGGGTAGCGTTTTGTTTACGGTCTTGTAAAATACGTTCATAACACCAAACACTGTTTTTAATCGTTTGACACTCGTTCAAGGCGCGGTCATCATTATTGTCTATACTCTGCAATGTCCCAACCTGAATAGATTTTTGAAAAACACGTTATAGTGAAACCGCGCACAACGGGGTCGCGTTGAGCAGGGTATTACTGTACTAACTTTTTTCCCGCGTTACTTTCATTATTAGAAATGTATAGCTGACCAGGCTAACTGATTAAATTTAGAGGCAGTAAATAAACAGATTTTGGATTTTATTACTAAATATTTTTTTGGTCAAACTAATTCAAAAATATCTTATATCCATCTCGTTATAACTATCACAACTTCTTTTATATATGTATATAGAATACAAAATATTTAATTTTCGTTTTAAATTGTTTATCATTAATGGTAAAAATTATCATAACTAGGGTTTGCTAATGTCTTTCCATAGATGATAATAATTTTAATCAATATTCACTTTTACAATTCCACACTCTTCATAGAGAAGTAACACTTATTTTATTTTTATATACTTTTATGAAACTCTAAAATCTATACTAATATTATAAAGCTGAAGAGTTTGTTTGTTTGTTTGTTTGAAAGCGATAATCTCCGAAACTACTGGTTCGAATTGAATAATTCTTTTTGTGGTGGATAGTCCAGTTATCGAGGAAGGCTGTGGGCTATATAACATCACGCTACGACCAATAGGAGCAAAGATATAGTGGTAAATGTGTAAACAACGGGAGAAATTATTTCATCTTTGAAGCCTTCCGTTGCGTGCGCCGTGAAAACGGTTCAAGATACACAAAAAATATGTACTAAAGAATAATAGCTCTTTTAATGATCTAAAAAACATTCCGCGACAGTATATGTCTATCTTTTAAGATTAACTCACAAAAACCGTTTTTATGCTACCTAATTTTGTCGAAATAATTTGTTTAAGGTGTATCAACATAATAATATTAATCTTTATTCAAATAAACAAATAAATATGTTGTTGGTTAAGAGTACTTCATTATGAATAAAAAAACATAGGTTTTATCCTGAAAATTCTTCGGGAACTCGACCATTCCGAAAACCCCGCAAGAACGGGAACTATGTGGAAAGAACCAAAAATCTGCCGGAAGTCACTACTCAGCGCGGACGGAGTCGCGGCAAAAGCTAGTAAGTTATAAAATAAACAAATAATCTAAAAGTCCATTAGGTAAAAAATCTATTTTATAGGAATTATAGATTACTGTCAAAAAAAAATATTATGCAACTAATACAAAATTTAGGTATTAACATAGAGTATTTTTATATTTAAAAATTATATATACAAATCTATCATAATCATTCCTTATAATATTTACCAAATAATATAACATCAATTTAATATAACATTTTTGATATTTAAAGACGACAAATAAGTAGAGTACATTCAACACATAAAAATAACACATAATGTAACTTCTCTTGTCTTTTTAATAAATTACATAACTAAATAGTTCTATATATAATTAAACTAGCTTTTGGCGCGACTTCGTCCGCGTGGAATAGTGACTTCCAGCAGATTTTTGGTTCTTCCCACATAGTTCCCGTTCTTGCGGGGTTTTCGGAATGGTCGAGTTCCCGTAGAATTTTCAGGATAAAACCTATGTTTTTTTTTATTCACAATGAAGTACTCTTAACCAACAACATATTTATTTGTTTATTTGAATAAAGATTAATATTATTATGTTGATACAACTTAAACAAATTATTTCGCCCAAATTAGGTGCCATAAAAACGGTTTTTGTGAGTTAATCTTAAAAGATAGACAAATACTGTCGCGGACTGTTTTTTAGATTAAAAGAGCTATTATTCTTTAACACATATTTTTTGTGTATCTTGAACCGTTTTCACGGCGCACGCAACGGAAGGATTCAAAGATGAAATAATTTCTCCCGTTGTTTACACATTTACCACTATATCTTTGCTCCTATTGGTCGTAGCGTGATTTTATATAGCCCACAGCCTTCCTCGATAACTGGACTATCCAACACAAAAAGAATTATTCAATTCGAACCAGTAGTTTCGGAGATAAGCGCTTTCAAACAAACAAACAAACAAACTCTTCAGCTTTATAATATTAGTATAGATTCATTATTATTAATGCATTATTAAACTTATAAGAATATCCTATATGTATTTTTCTTAGGGATTATTTGTTAATTGATACTAGTTTTGTCGAACACTAGGTTTTTCTTGCAACTTTGCTTACACTGATTTTAAAATAAATTTGATAGAAAGTATCAAGTATGTTAAAACAATAGCAAAAAACATATTTGGTATATGTCACATAATTTCCTACAAATATAACTCTTATGAACTTTTCCATGCATAGTCATGAGTGAGTATTAATTAAAGCCCATTATTGCAGCATCTAAGCTATATATCTGTAATATTCATATCAAAATCTGTTCAGTCATTTATGGGTGAAAGTGTGACAAATAATAGCTGGAAATTTTTATTAGAGTCCATACAAAGACTTTGTAGAGAAAAATTGACTAATGTTCTAACATCTCAACAAACATTCCAATATTGTCGGGGATAGTGCAAAAAAAAACGTATCTACCATTGGATAATTCCGCTTATCTAATAAATTAAATACTAAATAATTACTAATTGTGAAAAAATTGCCTTAAAAGTCATTAATATAGATAATATTTCAGTAAAGCTTCTAATGTATATACGCGGATTTGCACTATCCCCGACTATATATAATACTAGAAGACCTGGCGAAGTTCGTATCGCCCTATAATCAAAAATATCTGTTACGTTTTTTTATTTATATTTTTGGAGTTTACCTATTAAAGTATTAAAGCCATAAATCTCCGTGTTTTGAAGTGCGACAGAATGATTGACATATTAGTCAGTTGTCAAATCTAATGTCAAAAGTTTGTATCAACAACTACTAATCAATTAAAAAAACATTGTCCAGCGGGCAAAATTGTGAATCTAAACCATTCCCAGATCCCCTTGAACACACACAAAAAATTTCATCAACATCGGTCCTGTCGTTTGAGAGAAGTTCAGTGACATACACACTCACAAAAGAATTATATATATAAATATAAGTAATATATTAATACATACACTAAGTAACTGCTGTGTTTGCCCACACACGGCCACAGCTTGTCCGAGATGTTCTACACCAGCTTCTAATTCACCTGCCGCTACTAACTCCTCCCCGAGTTGAATCTGAAATTATTAATTTGTTTGTGTTATACTCAATAAAATTATATTAAATTTGTAATATATGTATATACGTATATATATTGAGATAAGACTTGCGAGTTTTATTCATTTAAATGAAACTAATATTTTTCGGATATACTATGCGGTTTCTGCTATTTTTTTATTATTTATTTATTTCGATGTTTCTGCTATTTTTCAGCCACTGTGATCATGAGCAGACAATATATATATAAATAATATTATCACAGAATTTAATTATACAGGGTGACTGGTGAATTACTATCAATATTTAAGGAGCATACTCGGTACATGATTCTCATTCGAATTATGTAAAAAAAAATAGGTACTTAATTTTTGACCAAATTTCCGTATAAATAAATAAAGTGTTGACACGTTCCAAGTGTTCCAAGTGTGGACGCGTGCGGCGGCGTGCTGATACAAAACCACGCCCCCGCCGCGTGTGTGTGAGTGTGTATGTATACCTAATCTGTAGAGTGTTCATACGATGCGTAATTAATTACATAACTTTTGGTTAACTTTACTTAGAAGTTTATTAATATTAATGTTATATTAATTTTTATTTCGTCATATATGATCGACAAATATCACGTCCTTAAATATCGATAGTAATTCACCAGTCACCCTATACAGTTTTGAATGTAAGAAAAACTGGTATGAAAGCAAATATAATAAAAAAATTGCCAAAAATCGAAACTCCAATTTTATTTATTTAATATTAATATATTGGACAACTGTGGGACAATTAAATATTTTTTTTAAATACATAAATATGGATAATATAGGTAAATAAAGATATGTATATTATGGATTTTCCAACCCGACACCAAAAAAAAAAAAAGATATGTATATTATTTTTCTTTCTAGAAACCCATAAATAGTATATGGTTGATAGAAAGACGTAATAATAATTTTATACCTCTCTCAAGAAAAATCTTTGCATGGCCTCATGATCGTTCATATTAGGCAAGGGCCCGCTCAGGTTACGATTTCGGGAATTGTTCTGACTGGCTTTCTCACGACCTGGAATGATATGGTGGAAATATGAATTTTTACTATACAAAAAAAATATTTTCTTATTACTACCATAAATATATTTGAAGTTTTATATACTATTTAGAAATGGAGGCATATAGAATAAAAATATAAAAATTAGAAAATTATTTTCTAATGATTATAATTGTTATGTTACGTTTTACTTGTACTTTTTATCGTGGAAATTATAGGTTGTGAAATTATACAACAACTGAATAATGGCATTGAAGTGAAAATGACTCGTGTTATTTAGCTCTAAAAAAGAATATGTCGTTGGATATTTTTATAAACTTTTCATTCATAAATTACTCACGCTCCCGCAACTTCTTTTTGAAAAATGGATCTTTACGTCGTTGTTGGTCAAAATAAACACAATAGCCTAGGAAGAGTGTTCCGGCTAAACCAGCAGCTATCCCGAGCGTAGTACGAGTAATCTCCATGATAAATTATTTTTATAATAAAATGTTCATAAAAATACACAGAAATAAACACTCGTTTTTGAATTACAAAATTTTGCGGTCCGCCATTTAATTCAGAAAGGACGAAAGATGATGGCAGTAACTGGGAACTATAGATACGTTCAGTTTTATACAATTATTTTTACGGTTTAAACACTTCTCTTCAATATTCCAAAATATATTTATATAAATTAGTAATTAATAGATAACAGTGAATTGTGGTAAATAATATAAATATTTAATATTTTTTATAAAAATCATAGACCCAAATACCATACCTATATATATTTTTATGTTGCCATAACCTAAAAGTTACATACGCATGATTGAAAATAGAGATTAGTTTTTCTTATAAAAATACTCTTAATTTTCTATTTATGCCTGTCGATCCATGCAAGAAATTTGCCTGTGAAATTCAGAAATGTCTTGTTGGTGAGTAATTTTGTTATTATTTTATTAATAAACCTTTACATCGACAACCGACAATTGTAGTCGCCATCTTTGCTTCAATCTTTCAGTCGCCTCCAGATTTGCGGGCGTTTCGTCGCCGTTTTTCAATGTTTTGCTTAAATAAATCATTATTATTTATATTTAAAGCAATATAAACTATTTCGAGGTATTTGTGTAATAGTTATATTTGAAAATGAGCTTCTTCGGGTTCGGACAAACCGCGGACATCGAAATTGTATTCGACGATGCTGACAAACGTAAAGTTGCCGAAGTTAAAACGGACGATGGTAAAAAAGAGAAACTGTTGCTTTATTACGATGGTGAAACTGTGTCGGGTAGGGTTAATGTGACGCTGCGGAAACCAGGGTCGAAATTAGAGCACCAAGGTATCAAAGTTGAGCTTATCGGTCAGATAGAGTTGTTTTACGACAGAGGAAATCATCACGAATTTATATCGTTGGTCAAGGAACTCGCCCGTCCCGGAGATCTATTGCAGCACACCTCCTATCCATTCGATTTCGCGAACGTTGAGAAACCCTACGAGGTGTACACAGGAGCCAATGTCAGATTAAGGTACTTTTTACGAGCCACAATAGTAAGACGTCTAACAGACATCACGAAAGAGGTGGACATAGCCGTACATACGTTATGTAGCTATCCCGATGTACTGAACTCAATAAAAATGGAAGTAGGCATCGAAGATTGTTTACACATAGAATTCGAGTACAACAAATCAAAATATCACCTCAAAGACGTTATTGTAGGTAAAATTTATTTCCTTCTCGTACGAATTAAGATTAAACACATGGAGATATCTATTATAAAGAAAGAAACCACAGGTTCTGGACCTAACACTTTCACGGAGAATGACACGGTTGCTAAGTATGAAATAATGGATGGAGCGCCAGTTAGAGGGGAAAGTATACCTATTAGAGTATTTCTGGCTGGCTACGACCTAACGCCTACTATGAGAGACATAAACAACAAATTCTCTGTAAGATACTTTCTAAATCTGGTCCTAATGGATACCGAAGATCGTCGTTATTTCAAACAACAGGAAGTAACTTTGTGGCGGAAAAGTGACAAATCACGACTTCCGCTACACAATCCGCATCATCCTCAGAACTTGACGAATTCACAGCACTACCAACAGGCTGTTTCTAACGAAGAGAGCTTGGCAAGAGGTATTTCCCCATCGATGCCACCGGAAAGTGTATTACAAAGATCTGTCTCACCTCCAATGCCTAATATTGATAAACATAACGGCCCCTCACAAATGGAACAAGAAGAACCGGATGTTTTACCGAACAAACTATCAAGCACTCACATTGATAATGAGCCCGACGAAATTGAACAGGAGAAGACAAGTGAAAAGCCTAAAGCCGAAAAGCCACTAGATAAACCACAACTCGAAGAAGTCCAGGAAGTGAATAACGCAGAGCATATCAAAGAAAAACCACAAAGTGCTAGCAAACCGCAAGTTTCAATAAAACCAACGGTTTCAGAAAAACCTGTTAAAATTGCTATTGCCGAACCGGAAAAAATTGCTATTGCCGAGAAACCTTTATTGGCTGAAAAGCCAGTATTAGAAAAGCCCGCTTTAGCTGAGAAGCCAGTGCTCACACAGACGGAAAGTATGGAAGCAGCTACGAGTCAATAGCCTCGACATATATGTCGTTTTACCCCGGGCTAGATAAATGAACTGTGTTTTCATATATGAAAACAATAATTTAAAACGCCCGATATTTAGTAGTTGGTCTCAGTTTTCAATAGCTTCATTTATTTGCGAGACGAATGTAACTAACTATATTAGATGATAATGAAATCGATAAAATGAAATTATATATAAAACATTTATAGTTTTATACTAAATTTAGTTATACAATTATTTATGCAGCTCCCTTATTTGTATTAACAATATGATACAATTCATTGTCAGTAAAAAATTATTAGATGAGATTTATAAGAAACTTTGAAAGATTGTATGTTTATACTCAGATATATTTTTGCAGCTATTTGAAATACATTTTGCATATGCAATACACATTTATTTGTTATGATGATGAAAATTTGATGTCGTGCCATTACAGTTATTTAATACTAAGTAATTTTGGTATACATATCTAAAATATTTTAAAAAATTCCACCCAAAATTATAATTTTGTACACTTGTAAAATATTGTGATTTCATTTAAGCTTGCCCGCCTTGTCATAAATTGTTTGACACCAATCAACTAGGGTCTCCCAAGAGATGTTTGATATCTATTATGTATAAATAAATTGTTTTCTATATATATATAAAGCAAAAATATAAATTTTAGCAATAATGTATTGACAAGGGCTATAATATGTATATTGGCAGAATCTTAGATAATTAAGATTGTTGATACATTAAAAAGAAATGTTAAATTAATATCATAATTTTATTTAATTCCACAGTACCATTACCATTGTCAACGGTTTGAACTGTGATTATTAAAATGAAAGGAATCTTAACTTAACTTGTTATGTAAAAAGTATACTAAAATATGTAACTAGTTTTTAATATGGAAATGAAAAAAAATGTTAATTGTGGATTGTGTATAGTTATAAATAATATAAGCAATGGTATGTTACAATGAACGAGTTGTAAAAATATCAATTAAATGTATCATTGATAGTATACCCCACTGGCTTTATATATAGTTTTATGTAAATTAGAATGAGGTATATGTTTATTGATAACTGTTATTCACATTGATTTTAGATCATATAATTTTTCTTTCTAAGAGCGCATGTCGATTATAATATTGTTAATAAAATATATATATATAAAATGCTTTATTCTTTTTCATTCGACATAAAATCCTTGATTTTCAATCACACAAAATAGTTAATAGAAAAATTGTGAACTATATGGTTATGGAAAATTTATCGCACGATCAATTAAGAATCAAGCTAGGCTATTAAAGTCCTTGGGAATTTAGAAATGTTATATAATTTATAGTTGTCGTTATGTTCAAAGTTCAGTCGCGGTAACAAATTAATAAATCGCTTGTGATTTGTGTGAATATCAGCCCTCTATGGCTAAACACGACGCCCACTTCGTGATGTAAGCATTGGCAATACACAAGGTCGTTCAGTACAAACGTTATCGATATGACTATTTTTAAATGAGATATTGTTGAAATTTTAAACATTCCTCAAGTTTTGAGATTATTTTAATGGTGTGTAGCCATATAACGTAATGACCGTAACTTATTATGTAATTTAGGTATTAAATAACAGCGGTTAGATTTTTAACATGATTCTCATATCACAATTTAGTTTTCAATCGATTTGTCCTCAATCTTAGTTATCGAGACTAGTTTCATTAGCAAAATTTTCATGTAAATTTTGTTCATAATGTTACTATAGAGTAGCAAAGGTCCGTTTATATTCAAAATAAGTTATCCTAAGTCATGTTTCATTACTCGTTGCTATGATATTTTATTAAAATTTTTATAGTACTCTTAATTTATTCATGTTCTTAACGAATTTTGAATATATTTAGTATATTTTTATAATTATTTATGATTTTTCTAACAGAAAACAACTTCCAAGAGGTCCGCTGTGATCGCGTCTTCGAGGCTATGCGTCAGTGCTGTCTGAAACATAAACCGGTGTCATTAGTTTGTGAAGGTTACCGCTTGGAGCCAAGGGTTTTTGCCCCAGTTACTGATCGACCAGCTAAGAAGGAGTAAGAACATCTATATATATATATTTAATACTATACTTATGTAATCCTGTATAGGTCTTAAAATTGTTTAGTTATATAATGTCTTTATTATAAGTACTTGGATTACCGAAATTAATTAATAAACATATTCAGTAGAGTATTTATTTTGTTCTAGAATTTGATTTACTTAAACTATGTATTAAATAAATAAGATTTTATACTGTCTAGTTTACAATATAATGTCTGTATTAGACAATAACTATTGAGTGCTTTGCTTACGTCTCAAGAGAAATGAATTTCCATTCCAAACAAGTATTGATATGTAAATGTTATTCAACTATACAAAACAACTTTAATGCAGTATATTGGCTTTCTTATCGCAATTTGAATTCGTTATAAAATTTCCGTTTCCTTTTTAATTATTATTTTTTCTGAGAATATCTTTTACGTCATAATGATCAATCATATGCATGACACTTAAAGGCAACTTGACTAATTTATAATAGTTACTTTATAATTACTGTCATAGTTCATAGTTATTAAATTATTATATAATTATATTGTTGTGCTAACATTGTATTTATTTCTAGGTGATATGGACCCACGTCGCCGAAGCAAAACACTTGGTCAAAGAAGTTGGATTTATAGATATCCCAAGACGTTTCAAATCACTTTTACAGCGTTGGGGCTCGGTATATTCTTCTCTAAGCCAATCTACGACATTTTCATCCGTGAGAGACCCGTTCTCGATTTGAGCGAACCTCCTACAACGTTTGAATACCAGAAGAAAATTTCTGAATAGGTTATGGAATCAGTCAGAAAGGCCAAAGATAGAATAGCAAAATATCCATTAATATTCTCAAAATGTTCTAAACAAGGCAGCCTGTACGCGAAATGTGTTCTACTCAGAGAGGATTCAGTTAAAAAAGACGATTGTGCTAAAGAATTTAAGGAATTCAACGCTTGTTTACAAACAGCCGCGAAAGAACTCAAAACTAGAATATAAAATGGAGTCACTAAAGAGAATTGTAGGTTTGAACTTTATTACACATTTAGGGATCGGTGTTAGTATTCGTATTCTTCTTGTCATCTACAGCACATTTCACGATAAACATTTCGAGGTTCCGTACACTGACATAGATTACAGAGTCTTTTCTGACGCTGCCAAGCATATGTACGATGGTAATTCGCCATACTTGCGTCACACATACCGTTACAGTCCCTTAATAGCTTTCTTTTTAATACCAAACGTGTATTTAGCTCAATTTGGTAAATTATTATTCGTTGTCTTCGACATCCTTGTCGCCATAGCCGTTAAAATAGTCGTCGAAAAACAGTTCCAAACTAATCCTAACGCTTCAAAAATTGCAACATTTTCCGCGCTATATTGGATATATAATCCAATGAGTGTTGCCATATCCACGCGAGGGAACGCCGATTCGTTGCCATGTTTCTTTATTATACTGGCAATACTCTTTCTGCAAACGGACATCGTGAATGGGCTATTAAAATATCTAATTTCTGGTATCTTCCTCGGTTTTTCAATACATCTACGTCTATATCCTTTAGCTTTGTCGTTCCCAATGTATCTATCTCTCGGGGAATATAATATTAATCGTTACACTTCTTTTAGTGACGGCATTATTTCTCTTTTGCCGAATAAAAAACAAATAGTTCTAACATTAAGTTGCATAGTGACGTTAACAGGGCTGACTTGTTTCATGTATTATATATATGGTTACGAATTCTTATTCGAAACCTATCTCTATCACGCCACAAGGAAGGATACAAAACATAATTTCTCTATACTCTTCTATTATTCCTATCTGACCAAAGACAATCTATCCGTCGATTTAGTGAAGCTTCTACTTTTATTTTGTACGTTAGTGGTATTATTCGTCGTTAGTATGACTTTCGGCGTTCATTCTGAGACATTGCCGTTTGCTTTGTTTTCTGTGACTTTTCTTTTAGTTGCGTTTAATAGCGTGATGACGTCACAATACTTTATTTGGTTCCTATCTTTACTACCCTTAGTAGCCCATAGTTTTGATATGACAGCTTCGAAAGCGATTGTTCTATTTGCTCTATGGTTGGGTACACAAGGCGCGTGGCTTGTCTATGGTTATCTCTTGGAGTTCCTGAACAGAGATGTTTTTCTTTATATTTGGCTTAAAAGTATGATTTTCTTTATCTCAAACGTATTCATTTTTACACAGCTCTTGGAAACTTACAAACCACGCTTTGGTTTCGGTTATATTGACAGAGTGAATAAAAACAAATAACTCATAGAGTTTATTATTTAGTATTTTAAATCGTAGTTATTAGATATTGGAAAATAAATAAAAATAATATATATATCTTTTATAGTTTTATTTCTACAAACTAATATACAATTATAATAAACAAGTACTGAAATGCATGTGCAGGTTAGACACAAAGTTTTATAAAAACTTTCGCATCTATAAATTAAAGGAACAGAAAACAATGATTCCGTAATACAACATCTGTTATTTATTTATAAACAAAACAAGAAAAAAAAAGTCAAAAAACAATAGAACCTTTTTGGTATGACATAAATTTGTGTATGGTTTGTATATAACAACTACTTTTTGTCTTGTAAGTTGATTTTCGTCAAATCAGCCTCTGCCTCCCCTTGGGACATGTTGGATAGCTTCTTCCCGATACGTTCGTGTACATCGAGATATTTGGCTACGCAACGATCAAGACATACTGACTCGCCTTTACCTGAAGGAGTAAATATACATATGAATCACATTCTTAAATCATCTATAGTATTGATAGAATTATAAGGCGGCCAACCGTCCCGCATTCTGCGGGACCGTCCCGCAATTCTAGACGAAATCCCGCTTTGAAATTATTAGTCAAAATAGTCCCGCAAAACGTTGTATGCGTCCCGCATCCCTATTTTTCTACCACACTTCTACACAACACCCATACCACGGACAACAGTGTAGGAACACAGATTACCTATAATAGCGACAAGCGTATCGCGCCCGCGATAATCTCATTTTCTTTCTTTCTACTGAACTGATGACGCGTAAGAGAGTACTTAAATTTAATATGGGCAGTTGCAAAGATTTTTATGACGTTCCCAATCCCTAAACCCCCCCCCCCCCCGCCATTCACGAAAGTTTAAGTCCCGCATTCAGTTTACGGAAAGTTGGCCGCCTTATAGAATTTAGAATTATCATCTATATACAAAAAAATATAAGAAAATAGTTTATCAGTAATTAATATTGGTACATTAAATCAGTTAATGCGACATAACCAATTTATGGGATTTTTTTTATCCTGTTTTGTTAAGAAATATGTATAAAGGTTGTCAAGCAAATTACTTTTGTCTTCACAACTAGCTGATGCCCCCCTATTACGACGGATTTATTTTGCTATTTATATTAATTTTCTTGAAATGTCACAATCATATTTAAAAAAAAACCATACATTAGTTTTGGTGTTTAACACTAACAAAAACACACATACATTTAAACAACCATCATCTTATAATATTAATAACATACTAACATTTTATATAGTTTACAAAAACAAAATTTTAACATGATTATTTATACTTGCATAACATACATTCATACTCAACTTTCTTATTATAAAGAAATATTTACTGTCCTTATATAAAAAGTACTAGCTTTTGCCTGCGAGTTAAAGCTAAAACAGAGTGTCATTAAGTTGCAGTCTTCAGGATGTAAACCTAGCATGCTTTAAAAACATATACCTTGCTTAGTTAATAATAACAGTACTTGTGTAATTACTGACTAAAGTTTAAAATATGAAACTAATATTTTTCGGATTTTACTTCGCGTTTTATTTTTGATTAGAAAACTACATACATCTCGTCTGCCCGTGATCACGGTTGCTGAAAAGTAGCCGAAACGTCGGGAGTATGTAGTCTTCTTATCAAAACTAAAACGCGAAGTAAAATCCGAAAAATATTAGTTTCATTTAAATGAGTACTCGCGAAAATCCTAGATCTCATTATACTGACTAAAGTATTAAACAAACTAACAATAATCAACAAACAAAACAACTCCATAACTCAATGCACATACCTAATTCAGGTTCATGGTATTTAACAGGGATGCATTTCCGATGGCAGGCGCTGACCAATCGGTTGTACATATCGGACATCATTTCTATCTCCAATTCTTGGACGAGCTGCAACTTGGCAGGATCGAGTAACGGAACAGCCATCTTATAACAATTTCAACCAAATATACCTGGAATTATAAAATTAATGAGATATAAGGCTTTCGCTAGTATTAATTTAAATGAAACTAATATTTTGAGGATATACAATGGGTGCTTTATTTTTGTAATATTATTTTTTCATCAACTGTGACCGAAATCTCTGGAGCATGTTGTTTTTTTAACAAAATATGCATAGTATATCTGACAAATATTGGTTTCATTTATATGTATAAATATATATGATTAAGTCTGTTAGATTCTAATTATGTATTATTAAGTATTAAGTATAGTCAAATACTTGATCTAATAAATGTAACATAATTTAGAATATGAAATTCATACCTTATGTTTATGGTAATTTGTTTTCGGCTTTGACAATAGCAAAATTTTATTCTTATATTTATAGACAAGTTTTTTCTCTTATAATTTTAGAATCAAAATGAATACTTTAATATGAAATATTTGAGAATTATCATTTTCTTAATGAATTTACTAACTTATAATTGCTTTTTCCAGCATTACAAGCTGAAGTTATAAGATTCCTATTAATGAATTTGAGGTACACTGACTTCAAACATACAATTTTAATGTAATGACAGAAACATCTATGTAAGCAACTTATTTATAAATTTTAATGATAATGATTCTGTTAAGTTTCCCAACCTTTATATAATACCAATGTTCTTTAATCCAGACTTTCAAAGTTTTCTGTAAATATCCTCGTATTGTCCTTCGTTAGCTCTGCGCATACGTTCACGCGCTTTCATATTCTCAATACGACGTTCATTTATCGAGTTCTTCGCGACGACAAACAATGATAGACTTGTTACTGTGATCGCAAGCCTGGAAACATTAATTTATATTAAATAAACTGATAATCATCTATAACTATTATAACCTTAGATCATATTGGACTCCATTAAAAGTTAGTCATAAATTCACCACAATCAATTTTGTGAGATTCTCGCGTGATACTAGGATAGCTATTTTGTAATATGTACTTATCAAAATAACCTCCAAAGAGGATGTAATAGTTATGAAATTTGTGAATATTAAGCTCACCGCAGCAAAGGAAAGGTAATTCAGAGAATGAAAAGGGTGTAACAAATTAATGAATTACCAGGAAATCGTAATTTTCCCAAATTTTCCAAGCGACATTCCTTCTTTTAACCAAAATTTATGACATTAATATTTGACAATTGACATAAGGATTCTAGGTTAGAACTTTTTTTGAGCATTGATTAATGTAGGCACTATATAACAAACTATTGTAAGTCACCGTTATTACGAATATTTTATTCGAAACACCATTCCTTGTTAATATAAAGAAATTTTTAATATATATTTTTTTAATATTCATTTCATTAATATGCTAATAATTAAACTTTTATTAGTTTTATAAGCAATTAAATCTTGAATCTTGTTTTTTATCTATATCACCAATTACTTATCTGTATTCATATAGGTTATCATTCTTTAATAGTCAAGCACCGTTTAATTTTTAATCTGTAAGTAATGGCAATATGTTATAGATTAATATAGAGAAGCTTCACTTCACTGTTTGAAATGACTGTTATTGTCAAAAGCATAAAAACAAAACGTGGGATATAATAATTTTAACAAAACTTATTAGGTTAAAGCTTATTTTAATCAAAAAACCACTTAGATCTCGTTTAATATTACTTAAGAGTCGTAACATATATTGTTTTACCAAAAATGCCGAAAGCAACCAAATTGCATAGCAAGGGCAAAACAAACAGCATTCAGAAATGCTATAAAGCTGATAAAGATGGTACAGACGCCGCGGACCCCGAAGAATCGGTCAGGGAGTTCCAGTTACAACTATGCTGGTGCATTCAACAGTTAGAGAGAACACTAGCCGAAAAGAAGGGAAATGAAAAGCAATGTAAGAAAAAAACATACTTACAAGAATTTTGCGTCTACCTTACTCATTTATATCTGTTTAAAACTCATTTTTATTTAAAATTTGTTTAATTAAATTTATATTCACGTGTATTAAATGGTTATTATGTATATATATTGTAAAAATATTGTCAAGACATTAATTCATAACTTATCATCAACACAACTTTCTTATGTATTGAAAATATAACCTGATTGTACATATATTAATAAAATTTATTTTAATTTTCAGTACAAGAAGCGTGGAAGGTTTTGACTGTGTTGAAAAACAACAACCAACCTATAGTAAGAAAAAGGCAATTAATGAGAACACATTTTGGTGATTATAGAGCAAAAATGGCCGCTGAAGAAAAGAAATTAGCCAAAAGTAGGTGTTTAGTAATACCTAGCTAGCAATACAAATAAATCTAGATACCTACTTGCTTAGATTTTAATATTCTAGCGCGGATAATAAATTATATTAATAATATTTTCTTGTGGATTTTCATTTATTTATAACACGTTTGATAATTTATCATTTGGGCTAGAAATAAACGATATTGTATGTAAATATTAAATGAAATGTAAAATAATTGATATTTGTTTTTCATAATTTATGTAACATTACATGTAAGCATAAATTCTTTTTACATTAAATACTATAGTTTTATTTCATTCTCTGTAATATTATTTTCAGTGGCAAGCAAAATTAAGATTTCCGATAGCCCAGCACAACCGAAAGCTAAGTTTTTGAGAAAGTCAGCATTCTTGGCAACGGGAAATAGTTCTTTCAAATTCAATTTTAATGTTACACAGGAAACAGTGGGCGATTTAAGTAAAGATGACAACGCAGAAGCAAATAAAGATGTAGACAAAAAAGAAAATGAGATTGTAAATAACGATAAAATTGACTTTTCCGCTCCTAGTACGGAATTTAAATTTAATTTTAACGTTGATAATGCTTAAGTATATGCTATAGCTGATATAGGTATCGTTAAATAAATTTTATTTGCAAAAATATTGTAGCTTTCTATCATTATGAAATTTCCTTACAGATGACAAATTTGTCTTTTACTTCAAACATTTTCTGTCTACATGTAAGTTCTTTCAGTAATTTTTCGTCATGACTCTTCTTCTTCCTGGAAGTTTCCCAGTTTTAGCCAGGGTCTGCCTTACATATTGTGAAGAGTTTTGCCTAATTGTTTTTTATGACCGGCCGCCTGCCTGACATCAACCCTCTGGAAATTTTTTGTCATAACTAATACATACTTCTTAAATTTACATGTAAAAGCATGTACATATTTGAATACAAAATCTTAAAATTTTCTATATACCTATTTCTAAAGTCATTATAACAGAAACCTACTAATATATTTTTTGTTAAGTCAAATTTAATTTAATACTACCACAAGTTTGCATCTATCTTTGTAGGGTATATCATAGTATCAACAAAATTAATAGTAGGGTGATGACTAATTAATACTATAAAATATTCTTCAAGCAAAAATATGACATATGTGTTATACATATTATCCAGAAATTACATTTGGTTATAATTATTAGACTTTTTTGGATATATTTTTTCAAATATTCAAGATTATAATATCAAAATATCTGCTCAATCATAACAGCAATAAATTGAATAATCTTTTTTCCAAGAAAACAAAATAGGTGATAATTTTTTTTAAAGTTTGATCATGTGTTTAAAGACCTTGATAAAATACACTGGCAATATTACTACTTAGCTGTTTTTTAAGTTACCAATTTATATTTTTTATGTAAATAAATTCTATGTTTGCCATTATGTAATTATATCCCAATTATTATGTGACTCATGTCAAAATGTGTACAAAGTGTGTGTCGCAAGTTTTGAACAGGTTCGAAAGATTCTTTAATCTTTTATAACATTTACAACGATTTTGTTGTATATATATTTATTTATATTAAAAAAAATCACTGAGCCCCATTATTATTAGTTCCCTTTTCTTCATGATTAAAATTTACTGGATCGGCGCATAATGAAGGATAAGTTCCCATAACAGCGGGACCAGTGTGATTTCTTATATTCTGAGCGCATTCGTAGTCATTATGAAATCTATTAGAATTAGGAACGGAAAAACCGACTGGTAACTCGTAATCTTTGAAATAAGCGCCCCAAGTCGCTATACCTATCAAAACATTACTACGTTTATTAATTAAAGCGCCGCCTTCGACGCCGTGGTATTTTCTGCATAACTCATGGCCCGCTTCGAACATAGCGAATGTACATGAATGATAGCAAGGCACTTGGAAGGCGTTTATTAAGTTATTGTATGATAATATTTTATGACACAAATCCAAGCCAACAGCTACATCCAATTCTACCAAATCTATGGTGCGTAACCAAATTGGTATATTTTCTAGTGACTGAAAACAAAATTTATATTTCAATTTATAAAATATCGAACAAACAAGTGCTCAAAATAATTATAATTAAACAAAGTAAATGTACATTATATCGAAAAAAGATATAATGAATATTATCTTTAAGTAAAAATACAATTATAAAATTAAAAAAATCCTTTTATACACGGCAATGACAATTTCGAATATGATTAGTGATGTGCCCAAAGAGGGAGATTACATCAAAAACTTTTCCGATTTTTCATATTAATTCTCTACCGATGAAATTCTATACATACATGTGATCAATGGTCACTGAAAAATCCTTTCAAATTCGATAAAAATCTATTAGTCAATTAAAATATCTACAAATATCTTAAAGATCACGATCATTAATACTGTTTGATAAATGTTATACAAGTGTTATCGTATACCTTTGTGAAGGCGTATCCAACAACTTTATTTTCGAATTCCTCGAATTTCAGTTCTTTAAACCATTTGAAAGAACTATCTGTTCTCTCTACGTCTATGGGTTGTATAGATTCCCAATACTTTACCGACCCAGTGGTTACAATGAAACCAATATCATCGTAAAGTTGTTTACTCCAATGCGACGGCATCACTAACGCTTTAACCCTCAGTCGTTGGTGATTATACATTACACTTGTAAAAGCCACCTTTAGTCTAGAATAGTAATACAATAGCAACACTAACATATATTTATTTTGCACTGTGCAATATTATTGTATAGATTTTCATAATTATAATTTCATTTAGATCAATGATTGGTCACCATTTACATATAATATTTCTGAAGTTATGGTTAAAATAAAAATATTTTTTATATATACTCATACATACTTATAAACGCATCTGGCCGCACTTATAAATATATGTTCTTCTATACAAACGGCTGTACACAAATATGGTACAGTTTTATTAACTGAGTGCACCACACTCGCTATCCACGGATAATTTCCTTCGGAAGCTAACGTACCACGCATTCTATAGTTTCGTAAATGCGGAAAAACTAAAAGCATGAAAGTCAATTAAATTTTAACTTATTATTAAAACTAATCAAAATCACCAATTCCTGACATGATTTCGACAAATTGAATCCTTTGTCTTGTCTTAGATCGTTTCTCAAATATGGATCCTTGTAGTAATATGCATTAAAAGAATCAATAGTCAAAACAGCAACCAACAATATACTTTTCATTTTACGTTTCACATAAAATAAAACAAACAAGCACGATATCGATAATTTTATTACGTTTACATCTACATAAAATTTATAAAGTGTTCAAATAAAGTGGATTATTAAATAATATTAAAACTATTCATATTATATATAAAACCAAAAAAAGTCGGCCATATTGTATTTCAAACGTAATACATCGGTTATATAAAAATGAAACAAATACAGTTTTAATTAATACTTAATTATTATACAATTTCATATTTATCAGGATGGAATGATATTTCCTGTGAGAAATCTACATTATTCCCTTCTTCGGCTGTTGTAACTTTTGTAGCCGTCAACATAGCGAGAGGCGTTTCAGAAGTCCAAGTGACAGATAGCGGGAAAAAGTCATTGCGAATGGCGGGAGTGACACTGAAAAATATAAATACATATTACATTGAATTAAACTTTATCTTATCTTATATATTTAAATGAGCAATTCTTGTATATATTTTTATATTTAATTGGTATCTCGGAATCGGCACAAACGATTTTCATGAAATTTAGTATATAGATTTCGGGGGCGATAAATCGATCTAGTTGGGAATCATGTTTAGAAGTTATTTTATTTTTAAAAAAAAAAACAAAAAGGAATCGCCTAAAATGACTCTTCCTGACATCTATTGGCGTATAGTAATACTACTTTTTGATAATTGCTTTAACGACACAACAGCAGATGGCGTTGTTAAGTACCAGGAAGTAAATGAGTGTTTTGAGATAAGACTAAGAAATTAATTGTTGATTTATATTGTTTTGTGACTACTTAACGTGTTCACTTAAAAATGCCTAAATAATTACTAATAATCCCTAAATACCGAGCAAAGCTCGGTAACCAGATGTAATGACATTAATCTTAGTTTTACATTTGTATACAATATATCTCCTATGTTTGCTTTAACTGAATTTGTGTTTTAGATTTACTAACAAAGTTCCCAATTGTGACTTCAAATTTTATTTTTAAGTAAAAGTTAATGCCGGATCGAGTCTCCTCCATTCAACACAACACTGGCAGAATATACTACGCATATCTTTGCATGGATGAAGGCATATTTTAAACAACCAATAAACCTAAATATTACATTTAAACGTAAAACAAAGTAAATTTACATCGTGTACAATACTAAAGTTAGTTGCGTCGTACTGAATTTAGGTAGTTGCATCTTTTTAGTCCCAAACTTATGACATACAATGACTGTATCAAATTATGATGTATAAAATTTATCGATAGAAGTGCTAAATTTTTTTATAATGAAAACTTGTTCTAAAACGACTGACATTTGTTTCATACGACAAAAAGCGTAATAATATTTAAACCATCATCAATAATTCTGTAATCCGTGTTCCTAGGTATATCTTATACTATTAAAATGAAAAAAGATGCATACAAATATTTTCAAATAAGCTAATAATTAAGTAATGAATGTGTATACTTTACAACTATTATAATTATTTCAACACAATAATATAGAAGTTTCAAAGTTAAATATTATTCTATTTTATTATAATAATATCTCATTTAATACTCACGTAAACTCCAGCGTGCCAGACTTCTGTTGTTTATTAATCAGCGGAATATTCCACACCAACATTTTACCTTTCTGTGTGTAACTTCCCTCCCATTGATGAACCACTAGTGTTGTGTTGCCAGCGCTGGGGAAAACATGTTTAATTATTTAGGGTTGCCATTATGAAGGTTTTTTTTTCATAAACTGGTTAAATTGTTGAGATATATATATTTATGCATACATAAAATTCAAGTGACAAATCTCAACACTGCAATTTTAGACCAATACCCTTTATTACTCAATTTGTTTGAAATAAATTTGATTCATATGTGCATAAGATAAAATAAAAATTATAAATTTCATAAAAAAAATTGTTTCACCGGAACATTCTCTGATTGAGTGCTTGATTGACTTTAGTGAAAATAATCAGTTAGATAGTATATTTAATAAAATCCATTATATCTTCTTTCTGTCAGTGATGTTTAAATACTCTTAGAAAGTACATATGACTCGGAAAAATCACATTGGTATTTGCCAGGATCGAACCCGCGCCCTCATGCATGAGAGGCGGGCCTTTAACCACTAGGCCACCACTAATACAAAATCCATTATATATAATATACATTTAATATAATAACAACATTTACTCACGGTAGAGGTATATTAATATTAACATCGGCCAGCACCAAATGTTCTTGTTCCAATTCATATTCAATGTTGACATCACAAGTACCGTTGGCGCCCTCTGACGGCCAGCAGTTGACTGAATATAACGAAAATATTATTAATAATTATTAAAATATATGTAAATTATATATAGAAGATTATAAAATATACAGGGTGACTGGTGAATTACTATCGATATTTGAGGACGTGATATTTGACGATCATATATGACAAAATAAAAATTAATATAACATAAATATTAATAAACTTCTAAGTAAAGTTAACCAAAAGTTATGTAATTAATTATGCATCGTGTGAACACCCTACAGATTAGGTATACACTGACACTCACACATACGCATGTCGTGACGTGGTGTTGTATAAACACGTCGCCGCACGCGTCCACACTTGAACACTCGGAACGTGTCAACACTTTACTTATTTATACGGAAATTTTGTCAAAAATTAAGTGCCTATTTTTTTTACATAATTCGAATGAGAATCATGTACCGAGTATGCTCCTTAAATATTGATAGTAAATCACCAGTCACCCTGTATATTTATATAAAATAAACCATACAATCTCTTTGTATACTTATTTTACACGACTTACAAATAGTATAGATTGAATGTATTCCTGATTTGTGACCATATATATAATTTTGTTAATTATAAAAATGTATACTGTTAACAGCCCTTACCTTGGGATTTTTAAATTTTTATTTCTTTATACAATAATTACTTGTGGTAAGAATGATTAACTACAAGTTTAAGGGTTTTTACTTATAAAATCTTTGCACACTTTACTATCAATTGCAAAGTATCTGATAAGTTTCACTATGCCAATTCACACTAAATATGAAAAAAATAATCACTAAACCATTCCTGTTCAAAGTCAGTATATATATATATATAATTCTTCTGTGAGTGTGTATGTCCCTGAACTTAACTCAAACGACTGGAGCGATTTTGATGAAATTTTTTGTGTGTGTTCAAGGGGATCTGGGAATTGTTTAGATTCACAATTTTGTCTGCTGGACAATGTTTTTTATAATTAATTTTTAATTTATTAGTAGTTGTTGATTCAACTGTTTTTTTTTTGACATTAGATTTGTCAACTAACTAATATGTCAATCATTCTGTCGCATTTCAAAACACGGAGATTTATGACTAATAGGTAAACTCCAAAAATATAAATTAAAAAATTGTAACAGATATTTGTTGATTATAGGGCGATACGAAGTTGACAACCTGAGAGTGGTTGTGGTGTGTCCCCAGTGTTAGCGAGGCGCCACTTGAGTACACCGACGTCGCTGTTGACGGGGAAGGCGCGCTGAGCAGCCTTCAGACGGACCACACCCGATGTACGGAAATGTTCTTTGTCCACATTAGGATGAGTCTGGAACAAACAACTTATAAGTTATATACATATCATCATCAGCCTATCATAAACCCACTGTTGAGCAAAGGCCTCTTTCTCACATAGAGAAGGTTTGAGCATTAATCACCACGCTTGTAAGACAGGTTGGTGATTTCAAACTTATAATTGTGAAACTATAAGTCTAGGTTTCCTCACGGTGTTTTCCTTCATTTATGTCAGTGGTGTCTAAATGCTATCAGAAAGTACATATGACTCGAAAAATCACATTGGTACTTGCCAGGTTTGAACCTACGATCTCCGCAACGAGAGGCGGGCCCTTTAACCACTAGGCCACCACTGACTCTCTATACAGGGTGACTGGTGAATTACTATCAATATTTAAGGAGCATACTCGGTAAATGATTCTCATTCGAATTATATAAAAAAAATAGGTACTTAATTTTTGACCAAATTTCCGTATAAATAAATAAAGTGTGGACACGTTCCAAGTGTTCCAAGTGTGGACGCTTGCGGCGGCGTGCTTATACAACACCACGCCGCCAAAAGCGTATGTGTGTGTGTGTGTGTGTGTATACCTAATCTGTAGGGTGTTCACACGATGCGTAATTAATTACATAACTTTTGGTTAACTTTACTTAGAAGTTTATTAATATTTATGTTATATTAATTTTTATTTTGTCATATATGATCGTCAAATATCACGTCCTCAAGTATCGATAGTAATTCACCAGTCATCCTGTATACATATACAATCTATCAAATTGACAAACTTATATTTTTCGGATATACTTGTGCTTTATTTTTGTAAATAACTATAAAATCGGTTTCGGTTACTCTTCAACAACTATTTTCATCCGAAAAATATTAGTTTCATTTAAATGAATATTCGCAAGTCTTAGTTTTCATTCTGTCAAAGTGACATCGTCGTTTGCGTCATCTGTCAGAAACGCAATCTTTTGGCGGCCGAAGTTTATTACAGATTGGCTGATAATTATCTTCTTAATATGTAACTTTGTATTAGGATCTATATATTATAATTTATTACATGTATAGAACAGAATAATTATATATGAAATAAAATAAATAATTAAATGTCTATAACAACAAAAACTACCTCTAATTGTAAGTGCATTTTTAAATTTTATCCTTATTACTGAAATATATGTATATATAATGTCTAATAGTAATCAAATCCAGTAGTAATCCAATTAATTATTACTAATATACTAGTACTTAATTGGATTTGTGATTAATTCCAATACCTGTAATTGTAGAGGCCTTGTGTCTTTGTTGTCAACGTGAACTTGTATCTTACCAAACTGTTCGTTTGATATACGCAGAGTGAGCAAGCCTGGAATAATAATAAAATAAATATTATTATATGCATTAATTTTATACTAACTACATACAAGTATATGTAAATATATGTTCCACAATATCTATAGACTGGAAATGTATTTCAAATATTAATTTAATAAATTAAAGTTAAGTTAGAGAAATTAGAAGAAAAAAGTCTATATAGATATCCTTAATTCAGATAAAGCTAATGTAGATAAATTTTTCTATATAAATAGAAATTGAGTAAATTTCTTTTATGTAATGTATCACAAATATATAATAATGTGTAAAATTTGTTGAATACATGTATGAAAGAAGTGTTTTTATATTTAATTTAATATTAAAGTAACAAAAAAATTACCATAAATTGTATATATTAGGTACACTTGGTTGGTGTCGTAATAATATGATTTCAAGTACCATAGATAATAATTTTATTAAATTAGGTCTATCATTCAGTCTTGCTGTTTAATACATATATTATGAATAGACCATATTTAGATTCCATTAAGAAAACTAAAACTATTTACTAAGATACTATTTAGTTCTAAAACAAACATATTATTTATATAAAAAAAAATTACTGAACATAGTTTCCTTATATTTATTAAAACAGGAAATAACTATTGAATATATAATTCTCCTGTATGTGTGTATGTCAATGAACTCCTAAATTACTGGACCAATTTGAATGAATTTTTTGTATGCATTTTTTATTAGAAATGAAATGATTACAACTTAGGTTACTACATATTATGTGTGTTGTTTTATAATACTTTACATATCTTTCTGAAGACAATTTTAATGTTCATCTAGTATATTATATACATAGTTTTAAACAAATCATACCTGAAAGTTCAAAGCTCTGTATATCCCCATCTCTGCCGGCCACCAGATTCAATCTCTCTTCAAATCTCAAATGAACACTGAAAATTAAATATTACAGTAAACAATTATGAGATTATAACTTTTTTTTAATGATGTATGTAAATATATACAATATAAGCCAATTAAGCACATTATTTTCTTTCCACTAATTATAATTTATGAAAAATATTTATAATCATATTTGACTTCAAATCTTAACGCTTTGAGTTTCTCAAGTTATAATAGAACTTAATAACTCAAATAAGCATCTCATTATTTAACTAATTTTTGTTTTTTTATCTTCAAAGACAACACATTTATACATTAAATGAGACTTAACTATTTCAACAAGTGCAATTCATTTCAATTTTTCCTTTCTAACTTCATGCATAAAGCTTCAGTAATATACTATAGTATATAGTGAGATATGATTTTTGTAAAATGGGGGCCTCATTTTACAAAAGGCCCCAATATTATATGTCAAAAGGGGCCCTCTATGAACAGAGTAAGGGGTTATTTTTAACATAATAAAGGCCCCTGTGTGTATGCTGTACAGGTGTTAAACATGGTAAATGGGCCTAGTTTTACAGGGTGTTTAATATATCAAAGATACATAATATACAGGTGGTACACTATACAGGTGTCAAACTTGATTAATGGCCCTAAATATACAGGGTAATAAATGAAAAGATCCGCAGACCGAATTATCTAGGTGTTACACTGTATAGTTGTTAAACTTATTAAGGGACACTAGATATACAGGGTGTTCAATATATAATAGGTCCGTATTATTCAGGTGGTATTCTATACAGATATTAAACTTGATAACTGGCCCTAGATATATATATATATAATAGGTCCGTATTATACAGGGTGTGTTATATATAATAGGTCCCTATTATACAGGGTGTTCAATATATAATAGGTCTGTATTATACAGGGTGTTATACAAACTCACTCCTTGTTATTAGTAGTAACAACAGTCTTCTCTATCTTGACGGGTGCAGCGGCCACATCCCCCTCGCTTCTTAGACGAGACACGAAGCTCTCCGTGTCTGTACCGCGAGATCCGAGCTTCATAGCTGAACGGGTTGTTGTACGACTGGATATAAACAATATTAAATATATACAGGGTGACTGGTGAATTACTATCAATATTTAAGGAGCATACTCGGTACATGATTCTCATTCGAATTATGTAAAAAAAATAGGTACTTAATTTTTGATAAAATTTCCGTATAAATAAATAAAGTGTTGACACGTTCCAAGTGTTCCGAGTGTGGGCGCGTGCGGCGGCGTGCTGATACAACACCACGCCCCCGTACGCGTATGTGTGAGTGTGTGTGTATACCTAATCTGTAGGGTGTTCACACGATGCGTAATTAATTACATAACTTTTGGTTAACTTTACTAAGAAGTTTATTAATATTTATGTTATATTAATTTTTATTTTGTCATATATGATCGTCAAATATCACGTCCTCAAATATCGATAGTAATTCACCAGTCACCCTGTATATATACATAGGCAATTTTATTACACTAATTATAGATTTTTATACCAGATATTGTTCATCTCAAATCAATAATTATATTTCAATGATAATTTTAAAATGTTATACAATTTATGATTATTTTAAGTATGTAATTTCCTATCAGTAACTTAACTTAACCATTGTTATACATATAGTAGATTACATATATAGTCTTAGTCTTATCTCCATACATCAATATAACATTTTTACTAAATTTCCCTATCATTTTAAATATATTATTTATTTTATTTATATTTCCATGTACATACGTTTCTCTGACAGGTGTTGTTGGTATTTTCTCTGTCGTCGGTTCAGCCGGAGTTGTTTGTGGTAGGGACGAACTACCAAAACCGCTACCTATAAACAAAAAATTAAATAAAAATATTTATATATTTTTTGACAGTATATATAATATAAAAGCAAAAGTACTAATTTCTATTATAACTTAATGTATTATGTAATTAAAATTCGATAATTTGTTAATAAACAAGATGTGAATCCTGGACTTATTTGATATAGCATTCCAACTTTCAAAGACTGTAGTAACTGAGATATTGTGTCCTAACTTGATTTGTTTTTAAATTAAATTATCTAATGTTTCTTAAATGTTCAAAGTATGATTACGCCTGGTCTTATTAATTGTTATTATGAAATATATTAAAATTTAAATACATTTAATTAATCAAATATAAGACTTTACAAATACAAGGGTTCTAATCATGATAATTAAATATAGTACATATGTTAGATGAATTTCAATTGTTTCCACTAGTGTTTAACAACAAAAAGTCTATGACATTATAACCAAAACAGTGTATTGGTAGAAGCAAATAGTGTATCATTATAACCACTAAGTGTATCATTTAAACTGAATAGTGTTTTATAATAACCCAAATTTATTCCCAAAAGAGGGTTGATGTCAGGCAGGCGGCCGGTCGTAAAAACAATTAGCCAAAACTAATCACAACATGTAAGGTAGACCCTGGCTATTGCCGGGAAATTGCCAGGTAGAAGAAGTGTATTATAATAACCAAATAGTGTATAATTACCAAAACCGGATGATCTTGGTGGCTGTCCTCTCTTAGCCGCTTCAAGCCTTTCTCTCTGTAATTCTTTAGCGCGTTCCCTCATTCTATTAGCAGCTTCGCGCTCTTGAGTCTAAATATTAAAAGAGAGATTACTTTGGTACAGAGATAAGGTGTTTACGACTAAAGACTTCATTTTTACATTTCAATGGGTGGAAAAAAATATATATAGACACACATAAGTATATATACAGGGTGTATGAAAAACTGTGTCAACCCTTGAAGGCATGTATACATATAAGTATAAGCTTATTATAAAAAATAGTATAACTTAAAAAAAATCAAGCAGAGGTCAGTTACAGTGCATAGGCTAAATAAGTTTAAAATCGACATTATTTGAAAAAATGTTTCAAACATCTGACGCAATACAAGGTCAAGGCCCCGTATCGTCGCGAAGACGCATGCGCGGCCTTTGATCGCAGGCGCCGGCCGCCGGCGTGGCACACTCGTCTTTTGTTAGTGTTTATTAGGTAGGTTTATCGATAAATATTCTATCGACATTTTCAATATTGCTATAAGTAGTTATGCTTTTCTTTAGTGATTTAAAGTAACTTTTATAAATAATAAATATTATTAATCAATATTATAATTTGGAACTTCTTCAGGTAATTAAATATGTTGTATTATTAGGATAAATCGTTAATCTATTTCTGTTAGAAATGGTGTTTTACAATCAAAAATAATACTAATGTGTGATATATCAAAATAAGTATCGAAACAATATGAATATTAAATATTTATTTATTGTTATGATTTTTTAAATATCGATATTTTCAATAATGTAAAAGTAACTTCGAGTTCGTCACTAGTAGCGCAGCAGCTGTGATGACGTCATTGCGTGTCATCGTGTTATACCAGGGCTTACAAACATTTTGTTACTCTACATATAATAATCATTTAATATTTAATTTTATTATTTTTATTGAAGAGTTTGTAAATTTAAGTTGTTTTAGTGTGTTACATTTTCGATACTGATAACGTAGTTAAGAGGGTTGACACAGTTTTTCATACACCCTGTATATGTAATTAATTAGAATTTTCTAATGAAAGAAAATATTTTTTGTATTAAAAAGGTTTTGTATGTCTTGTACAAAACAATATCTCATATATAAGAATAACTGACCAATAATTTTATTAATAAATGTTGTATAAATTCGCAAATATATGATTGTTAATATAGTTAAACTTAATATTTTAATTAGTAAATGTTGAATAATAAATTGATGACACTAGCCGAATTTGAACCTAAGACCTCTATTTCGAAAAGCAGTTGCTTTATCAACTAAGCTATCGTGTCATGATTAAAGTTGTTGAATTTAGCCACTTAATCAATTTTAGCTTCTATGAGTCGAATTTAATACAATATCTAAGAGACAACTGAAAGATTGTATAGCAAATTTCTATTACAATATTTTAATAGCTTTCCGCCCACAGCTTCGCCCGCGTGGAGTTCGGTTATATCGCGTTTCAAAGAGAACCTTTCAAAAGTTTTTGATAAAAACTATCCTATGTTCTTTCTCAAGGTCAACTCTATGTCTGTACCAAATTTCATTAAAATCAGTTCAGTGGTTTAGGCGTGAAAGCCTAACAAGCAGACAGACAGACAGAGTTACTTTCGCATTTATAATGTTATTAATATATTAATTTATATTACTGACCTGTCTCACAGCTTGATAGATCTTCTCCTCATGTGAATCCATCTCGACGAAAGAGCGCACCTTGAATTTTATATACTATATTATTTTATGCACATTATTTGGCGTATGTGTTTTTGCAATTTACACAAAATCTACTGAGCTGATTTTGATCAAACTTTCCATTAATATTGATTATATATCAAAACCAAATAAAGGCTATAATTTGTCCTGAAATTCTGCGAATTTTTCTATAGGAACAAAGTGTAACAAATGTATTTTCTACATAGAAATGTTACATAATATATCTTAATTTATGGTCCACTCGGATTTTCAAAACATTAAATATAAGAATAGTATACAATATTGCTTATGGTTAATTTCTTTGAATATTTGACTCGAAATGCATCATTACATTGGTAAAATTGTATGTAACCTGTAAATATATTCCTCATTGTTTATTTCGTAAATATTAATGTAATATTCACCTGAGCCAAATTAACACTCTCCCTGTAACCGAGAGCGACAATTTCGTCGAAAGCAAACAGCAGATTGAATGCCTGGTTCAAAACTTCAGCTTCTGTCAATTGGGTGCAATATTCTGGCACCTAATGAAAAATGTTTATATAAAAACCTTTTTTATATTATATAAAAATATATACCATTAGGTATAGTGCAAACCCTCGTAACAACTATTGGATAATTCCATGTATCTAAATTGGAAGCGGATTATCAGAAGAAAGTTTGAGCTGAAATATTTTCTATATTAACAACTTTTAAGGTAATTTTTTCACAAATAATAATTATTTAGTGTTAATATTACAAATTGAGAAAAAAATCACCTTATAGTCGGTAATATAGAAAATATTTCAGCTCAAACTTTCTTCTGATAATCTGCTTCCAATGTAGAAACACGAAATTATCAAATGCTAGTTACGAAGATTTGCACTACCCCCGAAGATATATCCTACTAATATTATAATTGTGAAAGTTTGTGTGTATGTTTGTTACTTCTTCATGCTCAAATGGCTGAACTGATTTTGATAAAATTTTGTATAGGGGTTGTCGATTAATCACGTGATCTTTTTTTAGCATTTTTTAACCCCCCCGCCCCCATTGGTGATACGTAGTGAGGTTTAAGACCACCCCCCCTCCCCCTTCTCAACATCAGGTGTATTTTTAGTACCTACAACGAATCTTAAAATTTTCTGAATATTATCTTAATTTAAATACAGGTATAAACTATAATCTTATTTTATTCTGAAATTAAGGACCATAATAAAAATGTCTACACCAATGCCGCTTAATATTTGTTTAAAAATCGCGCGTCAGACGAAAAAATAAATACACGAGATATCTTACTACACCCCCCCTCCCCCTTGTGTTATTTTCGTGATTTTTATCAAACCCATCCCCCCCCTTTCAAGCCTCATGTGATTAATGGACAGCCCCATACAGGAAGCTGATGTCCAGGAATAACACATAGGCTACTTTACATCCCGAAAATCCCGGAAATCTGCAGGTAACACCACGGGGCAAAGCTAGTATTAACATATATATATTATAATTTAAGTGTTTCCATACCACTCTACTGAAGAGTCTCAGTGTTTCCAGGTCTTCTAGAATGTTACTCGCCTTTGTAGTTATTAACAACATGTAGAGCTTGTCCAAGGGCTGGTAGACATATCTGTGAAATAGACAATTTAAGTATTTAAAATGTTTATATACTAAAAAATATAGTTATTTTTAAATGAATTGAATTTGATGGTTATTAGATGCAAGGAAATGATAATTTAAATGATGTAATTAAATTTTAAAAGTCACAATAAATTGGTTACTACATGGTATGCAAAGTGATAAAATAGTGACGAAATTTTCGAAATAGAAATATAAAACTGAAAAGTTGTTCGCACGGAACTGCTGATGAGATACCATGTAGAATGAATAAATCAACTTAGAAGTTAAAAAATAACTTGGGTTATACCTTAATTCTTTTATTATTTAAATAACTATCCCTATGACAACAAGTATGAAGATTTTGTTAATCAATGGTTTTATTTGAATGTATGTATATAATTTAAATACTTATTAAATTGAATTTATTTACCGTACAGACTCTGTCTCTATAAAAGTATGCTGACGGCCGCCTGTCATTAATTTAGGAAAGGCAGCCAGGAGCCCTTCTATACGTGCTTTCGTCATTTCAACGAATTGACGAGAAACGAGCGCTAAAAGATATCGCATGTTTAGAAAATGTATACCGTATTAAAACGTTTATATAGACCAAATATAATACTTTACCTTTCCCCGACTTCGTGCATACTGTTGCAGCTATAAGTACCTATAAGTTACAGAAACATTTAATAACACACAAGTCAAGACGCCGGAGTTAACAAGTATTGCAAGAAAACCCGTATGGATTAACAATCTAGATAAATATACAAGAAACCAAAGCACAAGATAATGTTATCTCGTAATTTGGATAATAATTTAATTACCATTTTGAATTTATATCCTTTATTTGCAGTTTAAACAGAAAAATCATTAATCTTTAATCATTTGACAACGCACAACACGATGACGTGTAGATAGAAGTCCAAATTGACATTGACGTTAAAAACTAAGTTTTTAAATATCTTCGCTTTGATTTTGACAAAACATACAACATCTAACAAATTTATAATACTTTAAAATAATGATTAAAACCTCAAGTATTTTATAAATATAACTTGCTTGTAAAGAATAATATTTATTTTAATAACTATTTCTTACTTCAGAGGCTTTAATGAAATATATATTTTAGTTCTAGATGGCAACAATTCTGCCCGCTCTCCCTCCGCAACCAGTAATCAGCATTAAAAAACCAAAAATGTCAGTGTTGTATTAAAAGAAGTTAGCACATTGTGTTCATATATTTTACGATATCTGAAATCATACTCAAACCTACATCGAATATACCATCAAATAATATTTGATGTCGTTTCAACGATGACGCTTATGGATTGAGGCAGGCCTAAAATTTATGGGAAAAGGCTTAACAACGGGATAAATTTCATTCAATCGTAAGTAAATTTATATTTTTAATATGAAATACCGGGTTTACGGGCATGGGTTTATAATGGCTATTAGCCCACTAACTTAGCGTACTATCTTGCCTGTCTATAGTTCATAGTTCAAGAGTGTATGCGTTACTTATTTGGCTCCCATTAACACGTTACCATTTAAATAGACGTAGTTACGTATGTTATCTCGTAGTTATTGATAGTAATATGATTAATTTCGTAGATTTCATAGGTCATTAACCTCAATATTGTCAGTTTCTCATGTATACCAATTGTGTAAATTACATCTATTAAGTATTAATATAGTTGCGAATGAAATTCAGTATGAAATGTTCACGATAGTATCAATATTGAGTATAGATAAATGAATTGGTCGTAAAATCCTTTATAATTTCTTTTACTAGTTAAAGTGAAGGATGATTTCGGCTGTCCGGTTAGGACTTTAGAAATGAAGAGATGTGAAGCTTGCCGTAATCGTTCTGAGCGGGGAGCTCCTCGATCAGGGGACCGAGACCCTCTCCTTACCTCCCCTATCTTGCAGGAAGACTCCCAAGAGTTACCGAACTTAGTAAGAACTATAGTAGATAGCACTATACATATGTGCACGTATAATATTATGTTGCTGTACAAAACAATGCAAACAGAAATAATCTCAGCGAAAGTAAACAATGCATGACTGGACGGCTATTAATGTTTGATAAGGCCTTTTGTAGATTAAAATAGATTAAAAAACCCGATAGCACAATGTTTAATGATTGACACCATATGACTATCTTATCTGTACATAGTTTCATTACATAGAACATGTCCCGCAAAGAGTTTTGGACCATGTAGTTTTTATGTTGCATTTGTGTAGCACAGCTTATAAATAGTAAATATTTTCGCGCCTTTTTTTTTTTCTTTTTTTTTTAGTGTACAATGAAAAAGAAAATTAGTATAACAAAAGTTCCCAAAGAGGTATGTTTATTACTTAGTCATGTATGTAGAATATGGAAAATTTAATAACATATAATGGCCAATCGTTTTGTTTTACGTCTTTAGACGCTTTTATGACTCAATTAAGGGAAAATATACATGTTATGCCATACAAATATAGCTTTGACGGTTTTGATATAAATATACATAAAAGTTAATTAAACCGAATGTAAAAGATTTTATTTATTTAAAAAAAAATATTACGCTAATTTTATTCTAATCGGTTCTTATTCATTTCTGTTTGATTTAGGTATTTAAGAACGAAAATATAGAAGAAATTTATACTAATAAATTATTTCGATTTCGCTTGCGTTATTTCACAATTACGGATAAATCTTTTAACAAATTTAAAAATATTCTTACATTTTATGAATCTCGACCTTTTAAATGTATAAGTAATTGAAATTTCATACATCAAAAGAAATCCTAGAACGATTACGTACTCGCTTTAATTATATGTCTGTACTCTGAAGCGTCCTTAGAGAAATAGCTCAAAGCTTTTAAATCCTCATTACGTATATAAATAATTAAAAGCATTAATTAACACTTTTTATATTTGAACTTAATCTTGAATATATGAAATACTAGCTTTCCGCCCGCAGCTTCGCCCGCGTGTAGTTCGGTTATATCGCGTTTCCAAGAGAACCTTTCAAAAGTCTGGCATAAAAACTATCCTATGTTCTTTCTCATGATCAACTCTATCTCTGTACCAAATTTCATTAAAATCAGTTCAGTGGTTTGGGCGTGAAAGCGTAACAGACAAACAGACAGAGTTACTTTCGCATTTATAATATTTGTAGGGATAACTTTATTAAATCCTTTTTTGTTTTACGATTCAAATTTGGAACATTTTTTTTATCGCGTATATGAAGATTAATGGGAAGATTATGTATTGTGTAATATTTTTTCTATATTTAAAGATAGCGAAAGTTGTAGGAATTGATTTTTATCATTCTTCCTCCACAAGTCCCGACCCTATTTCATTGGATACGTTCCAATGAGAAATGGTTACACGTATTTTTTCTGTCAACTATACTATTTATTGCTTGTATTTTAATTATAATTAATATTTTTCCTTCTCTGCCTATTGAAATAGTGTAAATAATCCGTAATTAGATCTAATGTGATTTAAGACTAGAATATTGATTTAAATTAAATTAATATATTCGAAGTAACTACTCGTTTTTACTTCGAAGACAGCCTTAGTAGGTTCTTTTCAAATTTGGTTAGGTAGAGAGAGGAGCTTGGACAGTGGAGGTGAGCGTATAACGTTATATACATAGAGTCTCTTAAACCTACACTTGGGTCACAAGTCCCAGTCACTGTTGAAGGTCCTCTCACTACAATGATGGACCCGACACACGTACCGTGAATACATAGAATGATGAGAGATTTCGTCTCATTTAACTACATAATCCCTACGTTTCGGTTACTTTGCAGCAACCGTAATCACGGATAAACAAAATCAAAATTAGATTTATAATTGTTTATCAAAATTTCTAGAATATAATTTTATTGAATTGGCTTATAATATCAAAATAGTATCATTAAAAAAAAGTTTTTAATTCATAATACATATACAAATATCAATATTAAATCAGAAAATAAAACGAACACTGAACTTTAATATTCTATTATAATAAGCTAATTTCGACCACATTATGTAATTATTTCATCAATATTATTTATAATAGTTTGTTACCGGTTGTCACAGCGACTATAATTTCTGAGCGTAACGGAACACATGACAGTTGAAATACGCGGCAAAATGTCTGGAAAAAAGTCATTTAAAACAACTCGTTTCAACATTATAATAGAAAAAATGTTATTTTAATTACATTCTACATTTATTATGAGTTAAGAGTGAATTATTTTAAGTTATAACAAACATTTTTATTGTTATTTGTGTTAACTACATATATAGATATATGACAATTTAATCCGCGTCTGTGTTTACGACTTATCACAAAAGTTTTGTTGTGTTTCTATAATGTAATATTAGTGAGTGAGTTGAGTTATATGAGTGAGTATAAAGCATTTAATAATTAATTCAACTAATTAAATCTTCGATTCTAGCCGTTTTTTTTTATTTTCATTCGCACTTTCACGTTTGAAAATTATATTGAATAATCAACATACTTATTCGCCATTAAGTGACTAACATTTTTATGTACATGCTTATAAATATGTATATATTTTGTAATTTTGTTTCGCTCATTATTTAGCTCGAGTATACAATAATTCTTAATATTTCGAGGCGGTGTTATTAACGAGGGCTGTGAATTTATGATGTTGTAACTTTTATTACGTATTAATCTTCTCTGAAAGCAAATTAATTATTAGTGTACAAAATAAATATAAAAGAAATCTATAACTTTTGTCATTATTATTTAATTCTAACAATTTTGAAATTAGTTTTGATACGTATAGCCATTTTTAAGTTGTTTTTTTTTTATTGCTGTCGCTATCAGAATGTTTCATTCAAATATGTTTAGTAGTTTTATGTTATTACAAAAAAATTATTAAGTCTTAAATATAAATAAAAGTTATGTAATTTTAATTTTTAAAATATTAATAATCGTAGTAATTACGAAAATTTAAATTAATTTATATGAATACTCGTAAAAGTCTTAGATTTTCCCTCTTCAGATGCAATAGTATATGTAGTAGGTATATAAAAAATTTAAGCAATGTAAAAAAATACTAAAATATAGCAATTTTTAATCTATACATGTAAAATTTTTGGAAACACGTTATTATTAGTCTAATGTAAGCGAGTACATACAAAGGATTTTTAATTTCTCTATAGTGTAAATCAGCTAGGATATTTCAATTGCAAATAAGTTATGCCGCAATACGAATATATTTATTTGATTATAAGCCTTACGTAGTTCATCCTAAGATCTAAAATACAACAGCATATTGTTATTGCCAATTCCTTTGTTTATATGCGAAGTCTTTTTTCAGGCCTTGTAAACGATGTGTACATACAAAATATAAATTCGACGATAATTAATCGATTATTTCAAGTTCAATAGTATAATATGAAAGTCATTATGTTTAACATTCAGTGACGTCACATTTATGTGTGTGTGTGTGTGATTACATGATGTCTATGTGTGTGTGTGTGTGTGCAAAAAGTACATATATGAACAAGGTTGCTGAAAAGTAACAGAAACGTAAAAAGTTGGTATGAAGTTTATAAAATAAAAAAAACGCGGCTTGTAATCCGAAAAATATTAGTTTCATATAAATGTATTTTATGTGTATTATATATTTTTTTATGAATTTTTATGTATTGATAAAAAGGAATTATCAATTCAATTCTTCTCTATAAACTTTGATTGTTTTAAATTGAATCCATGAAATTATTCTAAATAATGGATACAGAATTATCGCTTCACTTATTGTTGTTAAGATTTCATATAAGGCTAATGGCTATAATGAAAAAAAATTTTCTTAGTAAAAAAGTATTTAAACAATTAAATTCACTTCAAACTTTTCTCCTAACCGTGTTACTGCTATCATTATATTCCTAAATTCATTACAGACATCGAAAATAGACTGAATTCTTAGTATATATACTTATATATTATATTTGGATGCGTTATTTTATGTTCAAATCCACTTATTATAATTATATGATATTAATTTTTATAATAATGTCTCAATCTCGAACAGTAATTAACTTCTTATTGCACCAATCTCGCCTGTCACGACATTGGCGCCCAAATATTAGTGACACGAAAATGGGGTAGTAATAAAATTATATCAATAATTAATTGAAACAAGTTTATAGTTTGTGGATATTTTTATATCTTTCAAAGTTTTAATTTATTATTTTATATTGTCGGATAAAACATATTTTTACGTATATATTTTTTATATGTATATAGATAAATCAAACTATTGTTAAATATATATTTAGAATGCAAGTCAAATACTACATACGTAAAAGAGCAAATTAGAAAAAAAAATGTAATTAAATTAACGATAATTTACCAGTCTTCTCGTGTACATGACAATGTAATTAAAACAATCTAAGATAATTACGTAATTATGTTTTAATAACCTTAGTACGAGAGTCCATCGTGTTACCGTCATACAATTAGTTTGATCGTTATTATTTGTTTACTAGCTTTCCGCCTGCAGCTTCGCCCGCGTGGAGTTCGGTTATATCGCGTTCCCAAGAGAACCTTTCAAAAGTCTGGGATAAAAACTATCCTATGTTCTTTCTCAAGGTCAACTCTATGTCTGTACCAAATTTCATTAAAGTCAGTTCAGTGGTTTAGGCGTGAAAGCGTAACAGACAGGCAGAGTTACTTTCGCATTTATAATATTAGTAGGGATCATCAAATTAGTATTGCTGACGTATATATTTCTTTAAAAAATAAATAGAAATAAGCTATAGCATTAATATGTAAATTAAAATTTTAATTTTGTATGTGATAATATTATCTAGATGACGAAAGTATTGTATAGTAAATAAAATTATTGTATTGCGAGAAGTGTATTCTAAATTGACGATACCACAACATCCGTAAATTGTTTTCATAATACAGCAGTTATTACTTCACACTTCAATTTAATTTATAGATATTTTATCTTGCTATAAAAATATATCAGACAAAACCGGCTGGAAAACCTAGTATAATAAATAATTCTTCGTAATATCATGACGCCATAGAAATAAATCCAAATTTCTATAACAACAATATGATAGCAATCGATAATTTTCGATGTCTAAATTATTCAGACATTTGAAGGTCAATAGGTCAATGCCCCGAGTATCTAAACCGCTATACAGTGCATGTTAAACACGCTTTGTAAATCACAGTTATAATTAAATAATACCTATTAGATTTTTTTCAATACATTATGTTTTTAAAATTGGTGTGCGCAGACTTGCGAATATAGTGCGTTTGATTTAAGCTGAGCTTTGCATTTGTGTGAGTGTACACGGATAGTGTAGGTGTGATGTCAAATTTTTGAATACCACGTCCTTTTCTAGTTTTGAACCGGTTTATTCTGCTTTTACTTTCCCCGCACCTTTCTCACTTCACCTTATGTACTGGTAGCAAAATCAAATGTTGAAAACGCAATGTCAAGTGAAGAAAAAATTTGTATTGTTTTTTTAAAAATTTTTATTACTTAATAATTTTTTTCCCATAATATTTCCATTTAGACTTTTACATGTTTTGCTTATTTTATTTTTAATCTAGAATAACTCTTGCGCTTATGTTATGTATCTATTAAAATGTAATAAAATTGAATTCTAAAAGTTTTTTGTCTTACTCTACTTTTACTTTCACTCACACAAAGTAAAGCTCAGCTTAAGTCTAACGGACTATACCTATTTGAGTTCTTAGAACATATTATATGTTATGAACATTGGTTTGCGCAGACTTGCGGCATCTGTACGATGTTTCCGTCGTGCATGTCTCTGCTGCCGCGGAGGGCGGAGCCCCGGCCTCCTAGGCCCGGTCAGGCCGCCGTTGTACTCAATGTATACGATATGTATTGGACGAATTGGTGAGTTACACTATATACTACACTACACTAACATATACATATATATAAAAGAAAGTCATGATAGTTACACTACTTATAACTTAAGAACGGCTGTAGAAATATGGCTGGAAATTTATGGGGAAATATTTTGGAATCATGAGATGGAAATAGGATCTTTAATTCTGTTCGATCCAGAAAAAAAAACAATTTAATATCTGGTTATTTTTTTTTTTTTTGTTTATACCTACCCCTCCGTCTAGGGGAGACAGAGGCGGTTATGTGGGATTCACGGCCAGAAGGGCCCATGTTACCCACTAAAACACCAGCGGTCACTCTCGAAACGGAAACGCCGAAGCATGCATCCGCGACGATCCGGCGGCGGGCCGCGAACGGCCACCTCCCCCCCCCCCCCCCGAGGGCTCACTCCAAGTGACCAGGAGTGTCCCCCCGCCTGGCGGGCTTGCTTAATCGCGAGAGGGTTAACCCCTTACCCCTCCCACCCAAGCCCACGCGGCCAGTCTCCAACCACCCACCGACGAGCGCAAGCGCCCGACGGCAGACAGAGAGGAAACCGACCGACCACAAGCGAACTCAGGCCTCCGGAGAGACCCGAGTATCCCCTCCCCCCCAAGGCAGCCACGGACGGCCTCCTGCCAGATCCGTGACCGTCTTACTCCCAGGGCTGTACCCCCAGCCCTCCCCCCCGTGACTGATTGCACCGGAATACACCAGTGGGCGATGGGGTCGTCACGTCCCGACGCCGGACTGCGCCGACAGTGGCCGAGGCCACCCGCCAACACGTAGGGCCGAACTTGGCAGCGGCGGTGTACACCGCCGAGCCTCGTCCTACCCACCTCCATGGGCTGCACCCCCAGCCCGGGCCAAGACCCCACGAGGAGGTCAAGGCCCTTCCCCCCCGTGACTAATTGCACCGGAATACACCGGTGGGCGATGGGGTCGTCACGTCCCGACGCCGGGATAATATCTGGTTATTGGCCGAATCTCAGCTATACATATACATATTACTAATTCCGAAATTAACACAGACGAAGTCGCGAGCAACAATTAGTATGACTTATCAGCTCAACTCCGCCATGTAAAACCAAGCCAGAAAGAGTATATAAATATACTATTAAAATTGTAATGATAAGTCATATATATTGCAAAAATCTTCATTACAAATTTTATATAGGATAAATAGGCTCATAGAAGTTTTTAATAAAAAAATTCATCTATAACACAGTTATAAAACATCGTCACTAATTCATTAATAGAGTACAAAAAATTTACACAATACCTCTGGTGTGTACAAAACGTGTACAAATGTTTATACCTCGTAGGTACACAGCGGGTGCGGGTGTAGGCGTTTTCCACAGCGGTGTACAAGTTCACGGCTCGGAATGGGCCTACGGTGGACATCCGTATGCATTCACCGGTGTCTTCGAAATAACACCAAGAGACGAAAGGGAGTTAGGAGAACAGTTCCGCTTCAGGTTAGTACGGACAATACTTCTACCTGGCAATTTCCCAGCTTTAGCCAGGGTCTGCCTTACATGTTGTGAATAGTTTTGGCTAATTGTTTTTACGACCGCCTGCCTGACATCAATCCTCTTTGGGAATGCATTAATCAGTGATGTCTAAATACTCTTATAAAGTACGTATGACTCGGAAAAATCACATTGGTACTTGCCGGGATCGAACCCGCGCCCTCATGTATGAGAGGCGGGCCTTTTAACCACTAGGCCACCACTGACTTAAGTCTGAGAATGGACAATGAGACAAGATAATAAATGTAAACAAACGAGAATTTTATTTAAAAAAATGTGTTCGAAATGTTACATATATTTTTTGTTTCTCAGTCTATAGTGTTACCGTTTTGGTGAATTAAATGTACTTTAACTAAGTTATATACAAAGATATATAAAAAAAATCGCTTAGTAAATCCGAAAATATTAGTTTCATTTAAATGAATACTCGCGAAAACCTTACATCTCATTAAATATACAGAGTTTAATTTCAATGTGTACTTTGATAATCTAACAGATTTAAATAAAATTAATATTTTCGGATATACTATAGTGCTACGCGTTATTTTATTATTTTAAAACTACATACTCCCGACGCTTGAGTCCCATAAATATTAGTTTCATTTAAATGAATACTCGCGAGTCTCTTACTTGTAGTAAATTCTATAAATAAAATAAGCTTTTTAAAGCACATATATTTCTGTTTCTGTTAGTTAGCCATCTGATAGCTTATTGTTATACATCTGTGATACCACTTCCGGTTCGTCTCAGCTTTTATTATCTGTGCTGTCATTGTACATCGGAGAGTTCAACATCCGGTTTACTATTGTTATAAATTGAAATATTTTGTTTGGTTAATACGACATAATACAAATTTACGATCGAAATTTTACTATTCATATTGACATATAGAATTAATTTGACACAGATTGCTTAACATTTAATCGGAAATTCCTTTAATAGTATAAATAATATACGAATATTATATATATAAATATATATATATTTTTATATCAATATTAAATTTAATTATGTTATAATTTCCAGGCAAAGCGTTCACATAGGATACACAGATTTCAGTGAAGAAGAGGTGAGGCGACTTGTTAATGAATTAGGCAAGCAGTTCCGGGGGGATAGGTATGTATAAATAACTTAAATTAATAATATTATATATATGTCGACATAATTAAGTTATCAAAATATGTAAAGTGAAAACTATGTAATCAAAATGTCGACATAGCAAAATGCATAAGCTATTATTTTCATATAAAATTTCTTAGAAATATAATTAATTAATTATATAAAATAAACATAACACACACACACAAACATCAATCCGTGAACATTCCTCAATGTGAGTGTCGTCACTGAATGTTAAACATAATGACGTCATTATAATATTGAACTTGAAATAATCTATTAATTTTTGTCAAATATAATATGAAAGTAATGTACTAATTATTTATTTTCAGATATCATCTCATGAACAATAATTGTAATCATTTCACGTCAGCGTTCTGTTTGGTGAGTTTTATTACATATATAGAAGTTACATCCCTACTAATATTATAAATGCGAAAGTAACTCTGTCTGTCTGTTACGTTTTCACGCCTTAACCACTGAACTGATTTTAATGAAATTTGGTACAGAGATAAAGTTGACCTTGAGAAAGGACATAGGATAGTTTTTATCCCAGACTTTAGAAAGGTTCTCTTGGAAACGCGATATAACCGAACTCCACGCGGGAAAAGCCGCGGGCGGAAAGCTAGTAGGAAATATTCTTTAATTACCTACTCATAATATATTTAACATTAATTTCCCTTCAATATTCAAATAACAAATACTACAAGCTTCAAATAAGTTACAATGAACACTGAACTATATTAATCTATAGAAATAATACTAAAACCAAATCTATTATATATATTTTTTATTTCCAGGCGCTTTGTTCCCGCGATATTCCGTCATGGGTCAATCGTCTCGCCTACGTTAGCTCGTGCGTGCCATTCTTACAGCGGTGTTTACCAAAGTAAGATATTCAAGAGGTAGAACATTATATACAAATAATTATCAATATATAATTACTATTATAGTTCTAGTTCTAATTTCCCAGCTTTAGCCAGGGTGTGCCTTACATGTTATAATAGTTTTTTGGCTAATTATTTTTACGACCAGCCGCCTGCCTGACATACACCCTCTTTGGGAATGCATTAATCAGTGATGTCTAAATACTCTTAGAAAGTACATATGACTCGGAAAAATCACATTAGTACTTGCCGGGATCGAACCCGCGCCCTCATGAGAGGCGGGCCTTTTAACCACTGGGCCATCACTGATAATTAGTATTATATATTCAAGCTAATATAACTTCTATGTAACTATATATAAGTATACTAGAAGACCCGACGAACTTCGTATCACCCTATAATCAAGAAATATCTGTTACGTTTTTTTATTTATATTTTTGGAGTTTACTTATTAAAGCCATAAATCTCCGTGTTTTGAAGTGCGACAGAATGATTGACATATTAGTTAGTTGTCAAATCTAATGTCATAAAAACGTTTGTATCAACAACTACTAATAAATTAAAAAAATAATTAAAAAACATTATCCAGCGGACAAAATTGTGAATTCCTAAACCATTCCCAGATCCCCTTGAACACACACAAAAAATTTCATCAAAATCCGTCCAGTTGTTTGAGAGAAGTTCAGTGACATACACACTCACAGAAGAATTATTTATATAAAGATTATTTGTTTGTTATCATAGAGAGTGGCTAACCCCGGCCGCCCTTCAACACTCGCTGGCCGCTCACTCGCGGTCTTCATCACCCGCTACACCTGACTCGCAGGCGTCACAATAGCGCCGTGAGTATAAAGCCACTATATATAGCATACAAAGTCATGATATAGTACATAAAGTCACTATATCTAGCAAACAAAGTCACAAAACACATACAGTCAGAGATACAGGACACATAGCTATACATAAACGTGGCGAATCGTGTCTAAAAGGAACTTTGTATCTAAATTATTTGGAAAGCCCATTAAAGGACAAAAATTTCTCAGTGTTAAATTGGTTGCAAAACACGTAATTTAACCATCACCAATAGTAAACAGATACATAAAAAATATAATAGGTAGTAGACAATATAAATCACTCACAGAATATGTATGAATGTTGAATATTTTTTTATTTTCATTAGGTTTATACGGTCCTCACACATTATGGTACCCCCTTACATTGATATTTCACACACACACATACATACACAAATAGACTCACATCACACGTACATGTATATTGAATAAAGGAAATATTATGAAATATATTTAATATTAATTAAAACTTTTCAGACGAAAACCTGCCGCAGTGCAGAGTCAAAAGGAAACGTGTTGTGCGTAAAACATAGCTGTTATATTAAACGACCATCAGTATGGCGCATTGTCGAAACAATTATATAGTTGCCAGAACTAAATATGTAAATAACCTAAATAATGTATTACGTTAAAATAGTTATACAAGTATAGGGAACTCCCCACCTGGCAACACTGAACGCATCGCATCGATGCATTAATGATGGAATAAAATATACGCATTTTCTTTTGTCCTTTTTTTACGAAATAGTTTCTTTAAGCCGAGCTAATTAACCGAAGAGTGCCTCAATAAATAATATTAAAAAAAATAACGCCTCATTCATTTGTAAAAAATTTATTCGGATTTTAGACGCGTTTATTAAAAATTAAAATAGTATATGCTCAATTCAGTAACTATGAAGTTCCTACATATTGGCATACCAGATTTAATTTCGTTAATTCATTCGTTCTTTTGTTTTCGCTCATCATTCAATATAAAACCAAAAAATAAATTTGTAGCAGTCATAGGGATCCGTCCGATAAATTTCATAGCTACGTGTTAAACGCTGTTAATAAAATATAACCGGAAATGTAATTAGTAGTTATCATAGAAATAAAATCACAATTAAAAATGAAATTAATTAATTATTACTAAATTAACGAAAAATTAATCAAACGAATTAATTTTAACGGTAGTTAAATTATCGACAGATAATATAGTGCCTACTCTACTTAGTGACTTAGATATTGTAAGTACATTTGTTAATATAAGATAAAATAATTACATCTTATTCCATTAACAACAGATTTAGTGTAAATAAAACATTTCTTCCATTCATAATTAAAATATAATCTATTAGAATATAACAATCTTTGACAATGCGCCATTTTGAGACGCTTCTCAATTTTGACGTTCAACGAATGTCAAGCAATAAAATTAATTTGAACCTAAAATATATATTTATAGAGAGCCTCGTTCAATAAAACTTACGAGAAACGTCTCAATGGATGGTTTATAAATGAAATGTAATAAATTTCATATAAAACGATTATTTATAAGATTCTTTTGATATGTTATAGTTGAATCGACACAAATAATATGTAAGTGATTTCCCGCCATATTGAATCGTTTGAAAGTGCCACTTGATTGTTGCGAATAGTTTTAAAAATATTTTATACTTAGATTATATATGGCGACGTATAATTGGGTGTTGTATGATTTATGTATTAATATGTCTGCGTGTATTTTTTACTCCTTTTATGTGTTTTTAACGATGGTTTCCAACCAAAGATGACAATTTTCTTATTTTCGATGTAATTTTAACATGTTTCGCAACCATTTTAATTAAATGCTGGTTTATCGAGCGTATGAACCAATCTTCAAGTGACTTGTTAGTACATGATGTAAGGAATGGTATACAAACACATTGTACCTAATAATAATATTTAGTCGTAATTTTAAGATATTTTTTGCATTTAAAATTTTTCATTTAATATTTTTAGTTTTAGAATTTTCAACATGACGTTAACACAAATCGAATTGAAATATTAGCAATCATATTTTAATATCGGGCCGTATAAGATATGTGTATGGACCATTTTTCGGAATTATGTTTATTTTTTAGGGATAATTTCGGGGTATTTATAAAATTATCGTACTGTTATTTGTATGAAAGGCTTGAAAGTTAAATAACTATTACTATGTGAAGTGTTGATTTTTCGATTATGATGTTAACAAGTGTGGGGTAAAAATCTCTATTTTTAATAATGAGTGTAAGAAAACTACTTTAGAATAAACATTGTTATTCGTCTGATGTCTTAGAAGTCATCGGCGTTCTTTCATTGAATCGTATTTAATTTAAGGGTTTTTTCACGTTATTGTCAAAATAAAGTATATATATTGACAATAGGATTTTTTTTGATGAAATAAACATTTCAAAATATATTACTTCGTTTTATTTCTTATATATTTTTATTTTGCAATAAAATGCCATTTTGTCTTCATATAAAACAAAGTTAATTATTTCTAATTATATATTAGTACAAATCTTTATAATTTCGTGTCCAATAAAACAATCAATGTTCTTATCACTATTTATTTTTATCATTACATGTAAGTCGGGTCACGTTAAAGTTACCTTTAAAAGTTTGTACACACGATCTCGTCGCTATATTTTAAACTATTAACTTACACTCGTAAGTATCAATGTCTTTAGACTCAATTTTCTGTATGTACATTGTCTTATACCTAAACACATTAATATTAAAAATCGCTTGACAATTACAAATAAAGAAACATCAATGAAAAGTGCGATATATAAAAAATACATTCATATTCTGTTCAGTTTGAACAAATATATATTAATAATCAATTAAACATGCACTAGTTACATTATGGGCGATGGAGATTGCTTTTGAATTTCTCAAAACTTATATAATTTTTCATATAAATAATTGTATATAATTATGATTACTATAATTCCGCCAGTGAACATATGTATATAAACTGTCAACTATATGTATACGTCATAAATGTGTGTGTCTGTGTGTGTATGTTGATGACGTCATCACTTCTTTTCCAAGGCTTGGTTGGAGTTTCCGTTGTTACCGGCTCCGTAGTTCTGTAACAGGATGAATTATTATTACTAATATTTATTAATTAGTGTTTATTATTCATACTAACTTCTATTTTAAAATACAAGGAAATTACACATTACATATATTATCCTTATGATTTATTTAATTAATTTATTATGTAACAAAAATAGCAATAAATACATTATTAATTATTATAGAAGAAATGTTATGCATAATAGATAACTTAATAGACATCCTACTCTATATAAAGATAGAAACCATTTTGTTACTTCAAACTGGAAAAGAAATCTGGTGTAAGTATTATACAAAAGAGAAGGAAAAAAATGTGTGTAACCAGATATATTTTCCTTAATACAGGGTGACTGGTGAATTACTATCGATATTTGAGGACGTGATATTTGACGATCATATATGACAAAATAAAAATTAATATAACATAAATATTAATAAACTTCTAAGTAAAGTTAACCAAAAGTTATGTAATTAATTACGCATCGTATGAACACCCTACAGATTAGGTATACACACACACACACACTCGCGCGCGGCGGCGTGTTGTTGTATCAGCACGCCGCCGCACGCGTCCACACTTGGAACGTGTCCACGCCTTATTTATGTATACGGAAATTTGGTCAAAAATTAAGTGCCTATTTTTTTTACATAATTCGAATGAGAATCATGTACCGAGTATGCTCCTTGAATATTGATAGTAATTCACCAGTCACCCTGTATATTTTAATTAAATCCAAAACCGTACTAATGTAAAATGATGAGATTACAAAAAGCATTCTGACGTTATTATAAAACCACCGGATTCGGTTCAGTAAATTTTTGATATTATTTTAATAATAAGATACTTTTTTAACAAATATAAAAACGCTGTCTGTTTAATATATTGATATCTATCTATCACATTTTCGTAACGCTTTCATAATCTTACCTCCAAGCTTGCGCAAAGAAGTTTTACTTCAAAAAATGCTAATAGATTAACTATTACAGTTACTACTACTACTACAGTTACTAATTCATAAATAGAATATAAACTAATTAGAATTATATTTGATATTGTAACAGAAGTCTTCGTTACTTGAACTAACTATATGTTGTTATAATATTATAATTACGAAAGTTTGTGAGTGTGTGCATGTTTGTTACATCTTCACGCTCAAACGGCTGAACCGATTTTGATAAAATTTTGTATACAGGAAGCTGACGTCCAGGAGTAACACATAGGCTACTTTACATAGCGGAAATCCACGGGTAACGACGCGGGGCGCAGCTAGTGTTGTTATAATAATGTATATCATATATTACCTGATAGAACTGCGCCCACGCCTGAGCGTTGTCTCCGCTGTTGGCGCCACCTTGCGGCTGTTGTTGTTGTTGTTGCTGACCGTACTGTAATTATAATAATAACAATTATATATTATGAAAAATCATAAATAATATTTGTAGATATATCTTATATATATTGAGATATTATATGTAACATATTGTTGAGAAATTAAGTACATTAATGTTAGTGATTGATCAATTATTATAAATTTAATACAAACATAATAAATAGTAGTGACTGAAAATATTACTTCACTAGGACTTAAGAGTTACATGTTTAAATAGAATCATAGTTTAATATATTCAAATTTCTTTAACATTATTTTTCTTTACCAATATAAAGCGACATTTCTATATACAACTAGCTGACCCGGCGAACTTCGTACCGCCCTATAATCAAGTATTTTTTTCTTTCATAAGATCCTTCTCCTAATAATAACAATTATAATAAAAAAAAGAATTGGTGAAATCGCTCCAGCCATTCACGCGTGATGCCATGACCAAGTAAAGCGGGATGCATTTCTATATAATATATACATTTATATAATTCTAAAAACAACATATATATTACTTTATACTTGATAAAGTATATATCGATGGCTCCTATGTATAATGTCCAATGTGCAAAATGACAATTGTTCACTAGAGGCGTTTTAATTTCAAAGTGTCTCGTACATGCAACAACTGATGCTTTTGAAACTTTGCTTACTTACATACAACTATGACATGCATGTCCGTCCTTTAAACTCGATAAACTTTTTTGTAAGCTTACATACTAGATTTTTCAATACATATATTTTTTATAATATACACTATATAAGCACTTACAAAAAATTAAAATGGCTAAATTGCTATATTGGCGCTTTTACATATTATTATAGTTGACATGATTGTCCACATACCCCAGGCCAGTTCTGTTGTTGCCACTGCTGCCACTGGAACCACTGTTGTGCGTTGTAGTTCTGCCAGCCCTGCCCTGCCTGCCCCTGGCCTGCCGGTCCCTGCCCTGCCTGTCCCTGCCCCGCGGGTCCCTTCCCCGCGCCTGCCTGTCCCTGTCCTTGCACCTGTCCCTGTCCCTGCCCCTGGCCAGGGTTCTGGTTGCCCCAGCACCAGTTGTTCCAGTTGTTCCATCCTGTTTGTAGATGCCATATTAGACTTACATATGTACATACATACTTTATATATGAAGAAAATTTAATGATTTTATTATTCTATAAACAAGTATAGTTCTATTTATGAAATAGTTATAAATAAATTTGAAACAATTAAACATCGCAAATATTTTCATATAATGATTTCTTATTAATGATTAACCAAAAGGTTCAGTTGTTAAACATCAGTTGATTTAATTAATTTTATCAGAAGTACAGAGTCAACACTGTAATTTGCATAAGTAAAAACGCTGAAGAAAATCTATAAAGAAAATCATATATATAACTTCTTCTTCTACCTGGCAATTTTCCAGCTATAGCCAGGGTCTGCCTTGCATGTTGTGAATAGTTTTGGCACATTGTTTTTACGACCGGCCGCCTGCCATCCACCCCTTTTTTGGGAATGCATTACTCAATGACGTCTAAATACTCTAAGAAAGTACATATGACTCAGAAAAATCACATTGGTACTTGCCAGGATCGAACCCGCGCCCTCATGCATGAGAGGCGGGCCTTTTAACCACTAGGCCACAACTGATTTAATATATATCACATAATATATATTCTCACATACCTGGATTTTGATTATTCCAATTCCCCCAACCTCCCCAATTGCCAGCCCACTGGTTCCACTGCTGGTTTTGATTTTGGTTGTGATTTTGATTTTGATTCTGGTTATCCTGGTTTTAAAAGAAAGATGACAGATTTTAAAAAACCATTTACTTGGTCATTTAAAACACACTATTTATTATGTATTGACAAATTGATTGTAGGTAGATCAGATTGTTATTTATAATATATTTTACTTATTAAAAAGTATGGTTTATATCCAATTATACATTATATTACTTTAAATTCAAACCAACATAATAAATCATACATCAATATCCCTACTAATATTATAAATGTGAAAGTAGCTCTGTCTGTCTGTTACGCTTTTACGCCGAAACCACTGAATTGCTTTTAATGAAATTTGGTACAGAGATAGAGTTGACCTTTAGAAAGAACATAGGATAGTTTTTATCGCAGACTTTTGAAAGATTAAATTCAATTGGATCATATTTATCTAAACTATCTATACATTTTCAGATATCTCGGATCATTTTTGAGTTAACAACGATCAATTTAACTTACTTTTAGTATGCAGTATAACAGTAACTGTATGGAATATATAAACATATACACTATATTTACATATATATATTATATATAGTATATTTAGTTACCTGTCTTGGCCCATGTCCCATGTGACCTCCTCCACGAGGCCCCGAACCTCTCTGCCATGAACCTTGAAATAATATTAATATAAGAAATACTTAAATGTAATTAAGATTAAAATAATAATATAGTATATAAATTGATATGAAATTTAATAGATTGAATACAATCCTTTTGTTGTCATTAAAATCAAACTAAAGTCATTTAAATGATAAATTCAATGAGTTTCAATTTGAACATTATAAATTTCACGATTTCTCATTATTAAATCGCCAATAACTTAAACTATAAAGTAACTAGAATCTCACCAAAAACATGCCTGTTAAAAAGGGGGCCAAGTTCCAATCGGCTAATTGTTTGCCTAAAAAAGGGGTGAAATCCAATCTAATGCCAAGTTTAGATGCACTTTGAAATCGATCATAATCATCTTCATCAACAGCATGATCCACTGGTAAACATTTGCCATTCCCAAGACTCGCCACCACACCCAGTCCTCTGCCTTCCACATCCAGCCACTACCCGCCACCTTATTCACGTCAACGGTCCATCTGACCGAAATTCACTTTACCATACACCCAACTTAAAATATGGTATAGTTGTGAAAATACGTAGGTGCTTGGTTAAAAATATCTAAAATTATAATACTTCTCAATTTGAACTTGGCAGGTTTTTGTGCTGTACTTAACACTTAATTAATTGTATCATTAATTTATTATTTAGTTATATAATTATTTATATTTATATAATTTAAATATTATATAATTTAAATAATTAAATTAACCTGCCAAGTTCAAATTGAGAAGTATTATAATTTTAGATATTTTTAACCAAGCACCTACGTATTTTCACAACTATACCATATTTTAAGTTGGGTGTATGGTAAAGTGAATTTCGGTCAGATGGACCGTTGACGTGAATAAGGTGGCGGGTAGTGGCTGGATGTGGAAGGCAGAGGACTGGGTGTGGTGGCGAGTCTTGGGAATGGCAAATGTTTACCAGTGGATCATGCTGTTGATGAAGATGATTATGATCGATTTCAAAGTGCATCTAAACTTGGCATTAGATTGGATTTCACCCCTTTTTTAGGCAAACAATTAGCCGATTGGAACTTGGCCCCCTTTTTAACAGGCATGTTTTTGGTGAGATTTCAATACTTTTTTTCAAGAAATCGTACATACAATCGTACTATACAGCCGTACAATGCATAACTTACAGCATGAAACATACAGCTACCATCTGATGGCATAGGAATTACCCTATGTGGTATATCTCCGCCAACCACCGAATGATGTACAATTTCCATCGTTGGTAAATGAATAGTAGAAAAGAAATAGAGTGAATTTGTGCTTTTAACACACACAAGTAATCAATCAATAAGCAATATCAAAATTAATCCTTTAGCAAGTCAAATCAGTGATCCATTTAATCGTAATCGTAACCATATATAAGATATTGAGACATAAGTGTAGAAAGAAATAGAAAGAAATGACCATCGATCCCTTATCGACTTTCATTCATATATACTGCAGACAAAACAATATCGCGATTCAATTATACCGCTAGCGCCATCTATAGAAAGTAATTTATAACAATAGAAACCTGATTTTTAGGTAAGCAATATTTAATTAAGTTATACAGTGTGCATTATGTATAAATGACAATATTTTATCTTCTTCTACCTGGCAATTTCCCAGCCTCAGCCAAGGTCTGCCATACATGTTGTGATTAATCGTTTTTGGCTATTAGTTTTTACGACCGGCCCGCCTGCCTGACATCAACCCTCTTTTGGGAATCAACATTAATCAGTGATGTCTAAATACTCTTAGAAAGTACATATGATTCGGAAAAATCACATTGGTACTTGCCCGGGCCAGGATCGAACCCACGCTCTCGGCGACGAGAGGCGGGCCCTTTAACCACTGAGCCACCATTGACAATGACAATGACAATATTTTATATCCCTTATATATATACAACGTGTAACATAATTAACGCACACCCTGAAAGTAGTTTGATCAGAATCGGATACTGGATCGATTTTGATAGTTTTTTATGTAGGTCATTTTTTTTCTCAAATTTAGATAGAACTAAGTAAATTATAGTCACCCTACACACAGTTATCTAAACACTTCATAGAAACGAAAATTAATGGAAACGAAAATGGATCGTAAGTCAGGGTATTAAGATTTTTAAAATGAAATATTTAATTAGTAATCATCATTCAATTAAAGAAAACTGATACTTATTTCAAGGCTAAAATAGTATTTAATAATAACTACGCACACAACACCATAGCGACAACCGGCACACAGCAAGGTCACTACAGTGCATAAAAGAAAGCCGCGTAATACAAAAATTATTACTTTCTCCTTCTTTCTTCGGCTTAATAACATTACAATAGAGCGAGACGGCAGGCATAATTCCGGGAATCAGAGTAATAATAACTAAACATCGAAGTCAACAAAATGTGTTTTGGGTAAGTTAGTCACGCCGCGTCCACCTTATCGAAAAGAGGTCAAGTGTAAAGTGCAAATAAAATCTTAGTCGCGCATTTCGCTGTGTCGTTTCGGTACACTAACATTCAATACATCAAATACCTACGCACGCGTCCATTGACCTCTTAGATCAGCTGATTTGACGCGACTCGACTTTTTTTTATGGGGGCGAATTAAATCGCTAGCTTATAACACAGAGATAACAAGTGCCGAGGAACTAAAAAATAAGATAATAACCGCCTTTGTAAAAGTGAAAAGTGACATTGCAGTATTATCTAAAATAAAACCACAATTGCGAAAACGGTCACTAAAGTGCATTAAACAAGGCGGTGGACATTTTGAAAATGTTTTAAAACGACAACGCTGTGCGAGTGCAAATTAAACTGTAAGTTTGTTTATGATCTTTAAATTATTGTAAATATTTTGATACACACCATTTAAACAGGGACCGATTGTGTTTAACTTTGTCGTAGGTATTGTAGTGTCTATTCAAATCACGCGTTATCAGCTGTTTAATAATTCTTATTTACAAATTTAATTTAACAAATCAGTAATTATAAAATATTGGCTTCACATTAAAAAGAAAATTCAATGTCAACAATCTAAAGCTTGAAAAGTGTGATTTAAAGAAAAATCATAATGTATGTAGTTATTTCGTGTACTTATTATTACCTACTTATTATTGTCGGACGGCACTCGGAGAGAGGGGCGCGGGCGCGGCGAGTACAGAGTGTCGCTGAATAGCGGACCATATTATTTGCACGAAATTGGGATAACTAATTTCACAAATAAAAAATGCAAACGCACATATAAATAATATTTGGTGTATGCATTGCGTTTATATCATTATATACGCATTGGGGTATTAGAGGGTGTGCGTGAATTACGTTACACGTTGTATATATATATCAGTTCTTAAGAAGCGCCCCACACTTTTTTCACAATAATATTAATTTAAAAATAAATTAACAAACAATAAATGGTATTTTTGTGAAAAAAAGCGTGGGGAGCTTCATATATCACTTCTTGAGAAGCGCCCCACGCTTTTTTTTCAATAATACCATTTATTGTTTATTTTAAACAATTTAAATTAAATTTATTTCCAAGGTTGTAAAGGTTAAATTAGTTTCCACGCGGTTTCTTTCATCATTGGAGCGTGTTTTTTAGTTTTTTTTATAAACTATATATTTTTTTTATTTTTTAGTTTCATTTATCACCGATGTGTACTCATATTATTAATATTTCATTATTATGTATTTTATTGTGCTGAGCTGAGCGCCTATATAAAGGTTTTGATTACCTGTCAGTGAGTCAGTGCCAAAATTAGCTATTTTCACAGGGTCATATTTCAGGATCTACTGAAGCTTTATCTATGAAATTTGGCATACTGCTTTAGGACTAGTATATGATTACGTAGGTACAATTTTATCTCTGTACTTGCAATAGACACTGAGCTACAGGGGGTCAAAAGTGGGTCGAATTTATTAAAAATTCGATATTTAGAATTGAGGCAACTCACGCTTGACCGATTTCTTAAATTTCTTAATTTTTTGTTAATCTACATATAACACACAACCTGTGTACCAAATTTCATAATGCTAAAACAATGGGAAGTGGCCTAGAGGTTTTGATTACCTGTCAGTGAGTCAGTGCCAAAATTAGCTATTTTCACAGGGTCATATTTCAGGATCTACTGAAGATTTATCTACGAAATTTGGCATACTGCTTTAGTACTAGTATATGATTACGTAGGTAAAATTTTATCTCTGTACTTGCAATAGGCACTGAGCTACAGGAGGGTCAAAAGTGGGTCGAAACGGTTCGTGTAAATATAGTGCACGGCATGCGCCGGCCTGTGGAACTTGGCCGGCGCACTACCGTGCGCTTAGATAAAATACCAATAGATAATTAGATCTCTGTGTATACTTTAACACACACTCATCCTACTAATATTATAATTGCGAAAGTTTGTGAGTGTGTATGTTAGTTACTTCTTCACGCTCAAACGGCTGAACCGACTTTGATAAAATTTTGTATACAGGAAAGGAAATCCGCGGGTAACGACGCGGGACACAGCTAGTGCATATACAGAAATACCCCGCTTGACGCGAGGGATACAATCCGAAGAAAATCGCGTATATTGAGGTTTATGATTAAACACAGTCAAAATTTAATACACAAATATAAAAATCATTTTAATCAATCACTTTAATTCTAAGAACACTATACAATACATAGGTACTCCTATTTTTTTTGAAAAGATAGATGTATTGTCTTTTGGGTAGCGTTTTGTTTACGTTCTTGTAAAATACGTTCATAACACCCAACACTGTTTTTAATCATTTGACACACGTTCAAGACTCGGTCATCATTATTGTCTATACTCTGCAATGTCCCAACCTGAATAAATTTCTGAAATTCGCGTTATAGTGAAACCGCGCACAACGGGGTCGCGTTAAGCGGGGTATTACTGTGTGTATACATATGTATCTATATATTACCAGGAGGAGGTCCGGCAGGTCTCTTATCCTGTTGGTGGGGCGGGCCTCTGTTCGGGGGCCTGTGGTCCCTCTGGAACCTCTCCGCGGGAGGTCCGCGTGGCCCCGGTCCTCCCACGTTAGGCCCCGGGCCTCTATCCTGACGGGACCCCATGCGACCGCCTCGAAAACCGCCGTCGCGACCGAAATCATTTCTATCGAGAAATAAGTTAAACATTATAATAATAATAATTTATTTCAGACCATATTGTAGATATAATGTTAGTACAATTTTTTTTTTTTTTTTTTATGTTATAGGTGGCAAACGAACAGACGGCCCACTTGATGGAAGGTGGTAACCGTCGCCCATGGACATCCGCAACAAATATGTTGCGGATGCGTTGCCAACCTTTTCTTTTTAGGGATAGGGAAGGGTGGGAATAAGGAAATACAAGGAAAGGTTGGGAAAAGGGAAAGGGCAACCGGCTCTCTCACTCATCGGACGAAACGCAGTCATTACTGACTACTTCACGCCGATCTTCTGTGAGAGGGTGGTACTTCCCCGGTCGAGCCAGCCCATGTTCGAGCTGTAGTAACTTAACCACAGCTAGGCTCTACCACCTAATAGTAATATTAATTAAACTTAATAAATAAATTGGTTAGTAAATTTACAAAAGAAAAGCAATTTTATTTATGATACTAAACTAATTTTTAAATAACATATATATTTTACTTGACTACGTGGAGTCGTATCCAGTGTGCTAAAATTTGTGAATCCCAGCGGTCCAACAATGCATGCAGGATTATACATTCATGTATAATACAAGTAATGATTGTGTGAAAATATGTTATCGTATTAGGAATGCCTTCAGTAATAAATAAAAAAATAGGGAATATTGAAAACAATGATCAAATCCATAGAACTAAATAATTTTTCATACAATTTTTATATATGAAAATATACTTCTTGAGTTATGAAAAATGCTACAATTGTTAATTATTTAAAGCTACTGTTGGAACTAGTATAAACCAAACATATAAATTGTCTTAATTGTCTATGCGGCAATATGTCAATCTGATTGTATTATAATCACTTGCGTCAACCGTTTTGATCTTAATAAATCTCTGTATATCAATGTAATCCATTATTATTTTCGCCCAATTCCATTAGCTATTATAATAATTATAATAGTTATATATCAGAGGTTAAGGGTATAAAAATTTAAATATTCTGTGGGGTACCTTTGTGACCAATTCCTATCAAATCTAGGATGTGGGGGTCTGTCTCGACCCCAACGACCGCGTGGAGCTGGGGGACCCCAACGGCTACCGCCCGACCAACGATCATCTGAAATTATATATATATGTATTAAATAACTTCACTTTGGTAAAATTTATTTTAACAATCAAATATTATAATAAGACAGAATTAAATGTAACTCATATTTTCGGATTATTACTCGTTTTATTTTAATTTAAACTATATATTTTCGACGTTTCGGTTACTTTGCAGCAACCGTGAGCACGGACAGAAGAGAATGAAATGTAAGTTTTTAATAATAATAAAATATACGTAGTAACCCGAAAATATCTGTTTCATTTAAATGAATACTTGCAAAAATCTTAGATTTCATTAAATAAATAAATACATTCATAATATATCGTCGGGGATATTGAAAATCCAGGTAAGTAGCATTGGATAATTCAGTGTAGCTGCGTTCAAATTGTTTTACAAAGGAACTTAAAATCAAAATAATTTTCTGAATTTAATAACATTAAATGTAACTTTCTTCACAGTGAGTAATTATTTAGTGTTTGATTTATTACTAATTGTCCTTCAAAGTCGCTAATTTAGAAAGTATTTGAGTTTAAGCCTTCCTTTGTTAAGCAGTATCTAATGCAGTTACCCCAAATTATACAATGCTAGTTAAACGGTATTTTCACTATACCCTACGATATATCTATTTCTCCCTCCCTCTATCCTACCAATATTATAATTGCGAAAGTTTGTGAGTGTGTGTATGTTTGTTACTTTTTCACGCTCAAACGGCTAAAGCGATTTTGATAAAATTTTGTATACAGGAAGCTGACGTCCAGGAATAACACATAGGCTACTTTACATCCCGGAAATCCGCGGTTCGCAGCTAGTATATATATCTATCTCTCTCTATATATCCATCTCTATCTCCCTCCCTCTCCATAAATCTATCTCTATCCCTCCCTCTATATATATATATATTATATCTATCTCTCTCGCTCTCACCAGTGGCGGCTGTACCTTAAGTGCACTCGTGCGCTGAACCACCAATTCAAAAGATTTGAAAACTACAAAATAATACTTCATCTTTATTTTTAAATTACCATCTTAATATTTATTTTCTAAACATACAAAAACGTATAAAAAATTAAATTTTCTAATTATGGTCAAAAAGTTTAAGCGCTTTACTAAACTAATATCGTGCGCTTCGGCGAGCGCACGAGGACTGCCAATACATCTTGTATGAGATACGCATTAATACGCCTGGCGCGTGAAACAAAAGATAGATCATAGAAATGTACCGAGTAATGAGTCGGTTCTCGAGCACCGCACGAGCGGCCGAAGATTACCGAGAGCACCCGATGTATGACGAATTGGAATTGAAAAGAATCAAAACTTTTCTACGAAATACCATGCGCTTGCTAAATGCACTTTCTATGCTCAGTATTGAAAAAAATAATTATACAAACAATACTCGATTTTAATAAAAAGGTGATTGAACATTTCGTTTCAGAAAAATGTCGTCGCATTGATTTAATATTAAAAAATAAACATATTTTATGTCAATTGGTTTTTTGTTGCATTTTCTAATTTTAATATTTTATTAAAGTGCACCACCAGTTCGATAACCCACCACCCGCCACTGGCTCTCACTATATATATCCATCTCTCTCCCTCCCTCTCTATACTACTATATATCTATCTCCCTCTCTATATACCCACCTCTCTCCCTCCCATGTTCCCGGGGCCTCCTATGTTCCCTCCTATCAGGCGACCTCTGCCTCTTCCCTGTATCTCTTGAAGTTGATCGCGCCCGCTTGTCCCTCTCCTTCAAAGCGCCGGCCGCGGCTGCTTCAGAATGATAAGTCTCTAGAACCTTCCTCGCTTCTTCCTCGTTGAGTTCCGTATATATAACTTCATCGACGAACGAACCCTTTTCGGGTAACGTGAAGTTCGCTGTGGATTAATTACAAATATATAATTATTAAGGAATAAATATAGATTTATTTTATTCATAAATAGCACAGCAATATTCAATGTATTGGTTAAAAATATTTATATGTATATGTGTCAATATCTACCAGTTATATTAACAACAATTGTAATTTTGTTTCTTAACTATCACATGTCATTTTTAGGTATCAGTTAAAAATCAGTGTTATATATATATATACATGTCTCTATTTCGCATACATAATCATTATAGCATTTGTAAATTGTCTCTACATACTATTTCGAAAACTGCATTTGGATTATGCAATCACATCACAAATGAATACGAGTTAAACTAAAATTAAGTCTACTTTACCAATCACTATAATATCTGTATATTAATATCTTTTCTTCTACCTGGCAATTTCCCATCTTTAGCCAGGGTCTGCCTTACATGTTGTAGATAGTTTTGGCTATTTGTTTTTTACGACCGGCCGCCTGCCTGACATCAACCCTCTTTGGGAATGCATTAATCAGTGATGTCTAAATACTCTAAAGTACATATGACTCGGAAAAATCACATTGGTACTTGCCAGGATCGAACCCGTGTATTCGTGCATGATAGGCGGCCTTTTTAACCACTAGGCCACCACTGACTAATATCTGTATCCTACTAATATTATAATCGCGAAAGTTTGTGAGTGTGTGTGCATGTTTGTTACTTCTTCACGTTCAAACGGCTGAACTGATTTAAATGAAATTTGGTACAGACATAGAGTTGATCTTGAGAAAGAACATAGGATAGTTTTAATCGCAGACTTTTGAAAGGTTCTCTTGGGAACGCGATATAACCGAACTCCACGCGGGCGAAGCTGCGGGCGGGAAGCTAGTATATAATATTTATATATATATGTAATACCTTTCATATCCAGTATAGCAGCGTCAGGCACCTCCTTCCCATCGGCCGCCTCCCTGGCCGCGGCTCTTTGTTTCTGTTCGTCCTCACTAACAACCACTACGGCCGCTATACGACGATAGCCGGTGAACTCGCGTAGTTTACGACGCTGAGCCGATGGGTATACGTTCGTCTGTGGGAAACATACATACATTAATATATATATATATATATATATATACATTTACTAGTGAGTTAAGACTTAATTAATCTTAATTTCTGTTTAAAATTAAGACTATTTGAATTATCGACAAGTATCAAAGAAACATTAATTTAAACAGTCACAAAATACATGTAGTTTATGAAATATTGTCCAATGTATTTTATGTAGGATATTGTCATGAATGTATTATTAATCTAACAGTCCTTATATATTTCATTCATTATACAAAATGTATGAATTTAAATTAAATTTAATTATATCATTCAAGTCACTTACACTAATATTATATTGTATAATTATTAGTAAGGTTTATAACTATGTAAGGCAAAATCATTAAATTATGATAGCTATAATAATTATGTCATTAAATTTGTGAATAATAATATCATATGATTGTTTCAAACCTGATCTAATATGAAATTCCTCCTCCTGCCTTTTGCTATTTCCAGTAACTTAACAACACATTTAGCGCACTTCGTCACCATTGCGTCCCATTTACCTTCGTATGATGTACGGAATGACTTACAATCCACCTGAAAATATAAATATATTTATTAAACACACATTTAATTTGAACCGAACCGAAATGTGTTTTTGGTTAAGATAATAATTAGTTTGTTGTAGTTAAGGTTTTATTTGTTATTTAAAAGTACAAGCTTTATAAGACAACTATATTTCCTTTAAAGATTTTGTTCAAATCCTATATATATAAGAATATATGACAAATAATATTGTGTTTATACTAAAAATTGTTTATTAGATATGGTCTCTAGTCTGACTGGTATTGTAAATCTTAATTTTTTTAATATAATTTAGCTATCACCTAAAAATTCAAATAAACATTAATATTGTTATACATATTAAAATAATTATGTCAAATTTAGACTCAATATTTTGCTTAATTGATTTAAATATCTTTGTTTTTTATATAGTTCTACCTAAATAGTACAAATCATTAGCTTAGTATTAAAGTGACCTAATTGAAAATTAGTCAAAATTAAGTTTCATAGACTTGTAGGATTATTACGACGATAATTTTAAGTGTCTTAAAAAAACGGAACCAAAATTAGTGCTATCTCAGTTTTATAAATTTTTCCTCTCTTTCATACTCGTGACCTTGATTACCTTATCCCTACTAAGATTATAAATGCGAAAGTAACGCTGTCTGTCTGTTACGCTTTCACGCCTAAACCACTGAACTGATTTTAATGAAATTTGGTACAGAGATAGAGTTGAACTTGGGAAAGAACATAGGATAGTTTTTATCCCAGACCTTTGAAAGGTTCTATTGGAAACGCGATATAACAGAAATCCACGCGGGCGAAGCTGCGGGCGGAAAGCTAGTTTCACATAACATAACACTGACACATTCAGTGATTTGATATTTCAGGTTTTTTTGATTTTGTTCACTTTAAAACTGTATGCGAAATATGACTTTAAAAAATTGTCATGTTTTTCATTATGTGTGTATGTATGTTTACCTTCATTCGTTCAAACAAAGCTCCCGTTGATAGTATATTATATCTCTTCTCTGGGTTCTTAGCACAGTGTTGTTTTGCCCAGTAAGTTTTTCCTGAACCTGGCATACCCACCATTAATATAACCTGGAATCATATAAATATATATTATTTTCTATATATATATCTTCTTCTACCTGCCAATTTCCCAGCTATAGCCAGGGTCTGCCTTACATGTTATGAATAGTTTTGGCTAAATGTCTCTACGTCCGACCGCCTGCCTGACATCAACCCTCTTTTGGGAATCAGCATTAATCTATTATTTATTTATATCTTTTTAAATATTTTCAGCGTAAATTAAACGAGAATTTATTTATACCTATTAACACTAACCGCCTCTTGATATTGGTGTATTTGGTATTTTAAAATAACAATATAAAGTTAAAGAATTGTAAGAATTGTTTATACAAATAAAATGTATTATTTCACTAATCAACAGTGCTAGCTTTGTATTGATGTTTATGTATGTGTTGATTTTGTTGTAAATTTAACACAACCATATTAGCCTCCGAATTGTGATAGCTATTATATAGTTAATATTAATTTTCCTTTTTCCTCTCCTCGACTGAACAGTTGTAAAACCAAATGTACTAATTATAACTATAAATCACACTCCAAATATTCTTTTTATACAAAATCCTATAAATATTTGGATATAGACTTTTAAATTGAAAACTTCTACATTTTCGCCTATCATAATCCATTCAAGACTATAATAACGACTTACAAACTGACAAAATTTTTATTTATTACTCGTCATTTATTTTAATAACATCAACTTAGGGACTTTGTTATTCAATACACTTAAACAGAACTAATGAATTAAAAAAATATATCAAATTAGTTTTCAAATGCTGAAGCACACTACTGTTTAACATAAATGCCCATTATCGCGATAATTATTGGCATTTCCCGTTGGTGTGGAAAAAGAATTATCTTATTAATTATTTATTCAATATAAGGTATATTTTTACCTCACATTCTCCACAACTGCTCGGTCGTCTTGGTCCGTCCACCAAATCTCCTTTAGCTATAAACTCATATCCTGGGAGGATGCTCAATTCTGGTCCATCCAATTCTTCCTCTACTGTGTATCTAGAAATAATATATTCATCATGATATAGGTATAAAGAAGTTTATTTCCAAAAAGAACAAAGTTCGCTTACAAAGGAAATTTTAAAAATTATAACTACAATTAAAATTACAAATAATAAACAGTAGTGATATTAAACAAGATCAGTGAAATCATCTAATATATGGGTTCTTAATCGTTTTTTAAATATATTTAGAGATTTTGAATTGACAATTGTACTTAGAGGCAAAGAGTTATACAGCTATGCTCCTTCAAATTAAATAGTATTAATGCTGTACATGGTTCGAGGTTAACAAATTATATATAAAGTAACCAGAAAATTTTGTGCGGTTTTCATTCATTGTTTACTTATAATGACTGTATATCGCAAATAAGATAAAGTGGTGGTTAGTTTATTATACATTTCAAAGGTTATATTAAGTAGTATCATTTATTGCGTTAGATAAGAGTTTTCCCTTAAAAAAAATAGGAAAATCAGTGGTAAAGTATGGCCGTGTCAAATGCAATAATTCGTGCTTGTTTACTTTAAAAATTCAAACTTGGCAGTAAAGCCGCAGAATCTAGTTTAAGTTTTCAGAGAAGATCAGAACTCTTTTCATTGATAGACTTATAGATATGTTCAAAGTGTTTAAATTTTTTGTTTGTGTTATATTTAGATTGCATTTAACAATAAGTATAAAACGACATAGTTATTAACTTAAAATGATTGTTAGTTTTGTGTAAATTCAATAAGTTAATAGTGAAATTGTATCAAATATTATTTTTGAACGAGTTAACTCTAATCTTTTTTCTAAGTATATATATACAGGGTGACTGGTGAATTACTATCAATATTTAAGGAGCATACTCGGTACATGATTCTCATTCGAATTATGTAAAAAAAATAGGTACTTAATTTTTGACTAAATTTCCGTATAAATAAATAAAGTGCGGACACGTTCCAAGTGTTCCAAGTGTGAACGCGTGCGGCGGCGTGCTGATACAACACCATGCCGCCGCGCGCGAGTGTGTGTGTGTGTGTGTGTATACCTAATCTGTAGGGTGTTCACACGATGCGTAATTAATTACATAACTTTTGATTAACTTTACTTAGAAGTTTACTAATATTTATGTTATATTAATTTTTATTTTGTCATATATGACCGTCAAATATCACGTCCTCAAGTATCGATAGTAATTCACCAGTCACCCTGTATAACACTAACCTTATAACAAATTTGATCCGTTTGTCCAATACAAGTCCTCCCATCACTTGCTCCTCAGTAACTTCTTGAATTTCAGCTTGAATACAAAAAATAATTAATTACATATTTATATACATCATTACATAAAGTAAATCACATATAAAATATTAAGAATACTAATTATTATAATATTTCAGTTTTAAACTCAATGTCCTGGCAGACCCTGGCTAAAGCTGGGAAATTGCCAGGTAAAGAAGAAAAAACTCAATGTCCAAGTAAGAAACAATATTATGTCACCATAGCATATATCACATGCTATGTTTGTATAATATATATAGTGTTATACTCTTATTTGTAAGTCAGTGAATATATTATCAATCTTACAGTTTTCATCGTTCCCCGAGCCAGCTTCTGTATCATTGGTCTCCATTGCTTCATTTGTAACCACTTTTTCATCTTTCTCACCGTTTTCCTATAAAATTAATTGAAAATATATTAAAATGTATATTATTTAAGTGATTTCTATAGAATGTAGCAATTATATATTATACTTGGTGTTGTTATTAATGTCACTACATATTTTAGTAACAAATATTTTGAGTAAACAAGATATTTTAACTCAACTTCTCTATAATAAAATAAATTTTCAATATGAATAAAAACAACAATATTTATATGATATTTTTGTTCAAAAATAGTTTTTAAGACAAAATGAAAATTTGATTAAGTAAATTTGTTTTATCAGGCTTGTCATATATACTTTCATATTTGAAATAATTTTTATTCAAACAGAAAACTAATAATATTTAAAATACTTAATCAAAACTATATAAACAAATTGAACTCAATGATATGTTTGATGTAATTAAAACTATGACAAATATACAATGTTTGTATGTCTGTTTCACAACTATGTAATTAGTATTGCAATACAATAATTGCTTGTTCTAGTACAACTTACATTTAAAATAAACTAAGATTTTTGAATTATTACCCATAACTTTATAAATAAATGCTTTAAGTGAATACTAATCTCTTGTAATTCTAACTCACATTAAGTTGTTTATCATCTCCTTCTTTATTCATATCTGTATCTTCTTGTTTGTCTTCTGCTTCTTGTTCGTTCTTTATATTTTCTTTATCATTTTCTTGATCAACTTCCATCTCTCCTTCTTTATCATTCTTTTCTTGTATTTCGTCTTTATTTTCTTCATTTTTTTGTATTTCCTGATATGAAACCACAAAATTTAGTTATATAATGGTATATAATTTTATGCACATTTAAAAAAAACATATTTTAAGGCTAAATCTGGGAATTTGCCAGGTAGAAGAAGGAGACTTTCTATCACTACAAAACCATATTTAATTTAAATCCCCCATTTACATTATGTAACATTAACAGTAAACATAATAAATTAAGACATTATTATCTGAACTAAAGATCAACAAACGCGATTATAATTCTAAATTTTACCACCATTTGAAAGACTGAAACTTTAATAAATCAAAATTTTTTTCAATCCATATAAACTTAATCTTACATGAAGAGTTCATTAAAATATTAGATATTTATTTTAGAGTCTAACCAATATATATTTTTCTATTAATATCTAGCTGACCCGGCAAACTTCGTACTGCCTCAATCAAGAAATAAATTATGTCTTATTTATTTTTTGGTGTTTACCTATTAAAGCCATAAATCTCGGTGTTCTGAAGTGCGACAAAATGATTGACATATTAGTTAGTTGTCAAATCTAATGTCAAAAAACCATTTGTATGGGAAATAAAAAAGCGCTGTTTTTAGGGTTTTCCCGGAAATAAATAATTTTTTTTTAGCTTTTTAACCTTCCCTGAACCTCCACGAACATTTCAAGACTATGATAAGATAAATCCGTTCAGTCGTTCTCGAGTTTTAGTGAGGCTAACGAACAGCAATTCATTTTAATATATATTCTATTAATAATTATTTTTACCTCATTCTTATTGTCACTTTTTTCCGTAGTAATTTTAGTTTCATCTTCTTTATTTTGCTTCGTTTTCTCTTCTTTTATTCTTTTCTCTTCTAAAACTTGTTCTATCGGTATTTCAACACGATTGCGTACTATTTTAGTTTTCGTTAGCATGGTGTAGCTAGAATGATATGTTTTGTTAGAAAAACATTGTACATATGTACTGAAATAAATTTTTAGCTATTTTTTACCTAAGTTTGTTCCAACTAATAAATATATTGACTGTAACAAATTTGATGAAGCTTTCACTAGGAGATAGTTGATGTAATAACTTAAGCTACTTTCGTTGTTAGACCAAGTCGTGGGTAATACTAACATAATTATTATATTCATATACAATTAAAAGATATGTAATTTCGCTTGCGATCCCATACAATAATATATTGTACGGGAGTAAATACAAAATATTAATATACCTGTTTGGTGTTATTGTTACTTTTGAAAGCAACAATTTTATATAACCTTACAGGATTCGAAATATATGTACATTTAAGAACTAATAAATACGAATAAAATTTATATAAGAAACTCTTGTTACTCGTAATTTCATTAACTATTGATTAGTGAAAGTCTAATCAAAATAGATACAACAATTTCAGAGATAAGACGGTACAAACAGACAGAAAAATAAATTTGATTATGTACCATGTATATGAGAGCAGGCATTTAGTATAAGTAATAATATTAGGACATTGACTTGACTTTTAATTACAGATTTATAAGACACTGAACTGTAAAACTGACAGTTTCGAGTTAAAACTAACTCACCGATCGTATCCCAAGTTAACTTTGTAACACATGTTTTTCGTTAATACGTGAGGAAAAATCGCTCTCCCTTCTAATATCTCCTTATCAAATTCAAAGGCAGTTCCTAGTTCTTCCCCATTCAACGTGTACGACATTTGACAGGGCGTTGAGTCTAGATCCTGAAAAATAATTATATTTATAATTAATCTGTATATATAAAAGAAAGTCGTGTTAGTTACCCCACTTATAACTCAAGAACGGCTGAAATTTGGAACGGCTGAAATTTGAAAATTGGCAGGGAGGTAGTTTAGAACCAGGAAATTGCAATAGGATACTTTCGACAGCATTCCTGTGGGACTTGACATGAAACGTCAGTCACTATAAAACGTGGAATAACGAAACATATTTGACAGCTATGCAATTGACGTATAATGACAGATATGTAATTTAGTATTTGTGGGATAAATTTAGAAAATCATTGTTTTTCACATGGGCAGTTAGAGTTTGTGTGTTCACGAGTTTAGAAACCATCCGCTTTATCTGTGTTAACGTTAGACCAACAAACCAAAAATGTGGTTTACAAAGGAGCACTTCAATGAAACGGATAATTTGCGGACACGTTTAACGCTTCGCTTCGGTATCTACTTTGGATTCACTTTCATTTACTTAGAGAAGTTCAACTAAATAACACTTCATTTTTGTAATCGAAATTAATTCATTACTGTTGTGAAATGAAATAAATATTTTCCTTTTCAAATATAAAACAAAAAAAAAATTCTTCATCTTTTAATCACCAAACGAAATGTTACATAAAACAAAGCCTTCTTGAGGCGAAACGGAGTTCGCCAGGTTTACTAGTTACTAATATACAGGGTGACTGGTGAATTACTATCAATATTTAAGGAGCATACTCGGTACATGATTCTCATTCGAATTATGTAAAAAAATAGGTACTTAATTTTTTACCAAATTTCCGTATAAATAAATAAAGTGTTGACACGTTCCAAGTGTTCCAAGTGTGGACGCGTGCGGCGGCGTGCTGATACAAAACCACGCCCCCGCCGCGTGTGTGTGAGTGTGTGTGTATACCTAATCCTTAGGGTGTTCACACGATGCATAATTAATTACACAACTTTTGGTTAACTTTACTTAGAAGTTTATTAATATTTATGTTATATTAATTTTTATTTTGTCATATATGATCGTCAAATATCACGTCCTCAAATATCGATAGTAATTCACCAGTCACCCTGTATATTTTGTTTATATAAAATTTTTGTCAGTACTGTAATTAAAACTTACTAACTAAACTATCGATAGATCTCAATAATAATATTTATTTAATAAATCTTATCCTTACTAATATTATAAATGCGAAAGTAACTCTATCTGTCTGTTACGCTTTCACGCTTAAACCACTGAACTGATTTTAATAAAATTTGGTACAGAGTTAGAGTTGACCTTGAGAAAAAACATAGGATAGTTTTTATCTCAGACTTTTGAAAGGTTCTCTTGGAAACGCGATATAACCGAACTCCACGCGGACGAAGCTGTATTGAATAAACAAAACTTTTATATTACCTATCCTACAAATGAAATATCCTAATATTTCTATATAAATGTCATTTAGCTTGCGATCTCCCATGTATGAACATGTGAGAGTAAATACTAGATATTAATCTACCTGTAATTAAAAATTGTTAAATAATGAATATTTAACAAATATTATATTTTTTTACAGGACAAATTATATATGTATATTGTAGTGAACTCCTTATGCAACTTCCAACATGGTTGCGTTAAACGTTTAACGCTCATGAGGGAGTAAAAAGAGACAGCGAGAGGTAACGCATGCGGGCAATGAATTGTCTTGTAAGTAATGTTAATAAAGTTAAACTTAAAGAAACCCTAAAAATTCCTTATAAATCAATTTCTACGCCTTCCTATTTTCATTCCAACATTACGAAGTTTCACTTCTTCACAATTATATTTTTTCTCATATACATATATATTTATGTATAAACATACCAAATAACATCCAATAACATCTTTTTCGTTGAACTGTTTCCCGTATGCCTTGAACTCTGAGTTAGTCACAGCTCGACCGGTACTTTCATAGCCCCAACTAAGTGAATTATCACCTGTAATAATATTATATACATATTAATAATGATTTTTGATATTTTATGGAATATTATAAACGTATAATGGAATTGTTGGAAACATTAATTTCTTCCTACTTATACTACAAATTATCAATACATGGGACTTTTTTGGTTCTTTTCTGACAATATTATCATGTACATAGTTTTAAAGCAGTGGCGTGCACACCATAAATGCATAAGCACTGCATACCCTAGCCATATAACAACTAAACCTATGTTGTTTAATTCTTATTTACATACTTTTAATCATACATTTAATATGACATTTGATTCATGAATTGTTATAAGTGCCATCTATCAAAGTAAAAACGAAACATTTTCGATCGGTCGCTGCTATAGAGCGTTTGATTTAAGCTGAGCTTTGCATTTGTGTGAGTGTACACGGATAGTTTAGGTGTGATTTAAAATTTTTGAATACCAAGTTCTTTTCTAGTTTTTAACCGGTTTATTCTGCTTTCAAATTAATGTAGCAACTTCAAATGTTGAAAACGCAATGTCAAGTGAAGAAAAATTAATCTTGTTTTTTCAAAATCAAATTTTACTTAATTACTTAATTTTTTTCCATAATATGTCCATTTAGCCTTTTACATATTTTGCTTATTTTATTTTTAATCTAGAATAACTCTCGCACTTACGTTTTGTATCTATTTACATACAATAAAATTGAATACTAAATGTTTTTGTCTAACTCTACTTTTACTTTCACTCACACAAATTGAAAGCTCAGCTTAAGTCAAACGGACTATAGCTGCTTATTTTCCATACAAAAATTCTCAAGGACGAGCTACAAAACTCGTGTATGTATGCACGAAATGTTTGTATGTGTGTAAAACTAACACATGCATAATCACTAATTATTTTGTATTGTTTAAAATCTCGTAGAAAGTCCGTTAATTGTCAAATGCAATAGGATTCTCTGATTGGTCGATAAACTGTTCATATATTTTTTCACCATTTTATTATTATTGAATATTGTCATTTGTCTTTTTACGCGCAAATGAATAAGTTTTAATTAGTAAATAGTGGATTAATTTAATAACGAGTTATGGAAAATTATAGCTGTGATATGTGTTTATTGAAATTAGTTACGAGAAGATTTTCAATACTTTCGTTTCATAATAAATTTAAAATAAGTGTAAAGTCAAGATGTGTGATCAGTTGATATTGAACTAAAAGAAAGGTAATGTTATTCGTTTTAATAAAAAGTATTATGATAGTTTTAATTAGTTAGCAGTTAGTTAGTTAATTAGTTAGTAATAAGATTGTTTGAATCTCCTCTGGATATTTCATATTCCTATTTAAATAAATATATAGATAGATGTTCGTTCTGATCAGACTGCTGTAACATTTTGCGCGAATATTATCATTTATTATGTTTAAAAACTACATACTCCCGACGTTTCGATTACTTTGCAGCAACCGTGATCACGGCAGACATCTCGTCTGCTCGTTAAAAATAATAGAAATATTAGTTTTATTTAAAATTTAACTCAATACTTGCGAAAAAATAATTATAATTTTTTTTTAGAGGAGAAATTATGAAAATCAGTATTTTATTTTTCAAACATAATCTGCTTACCCTACTCCAAATCTATGTGCACGCCGCTGTTTTAGTCAGATAATTTTTTTGCATTTTTTTACTTTCAATACTATATTTTTGTGTAGTATCTATTTATTATATTGGAATAAGGTGAACAATTGGAATCTTTTTACATAGAAGCATCAATGTTAGCAATTATTTCATACAATATTAAATTCTTTAAGCAAAAAGCTCGAATATTGCAATCATTATTTTAGGCGTTTGTTGAATCATTATATGAATATATATACATATTATTGAATAAAAACCACCCGAAAAAAGGGGAATTAAAAAATTGAGTTAAATTTGTAAAAAAAATAGTTAACATGATATTATTTTCTCATTACTTTCTACCGAGTATTTTGTACTTAATGTTATCAAATCCCAACTAATATTATAAATGCGAAAGTAACTCTGTCTGTCTGTTACGCTTTCACGCCTAAACAACTGAACTGATTTTAATGAAATTTGGTACAGATAGAGTTGACATTGAGAAAGAACATAGGATAGTTTTATCCCAGACTTTTGAAAGGTTCTCTTGGAAACGCGATATAACTGAACTCTACGCGGGCGAAGCTGCGGGCGGAAAGCTAGTAGTGTATATATTTACCCAGATGTAGGGAGCTATCATCAGTAGACCATCCAACTCTCAAGCCAGTTGTTAGAGGTTCCTTTTCAGCACTTTCAGTACTTGTCACTAGGGAACCAACCCTCACCTGTTGATGAATATATAATATTATTATACATTATATATTATATACAGTGGATATTAAGAACACATGAACAAAGTGTCTTCTCCTTAACAAACACTAAGTTCGTGTTATTGGACACATTCTTAGAACATATTATGTTAATGTAGTAATTTAGGTCAAATTTATTTACTTTTTAGTCAATAGGCTAGATTGTAAATTTAATAAAGTATTGTATACTTTATTAGGAAAAAAAAATACAGTGGAATCACGATAACTCGAAAGTTTTCGACTAAAAACGATTTTATACTTAAAAAAGCACGTTTTCTAAGCATATTTTTCGACTTGTATAGTGAATTTTATTGCTATGAGTTATGGAGAAACTGTGACTTACGAAATCTGCTCTTTGAAAATCGATTTTAGTGTAAATTGTAGTATAAAAACTCGCAGGGAAATATCTTGTTTGAGTTAAAAATTATAAATAATTAGAGATACCGCGTATTTAGAGTTTGAAGAGATTATAGTTATATATTCTACTGTGTAAATACGGTATAAATTTTATTTAATATGTAATACGGTGTTAAGGAACGACTTGGTTTGCTGAATTATTCTATGATAAAATTATGTATATGTATTGTAGGTGTATAAAAATTAAATATAATTAATTGTAAGAACGTTGCATATAAGTAAGACGTATCAATGGCTATCAACGTCATATCTTTTTGGACAAAACGATAGTGAACGTTGAAATATAATAAAAAACAATCGTACATAAAAAAATAAAAAAATTGTTTCATTTAAATAAGTACAGGAGACAATTTTATATATATTTAGGGAATATACATTTAATTTGAACCGAACCTTTTAATTCCCGAACGCGCCCGAAGTGACATTAAAGCGATGACATTTGGTTTGTTCACTTTTACGCGGCAAAGTATTTGTCACGAGATATGTGTGTTTGTAAATTGAATTGAACTTATTCAAGGTATTTTGGTTTAAGATAATAATTAGTTTGTTCTAGTTAAGGTTTGATTTGATATTAAAAACTACTGACTTTATAATACAGCTATATTTTTTAATGATTAAATATTTTATGATCTTCGCTAGTTTCAGAATTAGAAATGTATAGACCGGGCAAACTCTAATTCTCCTAAAGACAGTATATAAGATGATTTTGGATTTGATTAACTTATTTTCTTTTTCAATAGGATGAAATGTATCTATATGTTCTAATCTATCTCTCCATAAATTTCTAGCCAAACCAGTAAAGCCGTCCTTGAGTTATAAATAGTGTAACTAACATGATTTTCTATATTATATATATATTTAGGGGACACATTAATTTTAAACCTAACTTTTAAATTCCCAAACGCAACCGAAGCAATGTTAAAGTGATGACATTTTGTTTGTTCTCTTTTTTCACCGCGATACGGGAAAGAAGTGGCAGACGCGATTTGTGAGTGTTTTTGTAAATTAAATTTAAGTTGCATGTGTAAATTAATAATAAATAGTTAAAACTCTCTAAGTCTGTTTCAGTTAAGGATTGTTTTGTTATAGTTAGTCCTGGCTTTATAAGACAAGTATATTTTTAATGTTTTTGTTAGTTTCCTATATATATGTTAATATTAACCTCATAGCACAGTCGTCCGTGTGTAACGCCGTGCGTGGCGCGCGCCCCGGCCCATGCGTACGCGAAGGCTCCTTCGTTGAGAGGAATCACTGAGTTCAGTTCGGGAAGCTCCAAGTACTGGTTGAGGTCACTGTCATCTGTGAAACGAAAAATACAACATATATATGACAGAACATAATACGTACAATACAGTAATACCCCGCTTTACGCGAGGGATACGTTCCGAAGAAAATCGCGTTAACTGAAATTCGTGTATATCGAGGTTTATGATTAAACACAGTCAAAATTTAATACACAAATATAAAAATCATTTTAATCAATCACTTCAATTCTAAGAACACTATACAATACATGTATTGTCTTTTGGGTAGCGTTTTGTTTACGTTCTTGTAAAATACGTTCATAATACCGAACACTGTTTTTAATTGTTTGACACACGGTCAAGACGCGGTCATCATTATTATCTATACTCTGCAATGTCCCAACCTGAATAAATTTTTGAAAATCGCGTTATAGTGAATCCGCGCACAACGGGTCGCGTTAAGCGGGGTATTACTGTACGTTTTATAAAGTACGTTATTTTAAGAAAACTAGTTGATATTTCAGTTTAATTTCTTTCATGTTTATATTTAAATGTTTTCGTTTATATTTAGCTGATAAAAAATATGAATTTCAAAAGAAGATACTCAATTTATTTGACAATACATTAACAATATGTCGTTTGGACTATCTAATTTTGTAAAAATTATTTGTTCTTCTGATTAAAATGAATTTAAGTGTATTTTTTTATTGTTTTTAGTTGATAAATATTATGAATGTAATTTAAAAAGAAACACAATTTATTTTAAAGACACGTATAACACGTGCACGATTAATTCTACAGGCAGTCATTGCTCTGGCGTTTCTCAATGCACTAGTTGTACTTAGCTTGCTTAACTTAGACTCTTTGGATAATTAATTTGTGAAAACGAATTAATTATTATTACGGTGCTATAATTCGGTCCCTAGAGTAATTATACCCGATTAAAACTATTATTACGTTTAAAGGAACTTCATTCTTTTAACTATGGCTCATCCTCTTCTAAACATTATAAAGGTGTAATATATTTCTATTTGAAACATTATTATATTGTAATATGAATATTTTTTTTATTATTTAAAGGTAGTCATTACTATCTTAACTATATGAATACCAAAACAATATACTTGATTTTAAAATCAATTTGCATGTTAATAAGTCTTTGTTAGTCTAGTTGCCACTATTTTTATTATTTGTTAGAACGGTTCATTACGATTATATTACACCATAAAAAATATTAATTTTTTAATACTTTATTAATATTTATTAAAGTTTATATATTTCGGACCCATGTATGGAATAATATTTGAATTAAAATTTATTTTTATAAATGGTTACATGTTGCCTATTAGTATATGCCATTTTAATGCCTTTTTACAATAGTTATGTATTTTAACTTTGAATCCTATTAATATTATTTCTAATACAGATATTACTTACACCATGATAATGTAACTTTATTATCATCAAGTTCCGGTTCGGGAACGGCCGTTTCCGTTTCCTCCTTCTGTTTACTGTCTGGAGGTTCCTGGAATACAATTATAATAAATATTATTAATATATATTGAAACTTTTTAGATTTATATTAAAATACTAGCTTTAAGAGCAACTTTTACTGCCTAAATTTAGAGTCGAGTTTAGAGGTATGTGTATTTAAAAAATATTAGTTTATCTATACATTAAAGGGGGATTTTTGAAAATTACTCTAGTCAATTGATAGAGACTTGTTTAATACATTTTAATGCAATCCCTAAACATATTATGTATTGTCAAGTTATATCAACTATAAGGCTATTTATTACACACTAAAACTCAATACACCAATAGTTACTAACTTAATTTACTACTACATCGTCAAATGAGACACGGATAATTAAGTTTTAGAACAAATTCTCTCCATGCAAACCCATATATTTTACACACGAAATGAGCAAACCCGCGGTTATAACGTAGTATATATATTCACCTCAGTCGGTGGAGCGAGAACTTGGTTAGTAACTTCAACGGCTTTATAGAAGTTGGTCCAACGAGATTTCTTCTCTTGTTTGCGTTTAAGACGCTGCAATTTAATTGGATCCTGGAAATAAATAACACATTATATATGTATTATTATATATAAAATTTTAACTAAAAATAGATTTAAACATCACAAAATATTTGATGAATAACATTAGAAGTAAAAGGTTAAAGTTTGTAATATACATTAAATTAAATAGGATTTAATCTTTGCTATAAAAAAATTGTTTTTATATTATGTGCGTAGATGAAACCAGTTTAATTTTATGTTACTTTGTTTCATAAATATTTTTTTTTATAATCATATATCCTACTAATATTATAATTGCGAAAGTTTGTGAGTGTGTGTGTATGTTCGTTACTTCTTCACGCTCACGGCTGAACCGATTTTGATAAAATTTGGTATACAGGAAGCTGACGTCCAGGAATAACATATAGGCTACTTTACATCCCGGAAATCCGCGGGCAACACCGCGGGGCGCAGCTAGTTTAAAATAATAATCAAGCTTAGTGGACATATTAATCTTTTAATTACATATTACGTTCCTATAATAATACATATACAGGGTGACTGGTGAATTACTATCGATATTTGAGGACGTGATAATTGACGATCATATATGACAAAATAAAAATTAATATAACATAAATATTAATAAACTTCTAAGTAAAGTTAACCAAAAGTTATGTAATTAATTACGGATCGTGTGAACACCCTACAGATTAGATATACACACACACACACACACACACACACTCGCCCGCGGCGGCGTGTTGTTGTATCAGCACGCCGCCGCGCGCGTCCACACTTGGAACACTTGGAACGTGTACACACTTTATTTATTTATACGGAAATTTGGTCAAAAATTAAGTACCTATTTTTTTTACATAATTCGAATGAGAATCATGTACCGAGTATGCTCCTTAAATATTGATAGCAATTCACCAGTCACCCTGTATATCGTCATATATCCCTTACTTTACTAATTTCCTCCATCTTCTTAGCTTCTTCCTCTGCCTCTTCCTTCTCTCTCTCCACTCTCTCCTTCTCTTTCTGCACCAGTCTCTCGTTCAGTTGATCCCACTCTTCTTGCTCAGATAATTCTTTCTCTCTCTGGTGCTCGAGATACAACTAGAATAAAGATATACTAATGAAGAATTTTATACTATGAAGATAAAAAAAAAAACATTATTCAGATTGTATTAAAATCCATACTAATATTATAAATGCGAAAGTAACTCTGTCTGTCTGTTTGTCTGTTAAACTTTCACGCCTAAACCACTGAACTGATTTTAATGAAATTTGGTACAGACAGAGTTGATCTTGAGAAAGAACATAGGATAGTTTTTATCCCAGACTCTTGATAGGTTCTCTTGGGAAGGCGATATAACCGAACTCCACGCGGGCGAAGCTGCGGGCGGAAAGCTAGTACAATATATATGTAAATGAAAATACATTGAGTTCCTACTTTAAATATGAGATTCTCAAAATCAAGTTGATATTTTAATTGTATGTCTACTAAACTAATTACAAATGAATGGTAAAGTTTTGATACTATATTTCTTAAATGTTAGAGACATGTTTAAAATTCTCATATATGTATATACTAAACTAATTGGCTAGTAAATTTTTCAATACATATTATATCATTATACATGAATTATAGACAAACTGAATTTTGAAATGTATACACGTCTCCTTTCTTGCGTGCTTGCGCGCGTGTGGGTTTCTTGTATACGTACGTGTATGCGTGCGTGTGTGTATGTGTGTGTATATGTTGGTGTACGTGTATGTATGTATGTGTGTATAATAACCTCTCTCCTTTCATCCATATCATTCTTCTCATCTTCATCTCCGTGTTCATTGTTCTCAACATCTTTCTCCTGTTCCTCCTGTTGGTCGTTATCTTTATCGTCAATGATCTCTATAAACAAAACACGTTTATATATAATAATGTTATTTAAATTCAATATTTAACATCCCTACCCTGTGTGTGCTTTAGTTATCAAAATGGACAGTTTAAAGTTTAAATTGACAGTACCAACTAGTAATAAAAGTTTTTGGAGGAAAAATATGATTTAATTATTTAGTACAAAGTAATCCCTATTAATATTATAAATGCGAAAGTAACTCTGTCTGTCTGTCTGTTACGCTTTCACACCTTAACCACTGAACTGATTTTAATGAAATTTGGTACAGAGATAGAGTTGACCTTGAGAAAGAACATAGGATAGTTTTTATCCCAGACTTTTGAAAGGTTCTCTTGGAAACGCGATATAACCGAACTCCACGCGGGCGAAGCTGCGGGGAGAAAGCTAGTTAATAATATACTGATAGGTATATGGGTCGTCATCAATAACGTTTTCGCAACAATCGTTTTTTCTTGCAATTACCAATAATTTAAGGCATAAATTTCAAAACCCAGGCTCATTTTTTTATCAATTCTGCTACATAAATAATATTTTGTAAGTCAATAATTTACCTTTTTCATCATCATTATTTTCATTTATCGGGGATTGACTTCTGTAAATAAAATAAACATGTTTTAAAATATTGTAGCCATTATGTACTGTGTGTATACAATCTACTCACAGGTCATCAATGTTGTACATTTCATCTGATTTGGGTTCCTTATTATCTGAAGGTTCATCTTCTTTCACTTGTTCTGGAATAGGTTCCGGAACCGGTTCTGGAATTGGTTGTGGAACCGGTTCAGGAGCCTGTTCCGGTGTGGGAGCTGGTTTTTCTTCTGGAATCGGTTCTTCCATGGGAATTTCTTGGTTTGGTTCAGGTGTAGGTTCGGGTAATGGTTCAGGTTTAACCGGTTCAGGTTTATCTTCTGGTTCCTCGGCCGTTTCTTTTGGTTCCTCCTGGATAGGTTTCGGAGGATCCTCTCTTGGTATCTGAATAAGAATAGTTTGTTAATAAAATAGGAATACTAATGACTTTCGTCTAAAACATGTTACTAATAAATTACTAAAATTCTGTTCATACTATATTGGTATAATTAATGAACATTTGCATATAAAGAAACATACCATAAAAATATCTTTTTTTTCACTTAAGTTCAAATAAATATACAAGTTTAACAGTAAAATAAAAAAGAATACTATTAGAATATATCAGTTTATATGTATATTACAATATTACAATAATATAAAATAATTCTGCCTATAGGAAAGAGGATATTATATAAAAATGCATATTTATTTATCTATTTAAAGTAATAGATAATTATTGCAGCAGAATTAAGTATGAATAATATTATTATATGTATAATGAGATAAAATATTTTTTTTATACATTGCAAATCATTTCACAAGATATTAGTTCTTCTTAGGGAACAATAGTGTTTGAATGTAATGTATTAGATAGGATAACTTTCTCTTTGGAAGAAAGAAATTTATCTTTCATATTAAAATACAAAAATTATGACTAAATATGACAAAACACATGATATAGCTGATATTCCAAAAAAAGAAGTTATTTTGACCCAAATTATACTGTTTGTTGTTATTTAGAAATATATAAATATATATATTTATATAAAAATATACATATATGATACCTTAGCTGGTGTTGCACATATCCTTGAAGATGAAGAACGTCTTGTAGCTCGGGCAGCCGGGGATCTCCTTGGAGTTGCCGGTTCATCGACATCCTCAGTTGAAGTATCGAGAATCGTTGTATCGAGTACCGCTGTGAATATTAACGGAATTATACAAAATGCTAACGACATATCATCTGCTGGTTGACATGAAATGTTATGTGAATACTGTAACATGATACTTGACCAATCCATGGATATACTAAATATCGTTAAAACACATTTAGTTTTTTTGCTGTTCCCATTTCTTCCGTTGATTTTTTCGTCCTTTATAAATTAAATTTATTTCTTTTAATACTAAAAACGTTGTCATGAATAATATCTGGATGTTTTTTTGTTTCTTCGACTGTATAGAAAAAAATATTGTTGGCACGTAGTTCTACCTATGATTCCTGCTTTAACTATTACTTAATAACTATAAATATGAAGATAATTGTTGAGCCATTAACTAGCTTTGGCCATTGATGGGATTATTATAATAATGAAGACCAAAAGCTGACTCGTCAAGTCCAGCCCCATTAAACTCATTCCACAAATATAATATGAACTGTAGTACATAGAGATATTTAGCCCGTCGTTATCGGCACAGAGCCTTCTGTATCACGATGATAATACCTATATAGATACAAGATCATCAATTTAAAAATATAAACTAATATTTTTAACTAGACCCTTACCAAATATGAGGATGTTTATTAGGGAAGAACAAATATTTCAGCTCTGCTTGGTTATACCTCATACAAAGCTGTCTAAGTAACAACCGGACCTGAAACTATGTCATGATGGTAGTTACAACAAATACAGTCTGATTGACAAAACGACACTTGATTAAATAACATTCAGTTATCCTTATACATCAGTCGTCTGAGATGAGTCATATCAATAATATATAAATAATCCTGAAATATAAAATGCAAGAATGCAGACAGAAAAATAATCTCAATATTCATTGTTTAACCTGTAACTAGTGGTTATTAGGTGTTACATCCATTGGTAAGGTCCATTGTATTATCATGTTTGATAAAGTTGAATCCATCCATCCAAATCAACCTATATTGGGAGGTTATTGAAAATAGTTCACATTTTCATATATATTAAAAATGCAGGCTGTATTCACGATATTCAATGAGTTTTAATCATAAATTCTCTATTTCACCTAGTGATAGTGAAAAATATGCAGTAAATATTTTATAGCGGTTATTTTGTAAATCCGATGACTGTTTATGCGTGCCGTATGTATAGGGAAGCGGTATACGTCACTAAATAAATGTATTCATAATAAAAAAAAATGGAGGCACGGATACACGTGTTGATGATAAAATTATTATCATTCAGTTTTACGGTGTATATTATTAATTTAATTAAGTAAAATATAACCAAATTACCTTTTCCGGTCTTAGCTTCCAAAGCCTTTTTCAATCTTTCCACTAATGCCGGTTTGTTACCCTTCGTATCCAAGCCCAGAGCGCCTAACTCGGATCTTAGATCTACCACTTTCATCTTAGCTGGATCCATTTTGTTTCAACAATACTCACTGCACTACTGTCTAAAATTACAAATCACAATTTAAATAATATAATTACTGTGAAACTCAGTCATTACTCAGGAAAATTACAACATCACAGAGAGCGCCAAGCTAACCAATATGGCGTCATATTTTTTATATATGTAGAGCTTTGGAATCTGGGTATTTACTGTAATAACTCTAATTTATTTATTATCTACATAGGAAAAGAAGCATATAATTAACTGGTACAGAATTCAACATAAGTTAAAGTTATTACCTGTTATAAGTTTAGAATTTTTCATAAAAGTGATAGAGGTTTTAGAAAAAGAAATAAATATATAAATATATGACACTGAAATTATAAAAACACTTAATACTTTATCGAAAGATGGAGTCTGGAAAATAGTATAAATTTATTTAAATATTACCTTACTTGATTATCATTAAATATATGTTGAATAATATAACTGTTATGTATTTTGCCACTTATTATAACCATTGTTTATAGTAACTATTAAACTATAAAATTAATTACTCCATAAAAAATATGTATCAATAATTACTGATATAGTAAATAAGGAAATTGAAATATTGATCAACAATATATTTTATTAATAATATGAATAAAAGATATAGAGAAAATATCATATATCACTTCTAAAAATTTAGTGTTCAGACAGAATATGTTATCTGTGCTGATAGAGTCTAAATTTTTAAGAATAATAATATAATAATTCTCGTAGACTAGGATGGCGTGTGCTAAATTTCGTCTATAAGGGTATTGTTTTGTTGTGGAAAATTATCTACCTAGTTTCAAGTGTTTACTTAAGAGATTAGTGTGAAATATTGTGTTTGAAATTAGCACATTGAACTAGATTTTCTATCTTATGTAGCGATGTTGAAGTTCCAATGATATGTTTAAATATGTACTTATAAATTTGTACTCTTTTGCATTTAATGCTAGAAGCTTCATTGTTCATTCTAATTTTTCGTAAACAGATTCGTTTCGATGAGACTCCCAACATTTTCTTGTCCAAAAATTCTCGATTGTGGCTACTATCGGGTAGCAGGGATAAAATATCACACCTTTCGTAAAACGAGGGATGATGTGCTAATTAAAAAAAATCATGACAGACGTGTTAAGGTTTGATAGGTTTATATAGACTGTGCTTTTGTGCATTAAAATAGTATTTGAATTGTACAGGCAAAGAATAGAATGTTCTAATGAATATATTTTGTAAAAACATAATGAAAAGTTTAGAAGTGGGGTTATTTTTCCTATACGTCTCAATATAGTGTCGCTAGAATTTGATGGTGATAATAAAAATATCCCAGCACTAATTTCTATGACTAAAGTACATAACATGTTTGTTATATATTTGTTTGAAAGATATTGTATATTTTAATAATAATAATTTTTTATTTCAAACATTACATCCATATCAAAATTACATAAAACGTTAAAATAAATTTAAAATAAAATTAAATATATCAATTAATGCAAACAAATAAATACTAAATCTTAAAATAAAAATATAAATTTCAGAATTAGGTGTTTTACCCACTTTGTATTCGTCTCTGTTTAATTTGCCTTCCACTGGCTTAGAAAAGCAATAAAGCTTAAAAAAGCAATGATATTTTCAAGAATTTGTAAAAAAAATTGTCTTTTAAATATTCTTTATTTAAGAATATAAATATTGTTAATGGATATGTGCCGTCTAATGTCACAACACATGTTGCAACCTTTATTTTTCTCATCGTTGTCTTCTACATCTGACAATAGTATATTGTCACATATGAAACATTTCTCTCAGTCCACTGCTGGTAAATTTTGTTTCTAAAATTCCTCATTTAGCTTTCTCTGTGTGACTTCTTGAAAAAGATGTATTTTGTTCTGGATTAGTTTTAAGAACCATTTGAGAGTGTTAGGACTCGTTTTCTTTAGTTGTTTTTCTATCCTTCTAAGCTTTCTTTTTCACATTGTTTCCTGCTTTATCTTTTTGATCTTATCTTGACCTTTATCAATGAAATGATAACAAAGGTAATATAAACAATATAAAACCATGTATTGGATTCACTTGCAAGTGCGGTAGTACTTAGTGATTTTACTTTTTACTATGTTAATACTGCACAAAACCCAAACAACTCTAAATGACAGGCTCGGGACAGCCCATAACCTGATGAAGTGATAACAAAAGCATTTTGAACAATATAAAACTATTTTTTGTATGATAAGAGAGCTCCCAATGAATGTTGCACATCAAAGTTTTATGTTATATAGGGTGTCTCACGGAAAATTTCGAATTTAAAAAGGCTATAAAAAAAGAACGACTCGATAGATTTCAATGATCAAACATTTATTTGAAAGCATAATTCATGACATTATTTGTGAAAAATTATCTCGGTCAAATGTCCACCACAGCTTACTTGGCAGTACCCTATTCGATCAGTCCAATTTTTCAGTACATTTTCAATTGTTTCCGGCCTTATGGCAGCAATGGCAACTTCAATTTCATGTTTCAAGTCATCAATCGTGCTTGGCTTGTTGGCGTAACAAACGTCTTTGACCGCTCCCCAAAGGTAATAATCCAATGGTGTTAAATCGCAGCTTCTTGGAGGCCAATTCACATCACCATTTTTGCTGATTATGCGATTTTCGAAGATTGGGCGCAAAACATCGACCGTAGCATGGGCTGTATGGCACGTAGCCCCGTCCTGTTGAAACCAAATATCGTCCAAATCATACTCTTCCATTTGACCGAAAAACCAATCAGTTAACATAGCGCGGTAGCGCTCGCCGTTGACGGTTACGGCGGCTCCTTCATCATTTTCAAAAAAAATGGGCCGATGATGCCGCCGGACCAAAATCCGCACCAAACAGTCACTCGTTGTGGATGTATCGGTTTCTCCTCAACGACGTGCGGGTTTTCTGTGCCCCATATACGGCAGTTTTGTTTATTTACATAACCGCCGAGGTGAAAATGAGCCTCGTCGGAAAAGATGATTTTTCGATAAAACTCACCATCTTCGGCCAAACGATCTTCCGCCCAATTTGCGAACCGTAGACGTTTCGGATGATCAATTGGCTTCAGCTGTTGGGCCAACTGAACTTTATATGGCTTCAGGGCAAGATCTTTGCGCAAAATTCGGTGCGTAGTTGACCGAGAAAGGTGCAACTCTTGCGCTCGATGACGAATCGATGTGGATGGCCGTTCACGAACACTTTGTTCCACCGCAGCGATGTTTTCGGTTGACCTTGCTGGAAATGGACGTTTACGTGTTGTTTTATCCAACAGTGATCCAGTTTCGCGCACACGATTCACAAATTGCCGCACATATGCCTCCGATGGCAAATCTTTTTTGGCAAATATTTTTTTCAAATTTCGCACAGTTTGCGTTGGCGATTCACCACTTTGGAAATAATTTTTTAATATTTCCCAGCTTTCCTCAAGCGAATAGCGACCCATTTCGTAAATGTCAGACTTATTACTAAATATGTGACACTTCTCCGATGACAGTTGACGTCTCCAATGTCAAATTATCGTTAGTTCAAATTCGAAACGCTAGATGGGACACCCGTTATCTTTGCATTTAAATTGCTATCACATATAGCTCAGATATTCAGACTTCCAACATTCATAATGTTTCTCCATGCTACAGAAGCTATAAATGCATAAGTTCTTTGATTTTCTTGTCGGGCTTTGTCAAAAATTTGTGGTTGCATCGAGTGGTGTTTTGTTTATGACAAACAAACAAACGTCCATCTAATGGATGATAGTCACCATCGCCCATGGATATCCTTAACATAAGTTATGTTGCATATCCATATCTGTCCTTGATTGTGGGAAAGGGAATTGTGGGAAAGGGTAGGAAAAAGGAAAGCATTACAGTTGATGCTGATGATGAAGTCAGATTCAGTTCTGGAGTTCTTTCACGAGAGTTTCTCTTTCAACACGTAATGTAATCTAAGTTAATTTGGAGTTTCAAAAATGTAACAATAAGTATGTGGCAGGGTATGACATACCCTTTTACAAAATTGTCTTGAAACTTGGTATGTACTAAGAACCTTGCTGTACACGCGCCAAATATACTCACCTATACTCGCGCACGATGTCACGCGTGTTCCAAACAAGAGTATTTTTTTGCAAGTAACTTGTAACTCGTTTTACGACTTATTTCGTGGAATACAACTCACTAAGTCCTTGGGCGAGATTGGTAGCGGTGCCTGATGATTCAGGACCATCTATTTTGCAAATATTAGCAAATCTTTGTCGTATGATTCTCGTTCAACAAGTTGTTGCCGCCCGTCATTTCAAGTGTGTTTCAATAAGATCATAAGACAATTTTTTAAGAAAAACTCATTTTTTTTTTTGTAAGGATTATTTTGAGAGTAAAGAATATATTATATTAAAATACGAATAAATCTTCGTAACTATGTGTTCTACGTCCACTGGCTATAAATCTGCTGCTGTTTGAATTGCGTTGTGAGCGATATGCGCTGCGCAGTCCACTCCAAATATTTGTTTGCCTAAAACTTCTTGAAGTTTTCTTAAAACGTTACATTGACCTGAACATTCAACCCCGTCAAAATTAGCATTATCAGCACAAAATAAGATCACTTTATCTTTAAGGTTGTGCTTTTCAAGGGTGTCCATTAAAGAAACGTAAATCATTTCCGCGGTTTCACCAGGTAAATTCACGAGACCTAATATTTTAACGTTAATGCCGGTTGTGGGATGACAATATCTCACTAACGTTGGAATTATTTTGATATCTTTATCAAAAAATATCGCGAATTTTGTGTTTTTTTCAAAAATTATTTATTTATTCATGAATATCTATTTTGTCCCTGTTATATTTATGAGTAATAATGAAATAAAACATTGAACTCGTGGCACAAAGTTATCCCTATGAGATATTATACACTTGTGCCAACGGTTTTTTCAATCTTCGAAGCACTTCAAAAAATCATTTTTTTTTCTTGTTCGTCTCCTCCTTCGGTGCTGTCTTTATCTCTTGTCTTGTCGTCCTTTCATGGGTCTCTTCAGTTTAGGGAACAAGAAAAAGTCACAGGGGTCAGATCTGGGGAATACGGTGGCTGCTGCATCATTAGTGTATTGTTTTTGGCCAAAAAGTCGCGCACGAGCAGCGATGTGTAAGCAGGGGCGTTATCGTGGTGCAAAAGCCAATTTTAGTTCTTATTTATTTTATTTATTTATAAGGACAACTTACAAAACATGCACTATTTATAGGTTTTAAAATAAAGGTAATTACATTTACATTTTTAGTTAAGTGTTGTTCCAATTAAAAGTTATCACGGCATGGAAAAGGACAGTATCTTCTATTAACCTAACACAACTTTTTTTTTCTACTTCTATTATACAAAAGGGGAAACAAAAAATACTACCAATAATAATAAAATATAAAATGTAAATTACAAAAGACAATAACAAATTACCAACTTATTACTAAACAATTAAAAAATTAAAAATAAATAAAATGAAACTTTTTTTTTTTAGATAACAAAAATTTTATAGCAAACAACAAACAACTGTAATACAGAACGTAAACGAAACAATATAAACGTGATCTTTCTTCCACAAATTCAGGCGTTTCTGGTGGATTGCTTCGCGCAAACTGTGCATAACTTGCAGGGAATATTCCTTATTGACCGTTCTACCCTGTGGCAAAAACTCATGATGCACCACGCCCTTGCAATCGAAGAAAACTGTCAGCGAAACTTTCACATTCGACCGAATTTGGCGCGCTTTTTTCGGTCTTGATTCGTGCGGCAGCTTCTATTGAGATGATTGAGCTTTGGTTTCCACGTCATAACTATAAACCCACAATTCGTCACCAATTATGACCCTCTGAAACAAATTTGGGTCGTCGCAGACAGAGTCTCCAACATCTCTTCAGCAATGTTCATGCGCTGCTATTTTTGGTCGCAATTGAGCAATTTTGGTACTAATTTCACGGCGATCCGTCTCATGTCCATATCATTGATTAAAATCGAATGGCACGAGCCAATCGATATCTTTAGGTCCTCAGCAACTTCTCTAACGGTGATTCGACGATTGGCCAATACCATTTTCTCCACTTCATTAATTTTTTCGTCAGATAAGTGAGACATTATTCAGTTCTAACATATCTTAAGAATATCCACAGAATACGGCTCCATCACATTCGTTGCAATAACTTCGCACTTGGTTTTCCCACAGCTAAACTTCTTATCAAAAACTTCCTGAATTAATTTGGAAGTGCAATCCATCCATCGAAAACTGTGATTGTGACATACGGAAATTCTTTTTGTAAATCTTCAGTGAATTACCATTTAAAACATTTATTTGCTACACACATACATTACATAGATTATACAGAAGAAAATAATGAAATTTAAAGAATACAGTGTAGGAGCAAGGAGGTTCATCTCAGTATAAGCTGTGCTAATGATGTGCTCTTACGCTTTTGAGTTCATTAGAAAGAAAGAGAACGAGATTTCGTCTAGCTTTTGCGGGACGTCTCGCTTTATTGTTGTATATTTTTACTTATTCATATCTTGTGATATTGAGGCATCTTGGTGATAAAGGAAATAATTTTCCAATAATTTAGCTGCTTCCAGAGCTTGGATAATATTATTACTAATATCTAAGTACAAAACTGAAGATCATATGAGAATTAAGATGCTAAATAGTTAAATCTCGTTTGCTTTTGCTTGCCAATTACTGCGAAAAATAAAACCCAAATATAAATTTTTTACACATTTTATTAATACAATGAATTTTATCATTAAAATATATTACTAACAAAGGAGCTGACTTTTTTCTAATAATAATAATACTAATATGACTATGCTATGTTAAAAAAAAACAACAAGAGTCTAACATTTGCCAGAATATAAACATTTTTTATTATTTTTATTTTATTTATATTTTGGAAACAAACAGTACTATTAATATTTATAAATGTTGTACATAATTAAACCTTAACCCTTAAATGCATGATCTTTTATTTTAATATTTGAAAAAATGTATTTTATAGAATATTGTGCTTAGATTCGAGGAAAAATAATAAAAAAAATCAGTATTATGTATTTACGTCTATTTTTACCAAAAATCAACATGTGCCGTTTTCGGCACTACATGCATTAGTTAGTTAATTATTTTTTGTGAAGGTCGTTGAAACAGTCTTTGCTTTTCTTAGCGCATAAACGAACTTTACATTTCGCACACATAATTACAGTCTTCAAATTGCAGGCTGGAAACATACATCTCATCCTAATAGGTGTCCTTATTTGTTCATGGCCCACGCCATCGAGTATAACGTCGTTTGGGGGTAAAGCTTGACAAGGATGTGTACCTCTTCCGGTATTTGGCTGGCCATTTTACCCAAAATTACAAAAAAAAATTGTAATTCAATTGTCTATAAGTAAAGAAATCACTATAACCTCACAATGTCTTTGGTACGCCTCTGAACCAAACAATGAGCTGACAAATGACAATCAAGTATTGGCATGCGCAGAAACAACATTACTTTCCGGTCCCCCTAATATTATTACCAGAGGTTCTACGTTTTAAGTGTTTTTTTACTTACTTAAATTATAATATTTCAACTTTTCTCGCTTTTTTGTTTGCGAAATCCTTAATAGTTTCATGTATGTCTATATCAGGGTTTCCCAACCTTTATTTCACTGAGCCTCCCCAATTCAAAAATAATATTCTCATGCCCCTGAAGTTTAAAAACAATTTTTTTTTTTTAAAATTAAAAACAGAGTTCCATACAGATATTTATAGATATTTATGTTTTAAAAATCTAATAAGAGAAGATATATGTATCTACACTCGAAAACCATTAATTACTTTCATATTTAGGTAAATATGCTAGATTTATTTTAATTATTAAATACTAATGAGATACTTGAGCTTGCATCTTCTGTATCAGTATGTCGATTATGGGTTCAGTCTTTGCTAGAGCAATGGTTAAATCGCTATCGACGGCAAGACGATTTCGCTGTTTAGTTTTTATTAAAACCAAAGCTGAAAAACCTGTTTCACATAAATATGTGGTCGAAAATGGAATAATTATTCTTAAAGCGAGTGAAGCAATTTTGGGATTAACAAGAAATCGTTTGACCCAAAATATAGACTCTACTAGGGCGGTCCGATAAGTTCTTAGCCTACAAAAGAAAAACGAAAATTTTGGAAAAGTGGTGATTTATTTTTCAACACAATCTCCTTTTAGCTCAATACACTTAACCCAGCAATGCTTCAACTTTTTTAACCCGTCTGAAAAATACGTTTTCTCGAGGTCTGCAAAGTAGGGCCTCCGTGGCGGCGATGACCTCCTCATTTGACTCAAATTTGCCCGGCGAGTGACTTTCTCTAGTTTGGAAACAAAAAGAAGTTGCACGGGGCCAAATCTGAAGAATACGGTGGATGGGGCAGCATTTCGTAGCCTAATTCGACCAATTAGGCTGTGGCGACGGCGGAGGTGTGAACCGGTGCGTTGTCATGATAGAAGAGCACTTTTTTCTTCGCCAAAAGAGGTCGTTTTTTTTGCAATTTGGCGTTGAATCGGCCCAATATTTCGGCATAGTACAGCCCTGTGATCGTTTTGTCCTTCTTCAGGTAGTCGATGTAGATCACACCTTGCGAATCCCAGAAAAAGGTGCCCATCACCTTTCCGGCCGATAAGACGCCGATAAGACAGTACGCACATTCCTTCGACGTGCTGGTGTTATTGCATCCTCTAGAGAGTATGTGGTATGAAATCTATCCACAGTTCGACGATTGGCTTGTTCAGATGGACGATTATGTACAGTCAGGTCGGGTAACTTTGGACCACTTTTTGAATATTTTCTGTCGCTGCCTTTAGGATTCTATTATTTCGATTAAAAGAACAGTTTGCTCTGTGATCTGGATAGTCTGTGGTTATGGCACCGCTAAAAAAAAATAAAAAATGATTGGAGAAGTCTATGCAAATCCCTGATTTGTAGGTGGTCCAAAGTTACATTGAGTTTGGGGTAACTTTGAGCCATCATAAATATTTTTGCGAAAATTCGTGTTTTTTGCAAATTTTAGAGCACAGGGTAACATTGTACTATGTTTAAATAAATAACGATGAAATTTTTACTCTCAGTAAACAATATGTTGTCAAATAAAAATAAATCAAATGCCCCAAAAGTCCATCAACAAGTTGAATGCATGTGGATTATAGGATCAAGATTCAAGATATAAAATTCATTTTATAAAACATATTTTAAATAAAACTTTACTGTTTAAATGCTATAAAATATATATTTATTCAGCTTTCGATACATATATAACTTGCTATGCTTAATACTAAATTTAAGGTAATGACTAATACAGAGATCAAAATAATAGACAAGCTTCTTAGACTTTTGTCCCAGTCTTATTGCAGTCTTCATGACTTGAACACAACTTCACATAAGGATATGTATATATACTTAATAAAAAAAATCAAATTATAATTAGAACACAAAAAAGAAGATGGGCTTCATTTCCTTACATCTATTCTCCCCACTCCATAGACAAGAAGTCATCATCAATATAAATGATTTTGCCCCTTTTAGATATTTTGTTATCTCTCAGCACTTTTATAATCATTGAAAGGTCAGTGATTGTAGTTAGGTCTGGTTTATCTGGCCAGATCCATCCTCCGTTCAAGTTTTTAGTTAGACAGCTGACACACAATGTAGAAGATTCACTTATTTTTCTTATTTGTCCAGGGAACAAGGTACCTTCATCCTTAAACACACAAAATTTGTTTACCTCAAACACTTCTTCTTGTTCATTTATCTGCACAAGTTTTCCTCCATCTGAATGAACCAAAAAATCGCCTGTGATATTTTCAAAACCAACCAAATGTGCCACTGCTTCTTCTGGTTCTTTAGTGGGGTCATCAAAAGGTCGTTCTTTAGTGTCTGATTCAGGGTTAGCAGCACGTGTGTCTTCTAGTCCAATATATAGCACATTTATTGTATTACAATAATTTTCTTTGCCCATGTCATCATTACTTGCAATAGTTTCTGGTACATTGCTCATTATATCTGCATCAGAATGGCTTCTATCACCAATATTCATGTTTTTTGGGACTGATAGATCTGCAGCTGTATTATTTTTCTGTTCTATTGTTTTTTTCTTTTTCCCGTTAACATTTTTGGAACCAACTGGTCTGCCTCTCTTTACAGGTTTTTCTTTCTTCTTGGTCTGCTCATCAATCTTATTTTTGTAAAATGTTTCAACTTCTTCTGCCGAGACTGCCTTTCCTGCTTCAACAGGTAATTGAAACTTTCTACATGACTTGATATTTAGGTCTGACTCTCTGACTTCTTTTAAATATTCTTTGAAGGTCTCACCAACAGATGTTTGAACGTCAGTAGCTGCATACCCAGGTAAGATTTGAAGAACTTCTCTTCGTGACACTGGATGTATTCCACATTTGCGGAAACCGGCAATCAGATTTAATCCTGCAGTTGATTCACATTGGTCCAAGGTAAGTTTTAGCAACTGAGCAAAAACATTCTTTGGTAAACTAATAGCTTTCCTACCTCTTTGGGTTAGCCGCCACGTTCTCAACACTGTCCTCCAGGCTGTTTTTAAAGAGGAAAAGAACCCTACATCCAAGGGTTGTAAAAGATGAGTGGAGTTGGGGATGAGACAAATAAACTTAATGTTATGTTCCTCACAAAGTTTTAGTGCCTTAACAGTTATATGTGCGCTAAGATTATCACAAAGTAGAATTTTCTTCCCCGGTTTTTTATCCACTATTGGAATGAAATGTTTTTTCTAACCACTCATCAAAAATATCCGCGTCAATCCAACCTGATTTTGATACGGTCATTTTAGAAGACTTAGGAGCATTTTGTAACCAGTCAGACCAGCAATTTTTGCCTTTAAATATGAAAAACGGCGGAACGAATTCTCCTACTGCATTTCCACAAAAAACAACAGTAAAACATGATTTTGTGGAATTTCGGATCAACTCTGGATGTCGGTTAGCACGGCGGAATAAGAGTTTTTTTTTACCTGGATCGTCATGAAAGCCGGATTCGTCCATGTTGTAGATATTTTCTGGAGGTACACCATCAGCTTCAAGTGTTAACAGATCAAAAAACTTATTGACCATATCTTCATTAACTTGTGCTCTTTTTCGGGAAATATTGTGAGCGATTTTCTCCTTGAGAGCTGGATGTCTCTCTAGATATAGCTTTCCCCACTCATAACCTGGAGTATTATCAGTGAACACCGGTACAAGTTTATTGATAGATGTCAAGTAACGCTTAACAAGCATTTTAAAATCATTAATTCCCACTGGTATACCGAAATCACTCAGAGCAAGCAAATGATCCCGAAACATTATTTCCTCTTCCATGGTTAGACATATTGGTCGTCCAACAGCTTTACTGTGCTTCATTCTCAATTTATTATTAAGAGTAGATCTTGGAATTGTGTAACGTTTGGCTACTTGCCTTTGTGTTAAAGCCCCAGATTTAATCAATTGTAATGCTTCTTCTAGCTTCTCTGACGAATAATTTGATAAGGTGCCATAGCTCCGCACCCCAGGTTTCTTTACGTTTGATTTTCGAGGCATTTTATAGATGTGCATACACTGAAACAATTTTAAATTATTTACATCTAGAAACATAAATAATGGCTATTAACATTTATACATAAACAAATGTAATGAAGAAGTAAAATGGAGAAAATATAAGCTATGTTAAGATGCCAATGTTACCCAGCTTATTACAGATTATTAAATAAAAACGTTGGGTAACCCCAAAAATCAATTTTTTAGGAGAACTTTATTTCATTTTCAAATTTAACACAGATTTTGTTTACAAATGACCTTAAAATGATTGTTTTCATTTAAAAAAAGTAACAAATTACATATATTTACATTTCTTACTCGGTTACTAGTGAAAAACACGTTGAAATTCAAAATTGAAAACACTACTTACCAGAGAGCACTTCCATAACGGTTGAAAAAAAAATTAGATTTGTTTGACAGATTGTCAGTTGTCAATGACATTTTGTTTTTTTTTTATGGCTAGAGAGTTAAACATTCAGCCAAATTTTTATCAGTAGTTAAATAATGTCTAGTTGTTTCTAAAAAAAAGAAAAAGATTATCTTTGGGAATGGTCCAATGTTACCACCGTGGTATAATGTTACCCGATTTGACTGTACGCCATACAAATGACGAAGTCGTCTATAAGTTGCGTGAATCGACGACTGATTTTCGAAGTAAATTTGGATAATTTCGTAGCGTTGTTCATTCATAAGTCTATTCATGATGATTTGTCAGAGTATACTGAAACAAATAAAAAAAATGTTTCATTATAATTTAATTTTTTGTGTTACTTTTTACAATTTAAAGTACTATCTAGCTTTAAAAAAACACCCAATATAAGAAAATACATTAATTTTAAAAGAGGTTTTCGGACCATTTATAGTGTGGTCTTCATGTTCATAATCACAACTCTTTGGAGTTTTACAACGTCTTAGGGGTCTGGAACTGGAACTTTCAAATTCAGTCTCAACGTCTAATTCTTCGGCAATTTTTTGGCATCACTTACAATTTCTTCAAAATTTTTCTGTTCTAATTTTTAGCAAAAACTTTTTTAATTCTGTTAAAGCATCTTGCATATTCATATTGATGGACTGCAGAATTTTACTCACAAAATTTACTTTTGTCAATATTATATGCCATTTAGTGAACAAATTAATGAAAAGGTGCATATTTTTATTCTGCTAAACATTTAGCGTCATATTTTGTCTTCTGACCATATGATATATCATAAAAAAATGTGTTAGCATTATCAGCACAAAATACGATCACTTTATCTTTGAGGTTGTGCTTTTCAAGGGTGTCCATTAAAGAAACGTAAATCATTTCTGCGGTTTCACCAGGTAAATTCACGAGATCTAATATTTTAACATTAATGCCGGTTGTGGGATGAAAATATCTCACTAACGTTGGAAATATTTTGGTATCTTTATGGTTTGAAGAATCAGTATATATGCAGACAAATGGAAAGAAAGAAAGAACATTTTATAATTGTGACATCATTCAGTTCTATCTCAACCCTCTATTGCATGAATTATTAAATTAAAAAAGAAAAAAAAATGTTATGTTTTAATGTGTTTTAACCCATTTAAACCGGAAACTATTTTTTTCGAAAAATATGTACTTTTTCTATTCTCATCGTTTCATTGAACATTTTTATTACCTAATGAAAAAAAATTTGCGTCTTGGAAATGAAGGTTTTTGAACCGTGGGTCTAAAATTGTTGCCAACGCTGCAAGTGTGTTAAATTCAATTAAACCAAATGTTTTTTTACATTCAGCTAGTAGTTTTTTTTGCAACTGAGTAACACATTCTATTGAGGATGAAAATTTCGTTAGCGTTTCGTTAATGTGAGACAATTAATGATGGGTATGATTTTGGATAAGGTAACGTAATTTTAGCATGATGATTCTCTTGTAACAAATTCGAAAGGTTGTAACAATGGTATCAACTGTTTTAATATTTCAATTTCCTGTCCAGTCACCAATACAGGACTGTCTGTAGCATTGAGGAGTAATTGTGCATCAATTTTGGACATATCTAAAAATCTATCAATCATATAATATAGTGAATTCCAGCGCATCTTAACATCAAAAATAAATTTTTTGGTATTTCCTTCAGAAACTCCACTATTAATGTGGATTTTTCTTAATTTGTCTGATTGAATAACACTGTTTTTAAACCATTTAATAATAAATCTAACTTTATTGATTATACGAGTAATTTCATTTGAAGTATTTTTTAATGAGGACTCTATAATACTATTAAATTTAATGTATGTGCAATTATGATGCATGTGCAATTTATAAAGAAAAAACAATCAGAAAACTTTAATAAAAAAGATTAGTTTTTAATTAAAATGCAGCAATTGCGGTATCATTCGGAATGTGTAATTGTTGGCCTAAATTTACACCACATTTTGAACTGGCTTCCATTTGGTTGGGTGAAGGGGATTGATCTGAGGCTACAGAATACACAATGCAAGTATTTTGTTACCTGTCTAAACATGGTAGTTGATGCTAAATTTGACTCATAATCAAATTTCCCCAAATCAGCGTCGAACAGTACATTATTTATGTAATTTTTATTTATTTATTTATTCAGATACAACATCGACTTATCGTAATAACTAACACAATATTATTTGCACTAAATATAAATCAGTATGATTAGCCTTTACTGGTGTATACAACTTTGTTTTTTTTTTACTAAAATACAGACTAAACGGTGTATACAACATTGTAACATGTAATGTTCAACATACGCTTTTGTCCTTTTTGAGTATTCGCGATGTTTTGAAGCATCATGATTTCCAAAAGCTTGACTCTTGTCTCTAATCTTTGAACTATGTGTATCTTTTAAAATATGGTTCGGCTATGGTTATGGTTATGGTTACGGGTAGCGTTGCCAGGTGGCCTATTCTAATAACTGGACAGACTAGCCAGTTTGGCCGGACACTTGGTAAAAAAAGCCGGACACCCTATATTATTAAGGATTTTGTCTTAGTATTAATAGGTACAATTTTTTATGTAAAATCAAATCTTTTTGATTATTATCCTAAATCTTGTCAATTTCTAGTGAAAAATAAATAAAATCGAATACCAACAAAAGCCGGACAAGACGGACACCGTTTATTTTGGCCGGACATGCAATCAAAAAGCCTAACTATGTCCGGCTTTATCTGTATCGGCTGTAGACGGGAAACACTGCGTCCTACATCATACATCATTCAAATCTGACTGAGTTAATAGATGAGGTTTTTCTGAGTTTGTAGATGACGCTGAAGGAATAAATAGGGTACTTGATTGATTAAATTGAGGAGAAAAGTTTCCATCAGGCGGATTTTCATCGGTGTTTGCATTGGATGCTCATCTTTGCTTCGAGGAACTAGTTTTTGTGCAGATGGTATTTCTGGATATTAATAAATAAATAATAATAAATCACTTTATTTCCAGAACCATAATATTCCAATTTTACACACTTTTTATTTAATGAGTTTACTACAAATAGACAAATAATGACTTATAAACTAAAACAAAGACCTTAAATTAATATTAAAATATAAAATTAATTGAATCATATTATTATTTTTTTTCGTATATCCCTTTGTTTTGGTCATACAAATATAAGAATAATTTTCATGGTTTTGTGGTTCACTCCAAATCATAGGCGTTGCGAATGGCATGGTCTTATGGCTTCCTCTAAGCCAACCACGTAAGGTTCTTGAACAACGGCTGCAGCACATTTTTGGGAGCCAATATTTATCCCTGTCATCAACCGGAAAACCAAAATAACGCTGATAGGCACTTTTAACGAGACTAGACAAACCATTTCTCTGGGCTTTTAAGGTAAATTCACCACAAATGTAGCAAAATACATTTGGAGAATTTTTGCAAGTCCTTGGCATTATGTACCTGCAATATATTAAAAAATGCTATAAAATCCAAAAGCAATATTCCTATCGTGTAACTTTATTGTGCACTGCAACTAAGATTACTATGTAATTTTCATCACACGTATAAATTTTTTTCGAAACAATCACTATACAACTTTTTAACGTACCGAGCGCCACGACGTAACAGCGATAACTACGCAAGCGCATGTATTCGAATAAAAATGACTCAGTCGGTATCGTTCTCTCTCTTATAAAAATTCATTCGCGTGGCATCAAATAATTTTGACTTTCTGATTATTGGCAAAATAATAATTATAAATACTATCAAAACTCTTTATTAAATAAAGTAAGCAAAAGAAGTACATTTTGGTGTGTTTATATTAAATTTCAGTAAAATTTTGTGTGACTTCTGTTGCTGTAGGTTAGATGACAAATAATTTATGTTAGGGTTGTAAGATGTTACTTTTAGCAAAATGCATGCTGAACTAGATTTATCTGGCAAACGGTTTCTAACCGAGTTTTTAATGTTATTCATCTCTGAAAATATTGACTCGCAGGCATATGTAGATGAAAACATGGTTAAAATAGCATGAGCCAGCTTCTTCAAACAGTTAAATTTGTCTGGTAACGCATTCCATGTTTCCAGAATTTTATTATTAGAATTTAATTAAATTACTTGTCGATCTTTCAGTTTCAATTGATTCCAACTCTTTCCTTGTTTCAATAAATTTTTGAATCCATATTGAACTAGATTGGAAATCAATCATTTGCATTTCAAAATCTTCAATTTCCAACCAAACAAATTGAGAGAAGTTCAGTTTATGAAATGACGTCACATCTGGGTACATAATGAACTTGAGTATTTTCGACAATTCTTTGAACTGAGAAATTCTCCCTAAAAATTCCTTGATTAAAGAATCGATCACAGAAATAAGTTCTTCAGTAATTTTTTTCTTTGTCTGCTGTATCTTGAATATCTAAATCATTCATATATTTTTTCAAGTTTGCCTCAAAAGCGCGAACGAGATCTATCATGGCAATAATTGTTTTGTTTGTCCCTTGAAGCTTTACGTTTAATGTGTTTAAATGTTGGCATATGTCCGTAAAAAACATCAATTCTGAAAGCCACATAACGTCCAAGAACTGTGGGTATTGTTCAATTTTTCCCTCATTTTGCAAAAACAGTCTGATTTCTTCCAAGCAATCAACAAATCTTTCAAGTACATTCCAACTTTCAAGTACACTCAACCAGCAAACACTATTATATTTACATCAGTAAGCCATTATACACTAAGTTGATTATGGAGTATGGATATGTTATTATTTATTTATTTATATACTCTTTATTGCACACCAATAGGACACAAGAATAGGAGTGAAACAAAGAAAAAAAATGTACAATAGGCGGCCTTATCGCTAAAACAGCGATCTCTTCCAGGCAACCTTTGGTAGAGGAGAGAGATAGGATGGTAGGGGTGTACAAATTACTTTAAAAATACATAGATACAATATATATTTATATATATACAGTGGCGGCTGTACCTTAAGTGCGCCCGTGCGCTGAACCACCAATTAAAATATTTAAAAATTACAAAATATTATGTCATCTTAATTTTTAAATTACCATTTTAATATTTATTTTTTAAACATACAAAAGGTATAATAAATTTAATTTCCAATTATGGTCAAAAAGTTTGAGCGCTTTACTAAACTCATATCGTGCGCTCCGGCGAGTGCACGAGAACTGCTAATACATCTTGTATGAGACACGCATTAATACGCCTGACGCGTGAGACAAAAGATAGTTCATAGAAATGTACCGAGTAATGAGTCGGTTCTCAAGCGCCGCACGAAGCGGCCGAAGGTTACCGAGAGCACCCGATGTATGACGTATTGAGCCGGCCGGCAAGGGGCCGGCCGAAAGGATGGGTGCTATGATTGACATTTCGTTAATCGTTATTGGTATTGTTTCAACTTTCACTGTATGCGTGACGCGTTAATTCGTTATTGTTTATAATTATTTCCGTAATTCGTTTTAGTTTTTATTTCGTTTCTATAATAGAACTTTTATTCTGTACTGTGTTTTTTATTAGTTGATAATGAGTATAAATATTGATTATATTAAAGAAAATAACAAAATTTTTCAAAGTAAATTGAACATAAAATTGGCCGGGCCGCCACGGCCCTTTTTAAATTTAAAACAAGAGTGTAAATTGAAAAATAAAGCATTTATACGAAGTTTTAAAAGTGAAATGTATAATAGAAAGAAATGGTTGTGTGGATGTGAGCGTCTTAATGCATTCTTTTGTTTTCCTTGCATTATTTTTGGCGGAGAATCGATTTGGACAGAAACAGTAATGAGTTTGTCTGTGTTAGGCACAGTCCGTATTCGTAATCAGCTAGATTCTGTGTATAGAAGTAATATCCAAAAGTATAATAAACAAGTTGATAAAAACAGATACATTTTATCACGTCTTATCGATTGTGTCAAGTTTTGTGGTGCATTTGAGTTAGCTTTGCGAGGTCACGATGAAACTATTGAGTCCAGTAATGCTGGAGTGTTTCGTGGATTAATAGACTTTGTATCAGAGTTGGATATAGTTATGAAGGAGCATCTATACTATACCAATGACTTCAGTAGAGAGCGAGCGATGTTTTTCGACACTGAAAAGAATCAAAACTTTTCTCAGAAATACCATGTCTCAGGATCGGCTAAATGCACTTTCTGTGCTTAGTATTGAAAAGAAATTTATAGAAAAAATACCAGATATTAATAAAAAGGTGATAGAACATTTCGCTTCAGAAAAATGTCGTCGCATTGATTTAATGTACAAAAAATAAACATATTTTATGTCAATTGTTGTTTTTGTCAATATTTTAGTAAAGTGAACCACCAGTTCGATAACCCACCAGCCGCCACTGTATATACATATATATATATATATATATATATATATACGATACATAAATAAATATTCCATAAATATATAATTATATAATAATATAATATACATACACATTATAAATATATAAAAGAAGTAATAGATGGTGCACGTCTTGCTTTTAGTGGAAGAGAGTTCCAGAGACGAATTGATCCAGAGATATGGATAACATAATCAAACGTTAATGCGTTTTTAAAAAGATCAAGTAAGTAGTATTTTAACAAGATTTGCATATAATTCTTAGATTATGTTTCCAGGCTGCATTGAATAAAAGAAATGTTTCTTTGTTCTTAAAATATTCTTATAATTTAATAAAATGGAGGTCCATATTACAAAACTAAACTTCTTCTGCCCCTATGAAAAAATTGGATCCACCGGACTGCATCACCAACCTTGAAATAGAAAGATTAACAATTTAATAAAGTAATTTAAATAAATTTTCTTTGGTGATTGTATATAATATTTAAATAATGCCATTTGTCAATTTGGTATGGTGACTGGGGTGGTGATGATTGGTGTGGTAGATACTGGTGTGCGGGCAATTGATGCGGTGGTGACTGCTCAAATGGTGGTCTTATTAATGTCTCGGGAACATCTAGACCCTGAGATTTTCTCTTCCCAGTGATTCCTAAAATTTTTTCTTCTGCAGTTGTTAGAGAGGGAACATTCTCACTGTTTCCAGGTCTATTTCTGGCACGGTTAACATTAGCATTTTTGAATTTCGTTTTTGATTTAAGATCACGCCATTTTCGTTTTCCATTGTTCTACTAATTTTGCTGGGCCCAGCTGCGCCAACTCCGCAGCAATGTTCTTCCAAATTGTATTCCATTTTTTGGAATCCCATTGGGCATGTAAAGATGCCCAATGCCACCTCTTTATTGTCCTCCATCAGTTCTATGAGCCGCCGTTTCTGGCTAAAAGTACAGCGTACTTTCTTTCTGTAACATGAGTTATGTCAAATAACGCATATAGCAGACAACCCATACAAAGCACGTACCCGAGACGCATTTATGTACTTACTTTGGAGGCTCCGTCATGGTATTTAGTTATAACACAAAATAGAGAGGATCGCGTCGCTGGTATACTTAATTTGTGGTTATAATCATAAAAATTAAAACGTTCAATTTGATACAACTTCAGTTTATGCAGTGTTGCCAACAGTCAAATGTAAAAATATCCTTTTCCGAGCAGAAAAAAGATCCATAAAATATAAACAATCATGACTTTTCATCCCAAGAAAAACATAGGGGAAAGCACCTAATTACTGGACCCCTAAAAATCGGGACCAATTTATTGGCACCCTACGTTTTTTAACGTGAAAGTTATATATACGGATAGGATTTACAAAACTAGGAATTATGGTGAAGGAATCAGTTAAAAATGTTGAGAAATGACGGAGATACGGATTTAAAAAGATTTTTGGAAAAATAAGTTACGTAATAAAATTTGAAAAATATATTTTTTTATTTTAAATGCTAGAAAGTTGGTTGATGTCTCAAATGGAAGGTCTTATTGAAAAAATGATTTAGGAAACGGGTTTGGGTGTGAGGAAGAATGGGAAAATTTTTGAACACAGGAAATGTTCTATAACGGTCAAATTTGCTAAAGTTTTTCACTAGGGTTCACTAAAGTCTTAATATGTAGGGTTGTAATTGTCCGATTATCGTCTGGTTTTCACTTAAATGAAGCTGGGTTCGTAAGGAGTCTAAATATATACCACAAGTCCATGCGAAATATACACAACACTGTTTTATATAGGTCTGAAAGTATTTACAGTAACTGAGGTATGATGAAACTTAAAAACGAAATATTTCAAAAACTATATGAGATAAAATTATAAACTAAACACTAAAATACTATATAGACTGTCCTTAACCCTACGGAAAATCAAATTTTGGAAAATCTCTTTTTCCGAGCGCGTTTTCCTACACGTAGTAGGTAAATATTGTAATGTCACTTTTTAGTGGTAAAAACTGAAGCTAAAATTATGTGTGATACCTCAAAATAAGCGTCTCACCTAGCCCGATCTAAGAGTAAAATAAACCGACAAAATTCGCACCATTATATCAACATATTATTTCTAATGGTTTACCGCGGCGAGCTACAAAGCGTCGCAGAGACAAAATGAAACAATCCGTTGTCAAATCGCTAGATACCTCAAGGTGCATAGCCTTTGTACTAAAGCAAATAAACAAACACATGTAGCACTTCGTAATCCGGCAACCGCGACCTTTGCCGTCAGTAATATGAAATGGGCCGCCGAAGTCGACTCCACTAATATGAAATGGCTGATTTGGCATGACTCTGTTTGAAGGAAAGTTTCCCTTGATGGGTTTTTGACACTTAGCTTTCCTGATTTTACATATTTTGTAATTATTGACTCTAGAACTCGCCAATATTCTGCCACTTAAAGGCTAAAAGTTATTTCTTAAGTCATTCAATAAAAGTTGGGGACCGCAATGTAAAAGTTTCAAATGAAAATGATTAAAAAGTAATTTGGTAAAAATATGATTAGTATCTGTATATTAGTATTATGGTTCTTTAGAATTTTGTATTCTACCACCATCACAGAGAATGCCGACAAAATATGAGAATTGGATGGCAGAACTTGATTATTTTACGAAAGTAATTTTTATATATTACTGTGTTTGCTTGAGGTTTATATGAAGGGATGAATGGGCAAAAAGAAATCACAAAATTTTACTTACGTATTTATTTAGAAAAATTGGTTGTTTCTATTATCGCATAAGGATACTTTACACTTTTTACAGAACCAAGAGGTAAGTTTCCTACAATTATTAAATTTACACTTATTTCTAGAATCCATTAATATTTTTTCAACACTAATATAATCGCAACGCACGTCAGTAGAGAAACGACGTTACCAGCCTTCTGTGTGTCACGTCTAAATTATTTACAACCAATAAATAAAACAATACGTGAACTACTTAATTACAAAATTTAATTAACTAAAACATTTAGACTAGGTATAAATCTAGACAGCTAGGTTTAGGTCTAGGCTCAGGCGTTACTGAGATACCGAGGGTACGCTCCTTGTATCGGTTTCTCTAGTTCGTTTCCTAGTTTTCTATCGGTAGCTTCGACTCGACGCGTGTCCTGCCGGCCGGCCGCTGGCAAAAGGTCGCACAAGGTCGGGGTCCGAAGCCAACACGATGAATTTAACTCCAGGGGTAGTTAGGATTCTTGGTATTTCCTAAAAACTTTCGCACTACGTCCTTGAACGATACCCAAGCTTCTTTTTCCTTCTCATTCATAGTTTCCACAAATGAAGGGTCCGTTAAAAGTTTTCTTATGTTGGGGCCGGTGAAAACTCCCTCTTTCAACTTTGCTTCTAACAGCTTCGGAAATTTTGTACATAAATATTTGAAACAGTCTCCATTCTTTTGCAGCGATTTTACAAATTGTTTCATCAACCCCAATTTGATATGGAGAGGGGGCAACAAAACTTTTCTGGTGGTACCAGGGTAGTGTTTATAACATTTATAGAAGGTGGGTTCTCAGGGTGGCAGCGTAAATGACGATACGTTATATAAAGGAACACTTTTAATGCACTTTACAACGGTTAGAATACTAATGCCCGATATATTCAATATGGCGGTATAGCGGTATTTATACAACAATACCTTGACTTAATTTAATATTAAATTTGTAAACTTAAGAGATAATATTAAACATTGTTTATCTTAATTATTCTAATGATTATTTATGGACAAATATTATTTAATAATACAGGATTATGTAACATTAAATATTAAAGGTTGATATATTACACCGGAAGTTGATAACCTAGCCAGATCAGTAAAATAAGATTCTAGTAGCTTAATTCTTACATTATACACAACAAAACAAAATTATTATAGCATTGATTAATCGACATAATTTGAGAAAATATAAATAACAATAAGCACTATTTATTAATTGCGCCGGAAGCTGAGAAGCAGAAGGCGCCATTAATAAATAGGATAACACATTTTTCTCTCCAGGTTTTAAAGTTACTCGGGATGGCCAATCACTTTTTTTCCAGTGCTGTGAGTGATTTTTTCTTTCCCTTAAACCACAAACGAAGATCTTCTTCGCATCTTCTATACACCTTATCTTGATCACCAAGTTTTAATTTAAAGTAGGCAAAATAAACTTTCCTAATAAAATCACTTATATTTCTCTGTTGACTTTTAATAGTGAATAAACCACAGATATAACAAAAACTGTTTGGAGAAACAACACAACCCCTTGTAGCCATGATTAACAGACAACAGCACTGTTCACTTGAATATAAGCATGTCTATTGAGAGCTTTTCTTTGTTTCAAGTGATATACGTCATTTGACTTGTCTCAACCTGTTAAAACATACCCAGTCTCACCAACAGCTCAGGTTGTTTTTCTCCATTATCAAATAAAAATCATATGGGTTTATTACTATAATTATTATTATAATGAACATAGATACTGCAATATACATAATAACTTATGTGATATAATAATTTGAATATTTTTTATGTTTTTGGGAGATCAAAATCTGTAAGAAAATGTAAAAAAATCCTATGCAGTATTTTGTTCGCAGACCTGTGTTATCAAGCTCCTGGCTTAGTTGTTCTCGTAGGAAGGAAAGATAACTGTCAATACTCATAGACTGGGGTAAAAAAAGTGGGCCAATTATTTTGTCAATAATACCGGCCCAAACATTAATGTTCCATCGATGATGGAAATGGCTAGGTTTAGTAACATCTGTGTTGGTGAGTGACCATACATGATCGTTGTGCGTGTTAAATACGCCTGTTCTAGCAAAAGTACACTTGTCACTAAAAAATATACGGCTCGAGAATTCACTGTCTTCATCGTTTTCGTTTAAAATCCATCTGCAGAATGCCATTCCAGGCTCGAAGTCGGTAGAAATTAATAACTGTACTCGACGATAATGGTACGAGTGCTGGCCATTTTCCTTTAAAACTTTCCATACACGCGTGTGGTTGACACCGAGTTGATGTCCCACCGAGCGCGTGCTTTGCGTAGGGTCCTGTCGAAAAATATCTAATATGTGTTCCTCTAGATCGTCATTATTAACCCTCGGCCTTCCCGCATTAGCACGTTGTAGTTAACGGCCATCGACATTTTCGAAATTGTACATGCGTATATGAAGACCTGAAATGCCTTAAGTGGCGGTTATGGTATGTTTCTTGGAGAAGCAAACAGTTCGTCATAAAGTCTACGCGACTCCGCATTACAATTACAATCACATTATGATTACAATCACATTTCCCTAGACACATTAACATATTGAAATATTCCTGGTTGGAGTACATTTTATAAAACAACACAATATTATATCCACTCGGAAGAAATTTCATCGAGGAACTACATAACTAATAAAAAAAAAATATTAAAAGGGCGGCGTAGGCTCGAATAAAAAATATCGAAAAATATCGATATTTAAAAAATCCAATAAAAAATATTTAATATTCATATCATTTCCATACTTATTTTGATATATCAAACATTAATATTATTTTTTATTGTAAAACACCATTTTTAACAGAAGTAGGTAACTATATTTAGAGTAACTTCGGGTAATATGGCACACCAAAAGCTTTTTTGGAAATAAAATGAAATTTTATTGAGATTAATTACTTTTTATTACTTTCATCAAGGCTTTGAACTTAATAGTAATCAACAATCATAAATTTAGGGTTATTAACTATTAAACAAAATAAAAATAAATGTTTTTTCAAATTTTGACACAACTTAAAAATTGAACAGTGGTGAGATAATATGGCCTAGGGCCATATTGGCCACAAATGTCGTGAGCCATATTGTCCTCCATAACATAAACAATAAAAAATAAAAGAAATAAACTTTGCATTATTTTGTAGAATAAATTTCGCAGAAAAAAACGTCCGTTTCCACTCCTGAGCATTCTTCATGAGCCCACGTGAACGAACGAAAGTCTCGTTTACCAATTTGACGATGTGAATAGGTATGTACATACGTCGTCGTTTAGTAAACGAGATTATTGAGAATG